CTGGTCCACATATTTAGCTCAACATTTACATGACGTTTAACTGACGTTAAGGAGTTTTTTAGTGAGGAGGCTGGTTGAAGAAACTGGTCTGAATTTATATTTCCTCTCAGTCATTTTTGGCACCATTCTTTACCAGCGTAATGAGCCATGGTGGTCTGTACACTTCCTGGAACTGGGTTTAAATTGAATATTTTATTTCGCCTCAGCGGGCCACACTTCACGCCTTACGCCAAACACCCTACGACTATTACTTATCTACACAGCTACACATACCGTGCAAGGGTTCAAATAGGAAAGATATTGCCCGAAAGATCATCACGTTGATTCGATTTTTTGTTCGCTTAATATCGAATAATTTCAGACTAATGTGATCCGTTGTTTCCAACTACATTTTCTACGTGGTTAACTTTAATTAGTATTTGGGAACTACAGTTTATAAGCTATATTAGCATTATTACTACATACATATTTATTGTCAGTCGTGTATAACTGCATGTGAAATGATGATGCTAATTACTAAAATATGCAGAAGGACAGATATAAATTTAGTGCAGTCTAATTATTGGTTATACACCACTACTCAAGCCACTACTTTGGCTTATTAAGTCCTTTGGAATCTAGGACTTTAGCTTTCTCCATGAATTTCTCCACGAAGAAGTTGTTTTTCGTGTTTAATTTGAGTCAACCAAAATTTCTGTGAGGGTTATTCTCAACAAAGTAGTAATAACTGTGTGCTGCTCTAACCAGTTTGTTGTGTCGAGCTTATGTACAGAAGTAAAAGCACAAAAAGGGAAATAATAATGGAGCCAGCTAAGCTGCCGACTATGTGGTGTGAGACAGAAGGGAAAAGGGGAAGGGGAAGAACGCACAGACTTTCCCATCCTTCACAAGCCACTACTATTCCTTAATTTATGACATTGCTTGCACATGAAAAGAATGCGGGTGCCACAACTGATTTTCTTCTTCAAATGATCATGCCATCCGTAAAGTAAAGGCATATCTTATAACACGTCGACGGTTGTGTTGATGTAATTTTCCCATCATTTCTAGATTAAAATATGATGAAAGTTGAACTTTAATTTGCAATGATTTTTCTGTAACAAATAAGTAATTCAATAACCCTCGTTTTCGATCATGCATACAATAAATTCAGCTGGGTTTAGCGATCAAGTGAACAAGAGAGACAAAGTATTTATTGGATGAGCAATGAACAAAATGGTTTGGTTTGTTGAATTAAGCAGTCTATTCGAATATGAGTATTATTGGATGTGGTTGGTGCATATAAATGTGGTGTCATGAGACAAGCAGATAAATGAGTCAGCCCTCCAGGGGCTTTGTCTGGAGCAAAGCTAGGAAGTAATATTACAATGTGAGTAATGTGTACAGGCAGCGGAGGACGAAAGTTGGATGGCGATTGGAAGTTGGAAATAAATAAATGTAGCTGCGGCTGATAGCCCTTCATTTGATGATGAGATGTTCAACGAAGCAAAAAATACGTCTCTCTGTTAACCACCCAGCACAATACTGACTGACTGATAATCATCATCAAATCAAGCGTTTTATGCTTTAAACATATTTTTAATCCCCTGTCTCATATTTTGTCAGGGGAAGGATTAATAAACCCACTCACCCGTCAGTGTCGTCTCCTCGTCCTCATTTCACTCACTCACTCACTCACTCACCGTGTCAAACAAGGAGGACAATTTTGAGAATTCTAGATTGCATTTGTACAAAGATTGATTACATTATTACAAAGCCAATATGTAAGTCAAGTCAAGTGGTTACAGCGGATGAGTGACCAGCATCGATCACTTAAATCGTTCCTCAATAAATTTATTCAGAAGAAATGAGCGATGGAACGACACAAATGTCACAGAGCCGAAAAAACTACATTTTATTCTAATATGTATCGATTGGCAGTTGACTTGAAAAATCAGTGTGATCACCATGATCCTGGTGAGATGGATACATATCTCTGCTGGTTCAATGAATGGGAGTGCATGCAGTAGTATCGTTTAGATATTTTATTATATTTTATATCCCACATTCTGGTAAACTTATTTGCCTCGAAGAATTGAGATGGGGAAGGGAATGCTTTGGCCTAATATTTTGTGGGCGGGTGACCAGTTGGATGTGAAAGTGAACGGGAGAGAGCATGGGATTGGCATCAGTATCAACTGCCACTAATAATTATGAGGATAAATCGAAGGATGAACAACCAAACAATAATCCAGGAAAAGCTATCAACTGCGAATAGGAGGTTGGTTAGTTGCGCACTCTAAATGTACCACGAGTCCTTGTATATTGTTCTGCGTGGTCCGAATATGGTAAAATGCAACACAATTTGAAAACGTGTTGGAGCGATTCAAAAAGAAAAGGAAACTCACGCCTACTTTGAAAATACTAATAACAAAAATAATTTAAGTGATCTTGGTCACTTACTTATCAGCCACGCGAGAAAGTGCATGTAAGAATAAATGTATGTACGGTTTGCCCGGATTGTCATGTGAATTCTCGTACAATGTCATTTTGCCGTGGCGTTAGAAGTGATGTACATGAGACGAAGATAAACTCGTCCTCAGTGAACTGTGGGAAGTCGTACAAGTGTCTCGAGATGAAGTACCGTCAAGTGGAAGGGCGGCCCAGAATTGGATGATGTGCATGGACATACATGTAGGTACCTATAGGCTGCTTCGTTGTGGTTGCTTTCACCCAACCGACAAAGGCATACGCGTACAGTAGTTCATATGTATATGCATAGTTTTGAGGCTAAAAATTAAAATGTCATTTTCATCATTAATTGTACCAATCAACGATCTTCAGTTAGAAGGGTAGCTTGTGCTTTCACTTTCTGACGTATAAATTTACATAAATACTTGCCGTCGTGGTGCGTAAATTAATGTGCAATGAGGATTGAATTGCACAAGAAATACTTGCCTGAAAAAGTCCATATCTCAGCGTTTTTATAACATCAAATTGAATTTAAGGCTTACATAAACGCGAATGCCAACCTGGAAATTGATAAATCTATAAATATTATGTGTATGCACTGATTTCAATGAAATGGTGGTCTCCTCTAAATTTCGATCATCTGCTTCCCACAGAAATGAAAAGTAAATCAGATTATTTGTGTGGAGTTGAGTGACATTTAGTGTTGCCTTCCTCACACCACCCCACGGAATAAAAATAGGAATCAAATGCATGAATTACTGAAATCCAACGGCTACACGGCTGTAGAAAGTGCAAGTGGGAAAAGGGACGCGAGTGAAGAGTGGATGAAGGGGACGAGATTTCCTGCCTGCCTGCCTCGCTCGCTCGTCGCATGAGGAGGAGGAGGAAAAATAAGGAGGGACGACGACTGGATAATATAAAGGAAGTTGGAAGTGCAGCTCATCTGTCGAGCGAGATGAGATCGAGATTCGAGGAGCATTTGAGCTTGGGAGAGAGAATTGGAAATCTCTTCTGGTTCCTGTCGACCGGGGCACACAGACAACCGAATCCGACAGCCCACAACCACATCGCATCACTCCATACCCACGACGACTTTCCCAGTTTTATGATATGAGGAGAAAGAGTCGGCATGGCGTAGGGATGGCACACAGTCAAATCCTTTCGTCGGTGAGACAACTACTTTATAGGAGGAGGAGTAGTGCAGGATGGATGAAAACGACGACTTGAGCCCCCTAAGCTGCATCTGGTCTGACCCTTCCCATTACCCTGCTCTCCTTCTGATGATCACCATAGAATGTCATCATAATGCACAGCCACCCCGACTTATTGAGCCCGCACACAAGTAGTCCTGCCCAATGAAATGAAATGGAATAAAAATGAAAATGAAGCTTAAGTAGCAAAGCTGGGATAACTCTCATCTTTATATTTTATTATGACACACAATAAGAAATCCTCCACTCTGATTCCTGGTGACGGAATGATACAAATGTGGGTACCATTTTTTGCACAAGACCCCACCCACTTAAATTATCCGGTCAACTATACTTGACCCCATGCATATTTTGCAACTCTGTCCAAAGAATGAGGCATTGCACATGTTTCCACCAAATGGCATCGCATTCTATTAATCCGTGTTTGACTAATTGAGGATGAGATGCAGATAGACATAAAGACGGAACGGTAATACAGTACATAGCATAATGGTAAATACCACATGTAAATATACAGTCAACGACTTGGCAATCAAATCATTTCCTATTACCCGAAACTATTATATCAGTCGATAATATTGATTGGGATAGATAAATTTGCATTCTCACAATACTATTGTGAAGGATATTTTCTGAACAAAAGTGAAAGTAAAAAGAGAAAGTTTAGCCCGGATTTCGTCAGTACATCATTTAATGTTTATTAGCATTCAGGGTATCTTTTGTTAATTTACATACTTATTTGGAGGTGATATGGACCGCATCGAATTTATTGTAAATGGGTTGAAGTATGCAGTATAGACATGTACATGCATATACAAGTTAGAATGCAATTAAATGTGTGATCAAGTCATGCACATATTTATACACCTATGCATGATCATTATCCTCCATATAATCTGTAATCCGATTAGAATCAGTTGACATCTTTTTTGTCGTGTACAAATCAATTTATTGCAGCTTATGTATTTCAATAAGAGGATTTTGAAACCAAATGCGATATGTGAATCCCTGCTACTAAGCAAAGGAGTTGATGTAAAATTTCTTGAAGATACGCACACCCACCGTAGATGTATGATAACATTAAAGTAATGAAATGAAGCTACAATAATAATTATTGTAGCTTCTATTATCGTGAAAAGTAATTATTACTTTTCACGATTAGATAATGATGTGCATAGGTTTAAAGTAAAATGACAGATTGACTTTATACGGAATCCCAAAGTATTTTCACAATTTCCATGCCTCCCCACTCTTCCAGAAGAGAAGCTTCTGCTGACAAGGCAATTTATTCGGTTTTCACATTTTCAGCTCACTATTTAGGTCTCGCAATCGTCGCAGGAATTAAAACTTGAGTAACACAAGAATGAATTCTCACACAGGCGATCATAAAGGGGAGATTAAATTGGAAATTGATGAACTGATCAATCAAGATCGAGTGGTCATCTTCTCCAAAGAAAGTTGTCCTTACTGTGTCGATGCCAAAAATGTGAGACTTTCTAATTGTTTGCTCTATTTATTTTTATACAACCGGTGTACAATTATTGTCTTTGTCAGGTTTTTGAGGAGATTGGGCAGACTTACCGTGAAGTGGACTTGAACACCTTAAGCCAGCCCAAAGAGGTGCAGGCCATCCTGAAGGAAATGACTGGAGCCAGCACGGTGAAGAGAAAGTTACCATTTCATAAGGCTCAACTTTGTGCAACTAACTTATCATGACATAACATTCCCTGGTAGGTTCCAAGAGTCTTTGTTGATGGGAAATGCATTGGTGGTGGGTCGGACACGGTCCAGTTGTTCAAAACCGGACGATTGGAGGAAATTCTGAAGTCAGAGTCCGTTCCACTAGGTGAAAGTGGTCGAGGAGAAAACCCTCGATTTTGACTATGTACATAATATTCGGAAACAAGCATAAAATATTATGCAGATGAATGAAATCCAAATAGCTACATAATTCCCAACATTGTCATCATCGAGGGTCTACAAATTTTAAATTCTTGTCAGATAAATTACTTAAAATTACCAACTTAAATTTCAAATATTGTTGCAACAGGCAGTCGAATAATAAATTTATGTGCTTATGGCTATCCTGTATTTAATTTGCATTTGTAATTACTATTTCAAAGTTTCACCAAGTTTGTGTTTGTGTTCACGTATGAACATTCTTTCCTAGAAACGTTATAGTTGTATTTATCAACAACATATTTAGTTGCCGACGCAATCAAACACTAATTTGATCATACTAATAGCATTATAATTTTTGTTTATTCCTAATATATATTAACCTTATAATATTCTGTACCAAAACCCACACCACTGTCATCGATGAAGTTTGCTTATCAAAAATTTCCACTTTATCACCTATTTTAAATGCAGGCAGTAATGTGGTCATCGAAACCAGAAAATCAGAAGCAGCCTGCTACTAAAGTTTCCTTAACTGCCGTTGATTCAAAAGCAGTCTCAAGAACTGAGACTGAGCAAAATCCAAACGGTTATGGAGATGTTACAAGTAAAAGAACATACATTCCTTATTGCAATCTGCAAACTAATTTCCATTGGTCATGCATAAAGCAGTATCATTTCATTAATTAATAAAAAATTAGATGTCAATGAATTGGACTGGGGGGAAGAATTTCTCGCTCAGCTTCACAACGCGCTAGAAATTTTAGGATCCCGTCCTCACTTCAAATCAAGCATCGAGAGCGACATAAACGACTTTTATCAAAATGCACTAGAAAAAGGACAGGCGAGTACCACCTCTGTTCTCGAGAACGAGAAAGAAGACCAGCTTTTGACAACTTTGAGCCCAAATCCAGGGTTTGAAGACATTCTACATCCTACGAAAACAAACCTCTCACTCAACGATGGTGATGATAGTGATCGAGACGGTTCTATTTGTACGAACAAAGTTTCAAACTTTGGTCAGCATGTTACTACTACTGCGACTACCAACGAAGTGATCAACAACATGCTGCATTGGGTATGCACATAATAATACTTGCGAAATGTTAGATGATACTTAAGTGCATGTTTCATTACATTATATTTAATTTGTGATTTTTGTACATCGCGCAGTACATCTGCTCTTCTGTATGCGACTTGATGCTGAAAATTAGAACCTCATCCCATGAAGAAATTCCTTCTCTAGTGGAATGTTTGCTGGATTTGCCACTGGAGGATAACAAATGGTGCTGGGAGTTTTTAAAATCTCAAATTTATGATAAGCTGATGAGGACTGAAAGCGTAACTGTGGCCCAGCAAGTTTCGTTCTGGACCACGATTAATATGATGAACAGTCCAACGGCCCATAGATTGGTTGATGATTTGCAATACCAAATCGGATTAACTTTCAAGGTATGCACATACGAATAGCGATTTATTATATACATTTAGCATACATACATAAATAGAGATATTTGTTTTTCAAACTCATATACATAAAAATACTTTAGCACGCACCTTATTGGTATTAGCAATCGTTTATAATCGTATTGCAGGAAATCTCACAAGGTGAACATATTTTGTTGATGGATGCAGATCAGAAACCCAAGATTAGATTTTATCGGATCCTGAAATTTGCACTCTTTGTTAGCAGAATTTTTATTGGAGCAATATTGTCATCCTCCCAAATGATTGACAATCTTCTTCATGCTTCTCAGCATACAGACGACGTCATGAGCTTGTCACTTTTGCTAGCAGTTTTAAATGAGATTTATTCAGATAATTTGGAAACCATTTTACTTCCGGAATCCGAAGATGCATTCATGCCACCGCTTAGTTTTAACCAGAAAGCAATGATACAAATCTTCGCCCAATTGAAAGCTGTTGTGGATACGTCGTCGCACGTGTTACCTCCAAGCATTGTGAAATTTATAAAGGTACTTGTGCGTACTAGTAAAATCAAGTTTTGATAGGGCAAAGGATTTAAAAAAAAATATTAAATGATCGAAACCATGCGTCATTTTTAGGGCCTTGTACTTCACAAAACAGACCTGATACATTTCCATTGGAAAAAATCTGGAGAAAAAATTATGAATCAAGAATGTGCTGTTGTTTTACCAGAATCTGATGCGGTGGAGAGATCTTCTTCGGAAACTAACACTTTGGACCATAAACGAAGCCGACGTCGAAAGCCTAAAAATTTGCGACCTGGAAGCCCAAGATTTTATAGGATAGCATCGACTCCAAGAGACAAGTCTGCGACTGAAAGTCTGCTCCAATGTAAACTTATTAACGAGTTTTATAGTTGGCTAATTGATAGGTATCAGAAGTTGCTTGCACATGAGCTTCTAACCAAACCTTGAGCTCCACAAGTCAACTAATTCATGCATAATATTGATTTTCTTTCATTAATTAATTATGTTCTTGATAAAATACAAATGTGAGCTATATTGTTTTTGCAAATAATTCCTCCTCCCATTTCTACTTATTTGCTTAATTGTTTATTGAGATTCATTGTGAATAGGATTTGTCGTCGTAATTTTCTAAATGATTTAACAAATGACATAAAATGTCCCTTCCTTCGCTACCCTGCACATGTCGTATGGATTTGCTATGGACAAGAAAAATGTGAGTGGTGTGAACCATGAATGCACACCACTATCACTATCAAGAACATATCGTAAGCGCTTCAAGAAGTTTGCAAAATTCTTTCGGGCAAACGAGGATATGAATCAGAGGGGGAGAAAGCATATATTTGTGACAGTACATATAAAATAAGGCCGTACATTGGACGGTAACTGTAGCATTATTCTCTCATCGTGTACGAGACAAACTGACACATCTCACAGTACCAGTGCAGTCAGTGTATCAGCGGAGCAGTCCAGAGGCAGTATCCAGCAGTAGATCGCAATCACAACTGGTAAAGTTAGTTCCAGTCTTTCCTTCCTTTCTTCATCCATGCAATCCTGTTATCTTGCAATAAGTACAACGAATTACAAGAGAATGATGATGGTGATAGTGTATGAAAGCGTGGTCACACTTATATTCGAACTCTTACCTACTGTGGGGTTGCTGCGTATTTCATTCGACCCAATAATCATCACATTGATGTTACCAAGATGTGAGGAAAATCAATCCCTACACATCCTTCTCTTTAGCACCAGTAATTTCCTTTTCAATACCAGGCTAGGAAATCCAATGTCAATCTGGATGCCATCACGTCATGATGCATTTTTCATTTGATACCAATTCGGCAGCATTTCACATGCAAAAAATATTAGAGTTGGTATAAACAATGTGGAATATTTTATACTCGAGATTTTATTGCAATGTGTTTAATTACTGGTACATATTTACTTATGTCCAACATACAGTTTGTATTCCATAAAAAATACGTGACATCGATTTATATGTAAAATATAATAATATGCGATAGATTGCGTTCTTATAAAATCAATAAATAATGCAGAAAATAATAAATATCAAGAATTCTGGTAGTCAATAAATATTTGTAGATGCGCGTATGCGGTGTTAATTAATAAAGGAGTGGGAAGGAGACTCACTATTTTGTAGTATGTAAGGAAAATTAAGGGACAGGATTCGACTTTTCGAACATTCGTTGTTCTTCAGGACCAGAGGAAATTTTAGGTGGCGGATCACGGGGAGTTCTAATATGAGCGTGAGGATATGGGTATAGGAAGGATAGGATTGCCACACCACGTGCAGTGTTAATTAATTGTGATCAAAGAGCTACTTGTAAATATGAACAATAGAATCTTCTCGTGATGAATACAGGGGAATTGCGTAGGTGATTGAACCATAAATCACACTTCGTGACCTAAATCAATTACCCCAGACTCTTGAATTGGCACATATTTGTCATCAATTTTCAATAAAAGTATCGTCTTGTCGGTAATCGAACGACATTGTGGATCTCGATGTCCCGGAGTCCACTTGTGTACACACTGTAAAAAATTGATCCAAATGTTTTAAATAATGCAATGTGTCTATCTATGGAGGTTTATGCAAAAAATGCCTCTTACCACGCCTTCCATCCCATCCTCAGGAACCCAGTTTTGCCAATATGAGCGACCTCCTCTAAATCTCATAGTCTCTTCTGGCCAAATCACATCAATTCTAGCAAAAATGGATGCATAGATATAGTTCCTGTTGGACATCAATTGAAGCCGTAACAGTCATGAAGTTTTTCGTACCTTCTGCCAAGATTTAGTCCGTCATATACCAAATTAGCATCAATTATACGAACTCTTTGTAAGCTGGTAGACTTTTCCCGATCTCTGCTACTAGACTCTCGAAAATCTTTGTCCTTTTCTTTCCCATCTCTTTCCCCTCTATCCTTTTCACGATTTCCATTCGTGTCAGTCAGGAAACCTATTATACCAACATAAATTACACAAAAAGAAGGGAATAATGTTATTTTAAAACTAATACAATTCATGTGCTTAAGTCTTTTGTATGTTGATGTATCCAAGTATAATTTTACCTGCAAGGCTGGCCAACGTTGAGGTAGATGGTTTAGAGACGTTAGAAGCAACGCTGCCTCGATTAAATCCTCTGCTCAATGAACCTCGCCCAGCACTGCTACCTCCAATTTGACTTCCATCAAGAGATTGGCTTCCAGATAAATTTAGTCCGCCCGATACGGCTGCTAACCATCGATGATTAATTATTGAAGGAAAATCCACATTTCGAATTAAAAGACTAGGAAAGTAACTACTTATAATTGTGTACCGGATGGAATGTTTGTGGGTGCCATGGAATAAACACCTTCATGTCCATATGATGTGTCTTCATGATTAGGAATTGCAGATCCACTGGAATTAAGCAATTGGAAGTTTAAGTTTAAGCCAATTCGGGTCATTGAACCGAACTCACTTAACATTATGGAGCACTAGCACTGGCACGACTAGATTTATTAAGTTTGACGAACTTTCATAAAATCTTACAAACCTGGAACATCCTTCCCCTACACGTTGTCTAATTCGCCTCCACACGGAGATGACGTCTTCTTTTAGTTTGGACAAACTAAGGGGTCCACCGATAAGGGAACAAACTTGCGGATGTGTATCTGCATATGACGTGGTGAGCGGTGAGACATAAATAGGATACCCAATGGGCTGGTCACATGATGAGCTGATTGAATTGATTAAGAAAGACAATTTGTATAAATACTCGCACAACTATTTTTGATTAATTACAAAAATCAGTATTTAAAGTTTAGGTAGTCGTTAAATATACATGATACAAGAGGAAAAATGGAATTCAGGCATAGTATATAACGACTCAATGAAATGCAGCAGCACTGGACCGCCAGAAAATTCTCCACACTCCATTAAAGGTGTCTATTGTTCTGACATTTCGAATTTTAACTTTAAATATTAACCACTGAACTATAGTAAACATATGAATCAATTACTTGATGATATTCCGAAGTGCCTGCGTTTTAAAAATAGATACATTGTCATTACAATGCAGTATGAATCACTCAACACCATGAAGATAATTTTGTGTACCTGTTTAGCATTCTGAATACTACCTCTTTCAGGATCCCGATTCCGTAAATAGACTAATTCTTGTTGTTGTCCAGCCCAAAGTCCTCTATGATAATTTAGGAATATTTTTTTGTTACTTTACTTGTGTTTTTTTTTATATTTTAGTAAGGGTAAGAAGTATTACATAATACATGGACAGGAGTAATAATTATGATCAGCGTAATTACTGGAACTCACCTTACACATTCTCTGTTCAGTTTAATGACTCGAAAACTAAGATGGCGCTTATTTAGCATAATGACCTTGTACTCATCAGAACCTTCATCTAAGACGTGCCTAATACAACCAAAATTACACAATAATACAACCCACCAATTAATTATCCACAATAAGTCAAAGACGAATCATATCATACCTCAACGCTAAAAGAGCAGGTGTACCTAAAGACACAAATAAACAAATTAAGCGTCGAAAAATGGAAAAATGGACGCCACGTTTCTAGCGTGGGGTTCAACACATATAGAACTGATCAGAAATGTGTTCATTGCACAGAATGTTTGACCGCAGGTTCTGTATATCGTGAAAATTTTGAGTTTTGAAATTCTACGAGTATGACAAATCTACCTATGTACCTATCATTGATTGAATCAATGCGATTTGAATAAAGTTGAAAACAAATTTGAAAACTCGACAATTGAAGATAATGATTAAATTCGTATCATTCGTATATTCCTGATACAATTAATTTTTCTGATGTTGACTTGAACACTGTTTCTGATCGTATTCGTTCCTCTTCCATGTTCAAGTAATTCATTCAAGTAATTTACTTTTCCGTGACATAACTGATTGTTTGTAATGATATATAAATTAAATTGAGGAGTAACCCTTAAACTATCTTCATGCACTTGTTAAAATATCGTTTCGTTACGCAAATGTAAAGTAATACATAGACACATACCAGAAAGCACAGCCGTTCGCCAAGCAGGACTGTAAATTATCATAGAGCGTGTAAAACATAAATTAATTAAAGTATCGATTAATTTGACAATTACTTACCTCGCCTCATGTGAAATTACAAGGTGCTGGTCATGGTAGCTAATTGCATCAAACAGCGCATTATGATCGTCATATTCATCTGGGCACATGAAGTGATCCTTTATGAAGCATATAACCGTTATTTAACACCATGTAGTGGTTTATGAAAGAGGGGTTTATGTATACTTTATAACAAAGTTGTATTACCTGGTGTAATTTTAAGGACATTCTAACAGCAGCAGAAACTACGCCCTTTAGTAGATCCATGTCACAAAAAACTGAAAACATTATATACATATTTTATCCTGCTGCATCTTTATATTTTATACTTTCACAGCCCGAGTCAGGGCTTATGGAACCATCATGCCCGTGCGTCTGTCTGTGAACACGATTGGGGCAAAGTGGCTGAACCTATTGACTTGAAATTTGTCATATGCATATTGGACAAAGTTAGGAAACGAGTTCGAAGATGGGTCAAATCGGTTGACCGGTGGGGGTCATTTAGGTGCGTGGGGTATTACATACGCACAAAAATTTCAAAATTGTAGAAAGTTGAAATTGGGTATAGATGATGTAAATGGCTATGAATTTAAATTGGCAAAATTTTCGTCTGGGGGACAGCTCGTTATTTCAGCTGGAGTTTGACAGGATGTCTAAAAATGACTTATGCGTAGCAAACGCATCTTTGGAAGTTAAAGATTTGAAAGAAGCGAGGTCCCCTGGTCCTGATAGTCAAGGGGAAGGATTTGCTATTACTTTATAAATTAGATGACAAATAGTAGAAAATATTTAACAAGCATTCTACCATCCCCACCCACTACATGGGTTGGCAGTAGTAATAGTCGATTCGACTAAAAATTTAGAAACGACTCTGTTCCTGACTCGGGCTACATAAAGACTGCACGCTGGATGTTTTATTATGTCTTCGATTGTCGCTGGTAAAGATGAGCTTTGATAGCCGACTTTTGCTTGCGAAGAAATTATTAAAGATATATAAATAAATAGAAAGGCTACTTACCCCATTCGTCCCTTAGACACGTTATTCGAAAGTCGCCTTTAAAATTTTAAATATAATTTTTAACATTGCTTTTATCATTACTGTATAAAGCAGTTTTACAAAAGCTCAATTATTTTTAAACTCTAACCTTTAAACAAAGCATGTAGACCATACAAGAAAAATTCCACACTGTAAGTTAAGAAACAAGACGAAAACATTATGTAAATTCGAAAAATTACCTATATAAAAAAGGAACCCGATAGGATAACATATTTTCTTACCCATTACTGTGAGCTGCGACACCTAATGCGCGCCTTCCAAGAATACTTAAGGCGAAACACAAGGAAACAAGTCCTGAATCTTTTCCGCTATCGATTCCAACAGTCTGAATTTGAATGCAAAGAGTAAAGTGATGAGTTATTATTTGAGCTAAATAAGGACCAAAATAATACGGCATACCTTTTCTCTTTTTGACAAACAGTACTGAATCCAACTAAGGTAGAGGTGGCAAAAGCTGGTTCGCGTCACTCCAGCAATATTATAGTCATAGTCGCAATCAATATTTGCACTAAATACAGGATCTAACTCTGCGTAATTTTTATCGAGTGTGGGTTTCAAAGCGGTAACAATAGTATCCAGATTTAACCTGTCAAACCCGAATAACATTTAATTTTGTATCACATTTTTATTGAAGCTTACTCTTTAAACATAAATAAGTAATGATTACCATTCTTCAAGTTTCTCAGCTTTAACGGCATAGTAAATGATGCTCTACGAAATAATATAATGAATTAATATGACGGTTTAGTTGATATTGCATGGATGAAATTAGTTACCTTAACGTAATAGGTGATTAATATTTTCCTGAGATCATAAACTTGCAGCATAGATACAGCCGAATTATCAGATATACTGTATCCCTCCAACACGTATTTTGACACTGTAATTTTATAAATAAACAACAAGTGTACTAATTTGGGAAAAAAACTTACCCATCTTTAACTGGAAATCCTGGCAATTTCTGCATGTCTTTTGGGTTCATGTCCCAGCACTTTCACCCCCCTCGTCACTACCACCACACCCTCCGGACGCCATATGTTTGAAAAATATTTGAAAAATATTAAATATTTTTTAATACAGAAGAACAACACATGTGCTGATCAACATGTGAGCGAGAGCGACAGACCGGTTGAGTGGTGGTGGTGGTGGCGGTATTTACTGCAACTTGTCTGCTTGAGACACGAATGTGAGCAAGTACACATGTTGGGTTGGATTTCAACTCAACCACTACCAGTCCGGGACTGAGACGAGATTTTCGCTGTCGTGAATTTATTTGTAATCAATTTTTCAAATGTTATAATAAAACGAAAAATTTAAACTTTCCAACTCCTCCCCCACCACTACACCCCGTGTTGGGTGAGAAAAGGTAATTATTTATTTTCGATTCCAATAGTTGGATATTTCTCGTTTCTCATTTTTCTCATTTGTTCTCATTATTTCCCAACATTTCTCATTCCGTTTCGTTCCGTCTTACTTGCAGATTGACAGAATGACTTCGACAACAGATGAGTTGGATGGAGGAGATTTAGGTAATCTTTTATTTTACCATTTCACTAATTTTGTTAATTATTTGTAGATCAACCATTTGATATTTTATTTACAGAGAGTTTTGAAATTCAAGGGAAACGTTACTTCACGGTGGACGAATATATGGACGAATGTAGAGGTTAGTGTCTCATTTTTGTTCCAAAAATTGGATGTATCTACTCTATATGAAGTAAACTTAACAATTAAATGTTGCCAGCTTTAGCCCAACGGGGACCCCTCTCCTCCGAGACCACCGAGTCATCAACCTTACACGACAAGGAGAATGTGACTAGCGTCGACGACGGCGTAAAATTAGGTAAACTAATATGCAGCTTTCCAACATTTGGACACTAATAAATAATTAATATCCCCCTTCTCATCAGATCAAGAGACACTTGTATCGTCGTCAGCCAGTGTGCGGGGACCTTTTCGTATAGTGTCAGCCTCTGCTACGTCATCTAGTCCTTCAACGACGTTATTCGTGCCAAAATACGATAAGACTGACGACGAGGTAGGTTCACCATTAATTTATTTGGCCTTTATTCCAACAGTTGGAGTTTATTGTCCCTGTTTTTCATAATCTTGCAATATTTTTAGCTGGAAAAGAAGACTCCTACTAATCAACTTGACCCCCCTTCAGCCGAACACAAAGTGCTTTCGCGTGACGATTTTCCCCCCCGCCGCGCTACTCGCGACCGTCACCAGGAGGTGTCAACTGAAGGTGAGTTTCCAATAATTGGACAATACTGATAAATAATCATTATTAAATTAATAACCAATTAATAACCAATTGATTATATGTATAATTATAGCACCACCACCAAAAAAGAAGAGCAGACCACTGGTGTACACTGATAGTGATAACGACGATGACGACGACGACGACTCGGTCACTGCTCCAGTTAACAAGAGAGAAGATCCCCCCCTCAAAGCCGATGACGATACTGAGAAGGAGGAGTGGGAGAAATGGATCGTCAAGAAGCACAATGAAGTAAATATTTGTAATAATTTGAAAGATGAAGCATCAAATTTAATTTAAAACTTTTCCAGATTGTTGGAATTTTTGAAAATGATGTTGTCATCGAGGATGGAGTTGTTACACGGCTATTTTTGGAGGATGATCCAATTTCTGGAAGACTTGTTGAAGTTAACGCAGGCATCATTGCGGAGCTCCTCCCTCACCAGTTTCGTGGCGCAAAGTTCATGTATGAAAATTGTTTTGGGAGGTTGGGACAAGACACACGCAATAATTATGACTTGTTTACTTCGGATTACCTCATTGTAAGTAATGTTTAATTTATTATGCACGTTTCCAACAGTTGGACTTGGAAGAAGATTGTCATGCATTTATTTTGCTATATTTTGCAGGGACCTGTGAGAGAAGTTCAAGTCGCAGTGTTCGCCCAGGCAGTACTGAAAAACGAGTCGCGACCCGAAATAAGGACAATTCTCATCCTCTGCCCCGTTCTCAAGAGAGAAATTTGGTCCGCTGAGATTCAAAGGGTGCTTGAAAATGTTGAACCCGACCAGAGACCTTTGGTGCATAACCTGTGGGAAGGACAAGATATGGAAGAGAAAATAAAATCTTTGAACCTGTGGACGAAACAAGGAGGAGTCGCCATTTTGGACTTTGAACTGTTCCAACAATTGGACGAGTACTACGTGGACGATAATGACGACGACTCTCGAGAAGCTATTAACAATAGTCTCTTCACTCCGGGTCCAGCGATTGTCTTTAAGGATTTGGAAAGCATTGATAGACGATATATTAATCGAAAGTACAAAGGTCTTGTGAAAATCACCACTACCAGACAGATAGTACTCCCTGATCTCGTAAGTTGACAACAAACATTTTACCCATGTGAATAGTGGTCCAATAGTTGGAAATAGTTTTATTAATTAACTTTTATTTATATATCTTTTCAGTATTCAAACGACCCAGTTCAACACATCAATCGTGTTATCTGTAGAGATTGGCTGACCTCGACAACCACTGGATTCTTGGATGACCATGAAAAGAAGTTTGAATTTTTGTGCGATTTGGTTGACTATCATGCCAAGAGAGAAGTCCATTGGATTCAGAAAAGAGGATTCGCCACTATACAGAATGATGGGTCAGGTTATTATTTCCTCAAATCCGACTTTCCAAATCAGTGGAGAAAGGCAATTTCAAGTCGCGCTAGACAAGCTTCTACAACTCCAGAACGTCGAGTTAAACACAAACTGTATACCAAAGAACTAAGAAGCAACACCCCCGGCACATACGTGTTTTATATATTGGTGATTTCTCCAATAATTGGACCCCTGACGGTTGGAGATTTGTGCAATCCAAATAGCGACATGACGATATACGTCGGCGAGTGGGACGCATCATATAACTATGCCCTCATCACATCCCGACCAGAGCATTTCACAAACAATAACTGCATAGTGTATAAACTAACCAGCGACCCCAAAAATCAATGCAACGAGGTTCTGGCACAGCAGTGCCTGAATCAGTTTGTGGCACACTTTGGAGAAGCTTTTATTTTGGTAATTTTATTTTATTAAGTCTATATTCCAACTTTTGGACCTATGTTTAATAATTATCTTAATTTAATTATATTCTCAACAGTATTATGCACACGAATGGAATAAGAAGAATCCGGAGAAGCCAAAATTCATCCTGACCTCCCCCGAGGTCCAAAACTTGGATGAAGACGGGAATTTGGAAAAACAAGCGAGACAAATGGCGAGGGACGGAATTTGGATCTTTGCTGCGCTTCAAGAGGATGGAGAACCACACCCACCACAACACGCGAGATTTGAAGAAATTTGTACGCTTCCGTTTATGATAAAACCCAGCTATATCAAACGAAGAGTGATCCCGGGATTGGGGCAGGGATCCAATGATTGGAAATAAGGTCTAGAAAGGTTTTGGGTTCTTTGACCATCCTTCCGGAAAGTGATATTTTGGAAATTTGTCACTTGAATAGTCGATTGCATATTTATTATCGATGTGCATATTTTTTGCATAAATAGTGTTGATATTTTTACAAATAAATCAGGCTTACCTGTGACCTCCCATGCCATCCATCTTTGACTAAAGGCTAAGAATAAGCATAAAAATATTATTTTATTATTTCAAAGATAAAGTTCATTACTGGAGGACATATATAGTAATTATTTGCATAGCCCGACTGTAACCAACAGCAAATGTGAAGGAGAATTTCATACCCGAGTTTACACTCAAAATATGAGGGGGGTGGCCTGGTTCACAACAACAAAATCCTACACAGGCAAGTAAATATAAGCATTTTTTCAGAATGTTATTAGTAAAAAAGATAATGCAAACTGTACCATCATCGTCTTCAACACCTTCCGAAATAGCTTCAACTTCTCTTTGCTGACAATACGTCCCTCGAAATTCTAAATTAGAAGTCTTCTAAATGATTGGGAATTCTATGATACAAATAGCTACAACCAAAACTTATTACCTAATCCCCGCATTTGAAACGTTACAAGACCATTTCCAACTTCTATAACATGTACGAGACAGTTGAGATAATCTGAAGCTAGTACAAAACAGTCCTAGGAGAAAAAATTATTTACAGTTGTTAGATAATTATCAGCTAACTAAGCCCCGTTTACTAGGTTTTGTAAGTGGCAGAAAAGTCTAATGGTTAACTAGAACCACTGTACTTACTCCTTGTGAAACCTGGCCCCATCGACCTGTTTTAGTAAATAATAATAAGGAAATAATTTATACACGTATCGAAATATTTGATAGGTTTAGAAGATTAACGAAAACATACCAAGCATGAGATCACCACACAAACAATCCTGGAGCGATCTGGTAAGATGCTCATAGAAAATAGAATTTAAATTGTTGTCATCTGCGCCTGGATTTTTCTCTAAATGTGTGGATAAGCGGGTGTTGGAATTGTCTACACGTTTAGTATTATAATCCTTCTCCCAAAACTTGATTGGTCTCACGTAGGATGTTATAAATATGGCACTTCCTAATAGTAGAAAAGATAATGCTCAATTTTAATCATCCGCGAATCTAGATTTAACAAAACGACCTTTCTCTCAACACTTTACCTAAAAAGGGATTTAATGGGGCGGACAAAAATGACGAAACTACTGCTTGTAAAAACAGCATTGCAGAATGTGGTACGCTGAATGGCTGAAACATATAATGTTTGTTAATTAATTTAACTGAAAATACATTTGACACAAAAGACAAATATTTACAAAAAACTGACCTGAGCAAAAGCATGAAAAGCTGATCCTAGTAGTGATTAAATAAATATATGATTCAGTAAAATTCAGACGACTATCCCCGTTAGTAAATTAGATACATATAAAAAATTAACGGTAGTAATATTCAACGAACGTTTTACACAGACTGGAAATGAAATTTAAATAATTCTATAAATTTCACTCTTAAGGTTTCAAAATTTCTTGACCTTGGAGGTCATGATCTACACGATCGAGTTTAGAGCACCGACCTTACACGTAAGGTCGGTTCTCTGAACTCGAAACAGAACTGAAAAATAATCATCGGTCAAGAGTTATCATACGAGGGACAAAACGTTCGCTTATAGTAGATACCGCTATGAATTTTTTTAATGATCACTTACCCCAGGTGATTTGCCACGGTGAAATATATTTTATGACGAATTGGAGTTTTAGGCATAGTTCGTGCATTTTGTGAAATGCGATACTCATGAAGAAAAAATCAACAAGAAAGGTTTCTGATAACCCAATCCAATCAAAATTGAAAAAGAGTAACGTAAAGACCTGGTAAGATGTACATAAAAAATTAGAATTAACGCTATTGTCACCTTGTCCTGTCCATGCACATCATAATTAATAATTTAATAGACTAGATTAGAATCAAATGCTTATACCAAAATCAAATAGTGCTTCCCAGGATCAGAGAAACTTGTCCGCAATGCTTTCAGACCAGTAATGACAATTATCAAACTTCCAAACGCAACTCCAAATTTGTCGTTACTAATAATCTTTGCAGATTCTGTAAGGGCGCTCGTAAATAATAAGGGATACACGACATTTTTTTCAAAGAAGCACAGCCACATGAATATTTTCTGCAAATTTAAATTGTTCATAAATCAATTGTAGGCGTTGGCTGAATACAACTACTAATCGTAAAAATGTGTACGCGGTCATACCTCGAACCACATTAGTCTTGCTGCAATGTAATGAGAAATTAATTAGTTAAACAATAATAAAACTCCATTTCATTCAGTCAGTCATTTATGGTCAAGCTGGATAAACTATTAACAAACATACCAGCATCACGGACTTCAAACTGATGATATTCGCCAGGAGGTAAAACTGGGTGAGACATAAGGAGGCATGGGAGTTGTTTTCGAAATTGAGGTATTAAATAATGAAGTAAAAATCCAAGCACAATTGCCAAAATCCACAAAGTCGGAGTCAATCCTGGTTGAAGAGCACTGAAAACAGTGCTGCTATGTAGTCCAAATATGACCAGTCCAATGAAAGTGCAAATAATTGCGTCCGACTACAAATCACAGACGCGGATTGCATTGATTACATAATATCAGTGAATAATAAAATACTTCAATATACAAAACTAACCAACAAACGAGACTTAACAGTGTCTCGTAATTTTTTTGGTAAAGGATCTCCTTGGTCTTCAGTATCTTGAGGTGGGACATTTGTATGCGGTTCCCCAAAACAGTCCTCTTCAGGACAAAAAAGCTGTTTTAATACACTCCACATCACACTGGGGTCAGATGTACAACGACTCATATGGTACGAAATAACGACCAATAGGCCACAGAAAATTGAGAACATCAGGTGTTGCGTTGATTTGGGTTCACTCATCGCACCATATGCAAAACCGTAAAGTAGTAACACTGCGATCCAATTGCGCAACAGGCTAATGATTCCAGCAGACAAACTTGATGTAGCGTTTCCACCAAATCCATGCTGTGAGAGAAAAAATAAATATTAGCAATGATTTGAAATACAGCATCATACCTGGTTAATTTTTAATTTCATGATTTAAAATATGCTGGATTATAAAAATACTAAAATGAATTTAGTTTCTATCTGCACATACAAATCTAACTATAAGTTGTTGCGTTTTCTTACTGATAGTTGATATATGCATGGATAACTCACCATATCGATTTGCTCGAGAAGATACATGAGAAATGTGTTGATTTGAGCTAGAGATGGTAGGAAAATATGCACATAGTTATGTTAACGTAACAAGTGATTAGAATTTTTAGGAGAAAATTTAAAACCACGAGAAATGAAATATTTAGTTAATATGATCTATTCATAAAAATAGGATACAAAATTCTTACTTACCAAACAATCCAACGCTGAATAAGACGGGAAAACAGAGCAAAATAATTAAAAGGGCGGTTTGAATATTTTCAAGAAATAGTTTTTGCGTCAAATCCACTCCATATAATTTTAAATCAAAATCGTGTGTGCCATTATCCAATAAAACTTGTGTCAAATACACCAAGCCTCCGCACAGGCAAAAATAAATTGGGCGACTGAATGCCGTTAAATAATTAAATCCGTGGGTGGGGGAAGAAGCGTCAGGCTGTACACTTGAAAGTAACGAGAACTGACAGCTTGCAATCACAAAACACATTAGCACAACTGTTAAATCCTGATAATATCCTCGGTGTAATATGTACGATCCTAGGCAGGCAACACCAACCGCGAGTATAATGCAAAACAAGTTTTCCAATACGGAACGGTTTCTGTCAAACAGCGCCATTAATTTTAATCTGTCGAACCAAATTTTTGTATACGCATTTGGGAAAAAGTAAAGTAGTTTCATCATGTAGTATTGACGAGGTAATTTTTGTTCCTTTTGTTTGTTGCGATCAAACCCTCCACGACCATGAGAATTCAGACGGTCTCCTCCACCCAAAACTCCCAGGGCAGTCGTGTGGTAATTGTGGTCTTGACCGAGATTGTAAGTTCCACCTGGTCTTCTTCGTTCAATTATGGATTCAGTCAACACTTGCAGTACATCACGCCGGTTCCTTTGCCAGGATCTCTGCATTGATGAATAGCTTGGCATCGGCAGTCGTGTCGAGCTGAGTGCATGAGACGAATTAGATGCTGAGACGCTGTTGTATTCTGGAGTAATTGTTACTAGAGATGGAACTGAAGCTATCGGACTAGGACACCCACTGTCAGTTTGACTTTGTCCGCGACTTAGGCTCTGTACCGTACCACCCCCACCCCCACCGGATATACCACGTGAGTGATGAGGCGGATTACTTCGTCGATAAGATGCATACATTTTGTTGGTGGATGTGTCGAGTTCTGTGGTTGAACTACCACTTGACCATGATTCACTTGATGGAGTTTTAATTCCAAGTGGATGATGATGACTTCCACCGCACCCTGAAGGATTTAAGCTGGTGCTTTGACGTGGTTCGGTATTAGATGCTGTAAAATCAGACCGTATATTTCCAGCAGATTTATCAGAATTTTGGTATTCATTAATGACTGGGGGAAAATTTAGTGGATTCGAAGCATCTATGATTGTCGTTATCGGTGCGGGAGATTTTTCGGTAAATATATACGAATGCCAACTTCCTCTTTCATCCTGAAAATTAAAAAAAACGAAGATATAATTTATAGAGAAACACTGGCAATGTTTTTCCTTGCAGAAGCTAAAATGCGAAGCTACTAAATAAAGCCAATAAACGAACTCATAATGAACAATTATGTATATTGCATTGATTACGCATATCAGATTATGATAACCCACCTGAAAGTAGTGGATTGCTCCTTCTGTTGTATCATCATGTGAGTTGGCCACGTGAGTTCCAGATGCACCAACGTTAGGAGAAACGAATGGAACATCTCGTCGCCTTTCCAAAGACCTTCTACTATGTGTAAGTCTCATCAAACGTCTGTGCCTTGCAAAAATAGCATTTCAGATTTTTCAGAGAAAGGCTTAAAATCAAATGTGAAAAATAACTGTTATTTTCACGCATTTCCCATGTACCTGTTAACTGCTGTGGGTCCTGTGGCAAAATCCGTCGCACAATTCATTGAATCTTCCCTCGAGTCTCGAGGTCGAAATGTGCCTGGGATATTTCCTCTGCCGGATGATGATGAGTTGGGAAGTCTATCGTGATAAGTTGTTAAAGGACCAGCAATATCCAAAGAATTTTGCTGACCAAGTGACCTTAGTTGAAGTTTTAACTCCCGGGCAGCACTGTGGAGAAATGGAGCGCCAGACGGTACAGGACTATCACGGTCACCTGATCCCCGTCGATGTCTGTGCCTATTTTCATTTCTATTTCGACGGTTGGTATTTGTGGCTATATCATCCAACAAAAGACCACCAAAAGCAGAAGATGTAGGGGAGGGCTCGTGAGTTTCTTCCAATAACCTTTCCAAGACCCGTGGACTAGTTTCTCTATCACCTCTCCCTGGAATAATTTAATTAATATATCCAAAATATAATTATGTAAGTACATAACAAGCATTTTTTGAAGCAATCGTAGCAAGTTATTGCATGCATATTTAGTAGATTATAGCAAGTATTTGTTATCAATAAGCTATTACGTGAACCACTTCCTCGTCTACCACTAGAACAACTTCCATGGGGCTGAATCCCAGTGTGACGTTTTGGAATAGCACCGAATCTCAAATCTTCAGGTGTAGTAACTGCTGAGGTAGTTTCCCGATTTTTTTGACTTTCTCCGACTTCCGAAACCAATGGTTCAGCGTCTGTACAAATAATGCAAATTACTAGTGAATTAAATATTATTAGTAAATTTTAGTCAGTTATAAGGTTTCATGTTAATTTTTTTCAAGTTCTATAGGTATTTTCAGAAATTGAAATTGAAAAAATTATTTGGCTGGTTTGGCACGGGGGTGCATATATGTACATACCTGATGGCTCTTTGGATAAATCGTTGTTTGAAGCAAAAAGCCATGTTAGTCCCAAGAAACTTTGACTTTTTTGAGAGTCTGCTGACGTAATAGAATCTGTATCACAGTTTTGAATTTTGCTTTCCGTGTTATCACCTAAATGTTGAGTAAATATATTTTTTTTAACTGTATAATGCATAATGTATCGTAAAGTATTGTTTGGTTAGTTGCATACAAAACTCTTCAGTAGAACCTCCCATAGATGTAGATATTGCTTTTACAGCAACGTTCACAGCTTGAAACATCCATTGGCCAGAGAAAAATGGCCCCCCAGCGAGATTCCATCCTACTAATGAATCATTTTGCGGAACCAGTGCAAATCGTTTCTCTGTCAAAGAAGATTCTTCCACGTTATCTGCTGACACGGACGCAGGAACACTGGATATTTCTTTATCCAAGCCAGAACAATATTGACTAAGATTGTTTCGGACTTCAGCAGCACTCTCGCTACGCTGGTACATTTGCTTTGACGATCTTACATCTGAACTCCGATTATGAGGATGAATGTTCTTTCGTCGTTTTTCCTTTCCTAAGCGATTATCTCGATCTTTTGAAATGGCGTCCAACTTGCTTCGTCCCTTATGATGTTGATGATAGTAGTGTTGGCTTCCGTCTAGTGATCGTGTGCTAAATGACACTCGTTTACAATGGCTAGCAGCTGTATCACTGATATTGTTATCATCCCTTTCCTTTGTTAGCGACAAAGGTATTTGCTCCTTTGAGGATTTTTGTTCCAAACTACAATGTCTTTGGAGTAATGGCGTTCTGCTCCTCACATGCTCGTCGTCACTTTCACTTTCTGATTTACTCTCGGAATCACTGCGTTGGATTGAAGAAGCAATTTTATTGTTCTTGTCCTTTCCCAATCTTTGCTGTTGTTCATTGTTGACTTCATCAATGTTATTCCCAACTTCTTCTTTAGATCCAATTTGGAAAATAGGCTTCGAGTCAGCCCGCTTATCTGCTGACTGCAAGTTATGAGCTGATTGACTCCCACAAATGGATCGAGATCCCGATTGTTTACTAGATTTTGGTGTTGCAACAATATGATGAGGATGAGTGTCGACGTGTTGGTTACAACTTGAAGTCTCAGCAACACTTCTTGTGCGACGAAATTGTAAGCGCTTGTGCTTACAACTTTCATCGGACTCTGTTCAACCAACAAATGACACCATTTTATATAATAACTTTATTTTGTCTTGTTTATCGTGTCGATCTTGACTACTACATAAGAAAACAAAAACATGGATTGGGTGTAGGAATATTGAAAATTAGAACTTACCGTGCTTTGAAAGTACAGATCCCATATCCAAAGATGCTGCCTGTTTCAATTTGTTTTCAGATTTTGAGCAATCATCTCCATCCCGTAGGCCTGAGTCCAGGCTGAGAACATTACATAAAAGCTTTCCTGAAGAATTGAATCCGTCCTAAAACATTTTCAAGTATTAACAACTTAGGATTAGCAACAAGGTGTTATGCTATTGTTGGAAGACCACCACGAAACATGTATAAAATTAATTATTATATAATCAAGCTGTTACGTACTGATGATGGTAGTACCACTTGGGATAACTCCATAATGCCATTGCTGTTGTCACCGGAAATCCAAATGTCTTGATTATCTTCTTCTTCCTCGACTGGACTTTGAGCTTTCGACGCATTAGTATCATGAATAACTACGCTCTCAAGAGCACCAACATTTACACCTAACAATAGTGATAGGGATGGTCATTAAATTAAGAAAAAGTAGGCACAACCAATACGTTACCGGTTCTTTCTATATAATAATCTTAACTTAATGTCTAAATTACACTCACATGAGATATCTAGTTCATGTTCATCCTGGCATATTGAGTTTCTTGAATTTGGCTTATTGAGATGAGATGACACACTACTTCTTGTGCTATCCGAGCTGGACGAACATTCATTGCGATGCACGTCAACCTTTAGGTTGGTGGCTTAAGAAATGACATAAATATATTTCATCTACACTGAACATAATCTGCCAGATTCAGGCAACAGTTTACTGTATGAACTGGTTTTTAATTCAAGTATCAATGTACCTGTAGGAGGGTCAGCAGTGGTATCTTCTATCGATGAACTCCTCAATCTAGGGTTTGCAGCCGACCTACTCATTGTCATATCTTGAAGCTCTATTCCCTCCCTAAAGATTATTATTTCGACCATAATTACTGAAGTCAATATATTCAAGTAAACTTTTTTGATAATGTTATAATAGTTGCTTACGATTCGTTTAGTCCAAGATTCTGCGTTTTTACGACTACTTTGACTTCCTCATCGCCGAGAGTCACGCCTTCGTTCTCCTTTTCAGGTTCAACGACAGGTTCCGTCGTATCAAATAAATAATGGAATCGACAATTTACGACTTTGATGCACAAAAACACTACACCAACGGTCCCCACATATATTGACCAAATTGTAGGAGTGGATGTGAAATACTGAAAATATCAAACAATGAATGAGGGAGCTGAATTAAAGAGATAGTTAATAATGTTTGACTCCTTACAATACATAAAGTGAGGGGAAATGCCATGAAGAATATCCAGAGATACAGATGAACCGTGTTGATAAATAAGGGTTGTCTCGGGTCGTGAAACCAGCCACCTGTAAAAGAAGCCCATACTCCTTGGCGCAAGATCCTGCAAATCAGAGAAGGTCAACATTAATGTTGATTTGCAAGTAATGGTCTTTCTGTCTTTCATAAAGTAGTTTACAATCTATATACAAATTATTTCACTTACTCGAGAAGATGGGACCCCATCGTAGCCCGTTCACCGTTTCTGGAACGGGTCTACTCAAACCAAATCCTGTTTTTGAACAGAAACCTCTTTAAAACTGTTGCCATTGATGGCACGATGATCTGTTTATCCATTCATTCCAGAGATCCTGAAAATACAAACAAATATTTCAAGTCTTGCGTATTCATTATAAATGTGAATATGTACACGATATTAATGGATATACAAGATCATATATAGCAATCAAGGAATGAAGATTAATGACAAATGACTTTATTTTCTTTCTTTGATATCTTTTATGCGTGTCAATTTAAAAATCTTGTGGGTTCTAGAGTATCACCTGCTTCTGTATAGATGGCTGATTGACAAAACCAATTGCGAGGTTAGCGCAGTAAATCACGAAGTTTCAGAAAATGATAATTCTGTTCTTTAGTAATTATTAGCGTGTTTGGAAATAAGAAGAGAGCGGAGACTAATGTGGACCATTTAGTTTGAAGTTGGAGCCAGGAAGGAATCACCAGGAAGTGAAAACTGCCGTCTTCTATGGGACAGCCGGATTACGCAGCACAGATATCGTTTCATTCCTTTCGTTGATAATTTTCATGGGGTTTCGCTTGTTTTGGTAGTTTGGGTCCTATTTGTTTGTTATTGTTGTCAGATGCATGGCATTCCCACAATTCTGTCGTACCCACAAAGAATGCATGAAAATTGAAGCCCATGGAAAGGTTTCTACCCTTGACGATGCACTTTACAAAAAAATATATATTATGGATGGACTTCTAGTGTAATGCTAATGTCTCTTAAGTTTAAATATGAGCATTTTGTTCACGTTGTGTAGATGTGTGCAAAATCACCGAGTCTAATGTACAATAACAATAAGTACATGCACCGTCGTATTACGAAGAAGTCTTTACAAAATCAACTGGACCCTATCTTCTTTCTACTGAGAACATGGAACAAAGTAAACCTCACACTGTTGGAATCATGAAACTTTGATTACTAATTATAATTGTGTGTACTTACTGGTCAGCATAGATTGATCTTGCGTGTGGCAATTCTACATTGGCATCAATCGTATTGCGGATTCTTCTTCACATCACAAAAACCAGCACAAACAAACGACAAGCAGCCCATTGTTCATTCGCCGAGATGGACCATTCATGTGCGTGCGTTCTTTGCAGTGGCAGTGGCAGCAGCAGTGCTGTGTTGTTGGCAGAACTATAAGTCGATCCCCTCTTTCGCAAACCAAACCACTTTTCTCTGAGAATTTGGGTCTGCCTCTCTCCAATGTATTTCTTATTGTGTGTGTGCTGCTGCTGGTTGAATCCTCTTCATCAGTTTTATCAGAGGAGGGCGACCGCACGGGCTGGCTCGACTTTTATTTACCTTTATTTTAGTGGTAAGAAAAAACAAGGATAAGAAACGTCACTTTAAATTTTATATTAATTGGTATCAAATAGTAAATGTATTGATTCTATTCTATTTTAGAGGCACAAGCAGCATAACATAAGGTGCAAGGCAAAAGGAGAAACAAACAAATCGTCCGATTGTTCATTTTTTAGACAACTTTGATAAGTGTGATTTATATAGTTTAAGTTTGTTATCAATTAAAGGATAACTGTTGGACTATAATAGTTTGTTGGGTAGATGTACCGACCGTGTAGTGTGTAGTGATGATTTAGAAAATCGTGTGTGTGGTGGTATGTATCTATATATAATGCCAAATGTGTAATTATTGTGCTGCAATGTCGTCGCCATTTCATTAATCAACACCTTGAATTCCCAATATGAGATCTCCAGCTTATTGTAATTTCAAGATGCCAAAAAGTTGACTGCCCGTTTTCAAGCATACGCCATCGGGTCGGATGAATGGGCTGGGGAAAGTTCGTAGAAAAAAAAAATCAATTCAAAACCATCCTAGTTTCAAATGTGCTCGATGGAACCTCAGCCATCCTTAACAAAGCCATTGTACAAAAATTTCCTTGCGAATGGCGCTCGGAATGGGGGATTTCATGATGATGAAGAACTTCTGACAAATGAGTCCAATCATCACCACCTCCCCGGAGGAAGTAGGATATTCAAAAACCCAAGTTCTACCAGCAGTAACAATGTGGAGAAACGTGGACGAAATAGATCCCAGTCCACAACACCGCACTTATCACCCTACACTGACAACTATCGAATCCCCCATAGCAAGAAAACGTACCAAACTAATCACAACACACCATCGCGACGAAGTCCATTTCAGCATCATTACCTAGCAAATGGCGGTGGTGTATCGGCCACGAATACAAAAAGATCAAGCCACCATGGGAGTTTGGGTCATCTCAGTGGTTCGGAAAGCGAGTTAACCTTAGCTCCACTTGGATATGGTAGTCGAGCTGTGAGCAATTTGGATGTCTTGGATAACAGAAGTAACAACAGCCCTTATCACCACCAACAAGGCGGAGGCCATGTAGTAGTGATCCCTGCTGCTGGGGGGACTACAATTTTTGGAGGCAGCAGTGTCGAAATTGGGCTGGACACGCCTAGTAGTTTTATTGACATGACGGAGCAGACGACTGTTGGTTTCGACAAACACAGATCTTTTTGGGAGTCAATGTATGATTACGATGCTCAGGGTGAGGATGAATTAACATTACGGCGCGGAGAGATTGTGGAAGTGCTGTAAGTAAAATAATAATACAAATCTACTATTATTTTCAGAAATTATTTTTCTTTCTACCATTAATTCCATTGTAAATACCTGTATTGTTTCTTTAGTTCAAAGGATGCCAAAATATCAGGCGACGAAGGATGGTGGACGGGGAAGATTGATGACAGAATTGGAATATTTCCATCCAATTTTGTTGCCCAAGCAGACGCACGTTCTCTCAGTCTCAGTTATCAAATGTCCACTTTGTTGGAAGCTGTACAGCCACTTCAAATTGACTTTAGTGAACTGCAGCTTGAAGAAATCATAGGCGTAGGAGGCTTCGGGAAGGTGTACAAAGGAATTTGGAAGGAAGAAGAGGAAGTCGCGGTGAAGGCTGCGCGATATGACCCGGAAGAAGATCTTGCAACAGCCATTGCTAATGTTAGTCAAGAAGCCAAGTTATTTTGGCTCTTAAATCATCCTAACATTATTCATCTTCTTGGAATGTGCTTGGAACCTCCCAATTTGTGCCTTGTGCTAGAATATGCTCGTGGAGGTTCTTTGAATCGGGTACTAGCTGGAACCCAAATTAGACCTGATGTCCTCGTTAATTGGGCTATTCAAATTGCTAAAGGAATGGATTATCTTCATAACTCTGCCCCAATATCACTCATCCATCGCGATCTCAAATCTTCAAACGGTAAACACTTTGCTATCTGTCTCTCACTCTCACCTAATAATTCTAGAGATTCGTATACAATCAACAAATATAAATAATAATCAATTAATCCAAATCCAAAGTGTGGTTAATATTGACAATATTGATATACAGCTAAGGTTCATTTTTGTGGTTTACTTGATATGACCTTGATGTCCATTGTTCCATAACCTGTAAAGTACAATATTATACATACCTATCAAATACATGTGTGGCTAGCAAACCGCAGTGTGTGTGCCAATTTCTAAATAGACTTGTGGTTAGAAATTTTATAATTTATCATTTTAATTGGTCCACACTAAGATTATGGCATATTATGATGTGATAATATTCGTTTAAATCAGCAATTCTATGTTAGCCGACAATGACCCCTCTTTTTATTAGTCTCGTCTCTTGGGCACCACTCGACTCACTAATCATCTCATAGAATCACCTTAATCAACTAGAAAAAAAGTTCTCAATAATAATGGCTCGTGCCGTAGGTCACTCATTTTAGCAGAATGTATAACCAAGTGACAATGCTTGTCCATAGTATAGTTGTACTAGGAACTAGTAAACAGTAGAAAGAAACTAGCAGTTAGTTGCATTGGTTTACAGTTTATAGGAACATATTTAGCAGTTAGCACCAAAAACTCAAACCCAAGATTGGCCAAGATGACACCTAAATTTGTATGAATACATGAACTTGAAATTTTATTTTATTAGATAAGTAGTAAGTTAGCCGAGTGAGCGAGAACAAAAAATGCTCAATAATTATCAAGAACAAATTGACAAAAAATTAAATGCGGACTCTTACCCTGACTAGATCAATACTGCATTGCAGGTTTTGTGCTCAATAATTATTTTTTAAAGAGTGAAAGCAAGTTTGCGGAAATTGAGTGTGAAATAATTTTGCAAGGGGGTGGGGAGTTAAAGTCAAGGTATAATTTATAACTTGACTTTAATTTACTATTTACTTTATAACTCATAAAAAAATACGATAGCATGTAATTGTAATAACGAATTTGATTCTCCAGGAGTCAGAGCTTTACTTTGCCTATAAAATGTAGAGCATCAAGAGTCATGAAAGGAATTAAAGTTAAATTGGTGATGCATTCATTTACGTGTCGAGAGCATAAATAACTTGAACGTATGACGCCTTTATTCAACAACGAGGATTATGTACATATCCAGAATTAACCTAATGTTAGTGTTAGTTGGTAAATACTGGGTACTGATACCAACCACCAGACATGTGACATATTTTTCTTTACTAGTGGCAACTATGACGTACTATGTAACCTAAGATCACTCAATCATTTTAGGATAATTATAATCTCGTCATTGGGTATCGCGCATGTATTTCATGTTATTTTATGAAACATGGGTTGCCTAAGGTTAGTTCCAGTTAATTTTTTTCATGAGGTTCTTCAGCTAAATATGAGCAGTACTTTTGCATATCAGATCGGATATCAAACTACTACATATCTTAACCTAATCTTAAAGGTTTACTTTATTTCATGTGCTGTTAAATTGTTGTTAGCTCATGGTTATTTTTAAAAGGGACTTTAATTCATTGATCACTTATTAAATATTTTGTTTTGGGATTCAGTGATATAATTCATGTGCCACTGTTCACGATGAGCAGAGATAAGTCATGTTTGACAGATAACATTATTCTCTTCGTACGCTGAGTCTGAAAGGAATTTAGGAAGCTATTATTTAGTTGTGTCTCAAACACTTATCAATAAATTTTTCGAATATTGATATATGCAAACAATTAGATTTTCATCATTTTCAAAATTCATCTGCCTAATTAAATCATTAATCAGTGTAGAAATTATACACCTAAAAATGTTCCCACCTCCAAATACAGAATTCGATGTACCACCGTATTTTTCTCATCGCATCCGATCTTTTCAAATGTCACCAATAGTTTATGCCGTTTAAACTCGAGTCTTATATTTTTGTTTACAGTTTTGATAAGTGAAGAAATCGAAGCCGGAGATGACCTTTCTGAAAAAACATTAAAAATAACGGATTTTGGCCTAGCTCGCGAAGTCCATAAAACTACGAGAATGTCTGCCGCTGGGACCTATGCGTATATGCCTCCTGAAGTGATAAAGAATTGCACATTCTCCAAAGCATCCGATGTGTGGAGGTAAGAGATATAGTTTTAAATAATGTCAGTAAGGTTACATGAAAAATTTACAATTTCTCCATTTTGGTTGTTTCTTGCTTCAATTGCCACCAAGTTGTAATTTACAACGATTTTTTTCAAAAATTGTCTATCCGTTAAGAAAAATGTTAAGATTTCAGTTCAATACAAAGTTTTTGCATAAAAGCATGCAGCATGTATTTTATAAACCTAGTTGTGTTGCATACTAATATTTATAAACACGCATTGTGCTTGTTAAAAGGTCCTACGATTGGAATTTCCGCTCGACGCTCACCGCTTACTTTTCTGCATCCTCATAACGTACATTGACTGGTGTTGTTTAGTACAAGATTTTTTTTATATGACATGGGTGCAAGCTAAATATCTATGTATGCTCTTGTGCTTAATCAACTTTTCGCTTTATTATTATCATTGTTATCATGAGCATAATGTGTTGAAACCAGTCAACAATTTTAGTATGATGTAAGTATGCATATGTATACAGTGCATTTAGAATTTTCCATTTTGGTGCCACAGATAATGTAATCATTCATGTACAAGTGCCAACCGGAATGCACACATTTGCTCTCAATTCTATATCCGTGAACTTAGAAAACTTACTTGTTCTTTTTAATTGCATGTTCATTGTTTGACCATAATTCATATTTGGCCACTATTTTTTTTCCTTGTCTGGGTTCCTATTTGAAGAATTCAAGCTGTTGACGGTTAATTGACAATTTTCAAATAACAACTTCTTGGAATAGAAAGTTGACTGAAGGAGGAATGTACGACCATAATGAGAAAAATATTGTCAACCCAGGATTGACGCACTTTTATGTTTATATATATGTTGAATGGAAAACATATCAATGAAATTTTGATATACACAAATAGTGCGCATTCAATGACCCTACCTACATATCACATTAGTGGGGTTCATTGTGTGATTGATTGATTCCTCGCATTGCTTCCTCTCGACTGGAACAGCAGAATGCCTGGCATCGTTTCAGCAACCACGTGATCCTTTGTATCCTGAATACTTGCCTATCTGTATATTATAAGACACCAATGACTATGGAGAACAATAAGATGGAATTTTAGATTTGTTGTGTGTCTACATAGCTGTATTTATGCAGTACCCGAAACAAACATACGTGGCTATTTGGTCCACCAGTTTTTATGTTTGCTAAACACTCGTATCATAATACTTTGTAGTTGTGAATTTATTATTAAAAAATTATACTGGGTCTTTCCTGCTTGCTATATATGTTCTATACTGTATTCAAAATTTTAACACTTAAATTTTTAGCCAAGTACAATGTCTGAGGATGGCATATGCACATGAAATATATATTTCATGTCTCCGGTTATTAGTCGTTGTCTCTACGTACATAGACCAGCTATTTAGAGATGATATTAAATTATACAAGTCCTTATTTCATTTCTTCAAAGCAATGTTTGCCTGGTATTGGACAGAGTTCAAAACTCGGATGTTAATTGATCAGTCGTGAGAAAATGTGTGTTGCATCTGCTTCCGGTGTGTAACGATATGGGTTCAAGCACTTTCCTTTGTTTACTTTTTTACTTTTGCTCAAACAAAGGTGTTCTCAGTGACGATTAACTACTTTTTCTCCCACTCTTTATGGTTATACTTTTTCGATTTAGATTCAATTTAGATATGTAGCCTATAAAATTTGTGGGTAAAAGTAGTATGTAACCTTTGTATCGTAATTTACTACTATTTATTTAGCATGAAAACTCTACTGTTTTTAGCCATTGCATGGACAATTGGATAGCAATAACACTATTATAGTTGCAGAGGTTGACGATTACCGAAAAATTTATAATATATTATATATGTATGCTACCTATGCATACAGTCAATGGAACAAGTATTGGCAACACCCACATAAGCTAAATAAAATTGGCTGTAACTTTGGCATGCATTATCAAATTAGCATGAAAATTTGTACGCAGTTAGCAAATCTAATGTAGTTTTCGATTATAATCATGTTTTACTGATTAAAATTAGATTAACGCAGTTTTTGAATAATTTGCTGGAAAATTTGCGAAATTAACCCACAAAAAGTATTGGCACCCTCTAACTTAAAAAATCATAGAGCAACGAAACGCCAATTTTACTGCGACAAAGTGCTTCTAGTATTGCGTGGCACCTCCCCTCGACCCAATAAGAGCAGAAATAGGTCGTGGAATTTATTCGACAAGTTCCTATATAACGTTTTTTTATATGGCTGCCCACAGTTCTTTTAAACTTTTGACAAGCTCGTTTTCCGACTAGTGGTTTCCCATTGGTCTCTCTTTTCTTAACCCGGACAATCAGAATCACATCAGGAGACTGTGCAGCCAACGAAAGAATCTTTACCTTTTCGGTCTCCAAAAACTTGCATCGTTAATTTGGCTACATGTTTGGGGTCACTGCATTTTTGGAAATATTAAATTTTTTCCTAGGCCAGGTTTTTGTTAAATGATTTCAAATTATCGTTTGGAACACCTTCCTGGTCATGATTTCATCGATAGTGACCAGGTAACTACGCCGAGAACTGGTCATTTAACCCCAAACCATAATCGATCCTCCTATGTGTTAAACTGCCATAAGAACGTTTTAGTATTTCTGAGCCTTTTATTGCATCCGCTAGACTTGAACCAATTAATGAGCTCCGAATAAGTAAAATATGCCTATGTCGGACCAGTAGGCCCTTTTTCATTGATCGGAACTCTATTTAGGGTCATATTTAGCCCATTTCGATTTATTGAGGTGGTTCGCTTTGGGTACTCTCGCGTCGGTCGGGCTTCTGGAGCCTGAAACCCCAAGGCATAATTTTTGATTGATCACCATATTGTATGATATGTTGACCCTGCAGTTGATACTCCAATTTAACATGGATTTTTAAGCTGAAATCTTCCGCTCTCGAGTGGTTCGTTGCTTGAGTCATCCTTAGGTTTTGGGCTTAGATGACTTTTTTCTTCCGCATCATGGAAAAGTAGAAACTGAGATTGTCATTTTACATTTCTTTGCTACGTATTCAATAGTAAATATGGAAAAGTATGTTTTCTCTTTGATTTTTCGATAGTAAAGCTTTTTTCTGAAAGAGACATGATTATTTCTCGCCGCGCCAAATACAGCTCGTTTTTTGTCGCCATTTTGGCTCCAGACAACACAACTGTAGACTTAAAATGTAGCTAACCTCATATTTTGTCACCTAATTAACTTACCGTAACGAAATGTGGAAGATGGTTAAGAAAATTGTTTTGAGTAATTAATTTGGCCACATGTTGCCAATACTTTTTGCAGGTTTGCATCTGATTCGTTGAGGTCAAAATCAGAATTGTGTTATGTTTATCAGATATAAATCAGAAACATGATTATAATCGAACACTACATTAGATTTGCTAAATGCGTACAAATTTTCATGCCAATTTGATAATGCATGCCAAAGTTATAGCAAATTTTATTTAGCTTGTGTGGGTGTTGCCAATACTTGTTCCATTGACTGTATATATACATATATCTGCTACGAACTCATGTATGTATGTATGTACCTACCTACCTATATATATATACAACGACGTATCAGCATTCAAAACTGGTAAATGGAATTTACTAATCTGCTGGCACAAGAGGCAGAAGCGTGGCGTCTGGCAGCTTCTCTAATCATTTAGCATAGGCAGACCCTCGGGATCCTAGGAATTTCATCTGTGTGGCAAGGAATTCGCAAAACTCATGAGGGACGTGGGAACAATAAGTACCTCTTATGCAAATGTAATGATGGTTCCATTGCCTCGGGACGATGATAGTATAGTTAAGCTCTGCAAGATTTTAGGTACTTTTTGTTGTTTGTCCCTTATCGAATCTCATTCGCCGCTCAATCTCCTTTTATTTTGCGATTTCAAGTCACGATTATCGTTCCTATATATGAATATTCGACTATATTGGTGATGTTGTGGTTTTCTTTTTTACCACCGTGCCGGCGACTTCCCATTCATCATTTATTATGTTATATAACCTCATCTGTAACAAAGGAAAGGATTATGGTACTGAGGAGGGGAGGTTGTGTACTATCAACTCCCGGATCTCGATGCCCTTTGGATATGTGGTAGTGTCCCATGAATGAACAAGAACCCTGAAGTGGTTTAATGCCATGGCCACATTTGCGCCCGCCACACCCACTCAAAGGTGCCCAAAAATCGCTTCACTCTAGCTTTCACTCATTCAAAATAACGCCAAAAATCCAATTTTACTCCGATTTTCAAATTTATTTCACCATTATACTCCCAGATAGTTGCTCTCTTATATACAACATCAAATTCAACTTTTTGGAATTCTTAGTATTTTATAAAATTTAAAATTCTGAATGAGCATTGTTGTGGAAATCAACAAAACAAATTATTTCTGCGAGATAATCATCAAAAAAGTTGAGTTTGATGCTGTATATAAGAGAGCAACTATCTGGGAGTATAATGGTGAAATAAATTTAAAAATCGGAGTAAAATTGGATTTTTGGCGTTATTTTGAATGAGTGAAAGCTAGAGTGAAAGCGATTTTTGGGCACCTTTGAGTGGGTGTGGCGGGCGCAAATGTGGCCATGGCATTAAACCACTTCAGGGTTCTTGTTCATTCATGGGACACTACCACATATCCAAAGGGCATCGAGATCGGAGAGTTGATAGTACACAACCTCCCCTCCTGAGTTGGAAAACTGTAAGATAGCCAGACAGCGGAGGACTTAAAATTAATGCCTCCTTTTATACAATCGTAAGAATGCGTATTTTCTATATTATGGTAGACTACTGCATATGTATAACATGTTTTGCTGGCTATAACCAAAGTATATAAGTAGTTGTGTGTACAGCATTTGCTACTTTATAGTTTATTAGTTTTAGGTACAATGTGTGCCTTGGCTCTCCAAGTTATTCCGGTAATTTTTTTCAGTGAGGTACTAACTACTTAATTTATACATTATGAAGTATTATGAACTGCAAGAAAACGTGTTGGAGTCTATTTCAAGTGCTGGAAAAAAACATATACTCGCATATATGTACGTACTCACCCGTCCACTTTTTTGTGTACCTTGAATACATCACATTGCATTGTATTACGGCTGCGGAATCCGGTTCACTTTTTGGGGAAGACAGAATGTGATTACTTTGAAGAAATGGAAGAGAATTTCTCATAGAGCTATATAATAATTTCTGCACATAATTCCATTAAGACCAAAGCATGTGCAATAGGACTAACTTAATGTATAACGTGATGGAATTTTCTCAACAGCGTTTAAAGATGTAAAGGTTTCAGAAATTCTTGTAGAAATGTAATAATTTAGCGGACATGGTTTGAAGATTGCCAGTTACTTGAAATTCCATGAAACCTTGTCAGTCAGTCAGTTACTGGAACAAGAAGAAAGAAACGCATATTTAATAAATGAGGTGGTGAATTTGATAAAAGAAGTTGTGGTCTCATAAATATGTAGTCATGTTGGCACATTGTTATCAGTCCGTCTTATTGTGAAATATTTTAGCATTTATGTGGTGCAAAAAATTTAAAAAAAGAGCAGGGTATCACAGTGATCTTCAAAATAATTAATGATCTAATACCGATTTAATTTACGATTTCGTTGTTTAACTGTTTCTTGAAAGACTTTTTCTTAGGTAGAACTTTCACAACGTTGTCTCAAGAAGAAAGAAATGCTATGCTACATATTTTTTACTTATACACCTTAGACTTAATTTTACGCATGTCTTGAAATTTCTCATAATTAAGCAAGATCCACCGTCTACACATGTTACTTCACATAGTTAATCAAATCCATACATTGCAATTGGTCGGCTCGACCGATACCGATTATGTAGCTTTCCTCTTCATTTTAATGTATTTCATAAAATGAAAATATTATACATTATAGAATTAGTCCAAGTTTTTGAGCGATGTATGCAATCATTGATTAATTTACTATTTATTTCAGAATTTGATTGGATTCATATCGAATTCATTTCTATATAATTGTAATTCTTTTGTGTTTAGCTATGGAGTACTATTGTGGGAGCTGCTGACAGGGGAAACGCCGTACAAAGGAATAGATGGATTCGCAGTGGCCTACGGAGTTGCTGTCAATAAATTATCATTACCTATTCCCACAACATGTCCAAAACCATGGAGCAACCTTATTGAGTGTAAGCATAAATTATCAATTTTAACTAAATCTTCTAATTCCAAGATTTGGTAGCATTATTTGACTACATATTATATGCAAGCAATTTTTTTTAATTTCAGCATGTTGGCTCATGGGTAAGTGTTTTCAAGAATTATACTAATCAGTCCTTGTCTATCACGTAAATATAATCTGTTTTTTGGTAATACAGATCCACATGATCGGCCATCGTTTGAGGAAATCCTGATAGAGCTAGAAAAAATCTCAAAATCTCCCTTCATGTTTAACGAAGGATTTCACACAATGCAGCAGGTAAAGTCATACAATATATATACAGCTACAAGCACAACCTTGTATATTAATTAGGCCGATCAAATTCCAATTGTTTTTATTTTTTATTTCTCTAGACATGGAGAGTTGAAATTCAAGATATGTTGCAGGAGATGTATGCAAAGGAGAAAGTACGCAGAATATGACACGAATTTTGTTCACGATTGCTTAAACATGTAGATAAGACAGTGTATGGAATAACTTTCTCTGCTGTACGAATTACAGGAACTTCTCTCTTTGGAAGAAACGGTGAAGCAGAAATTAATGATCCAGCAGATGAAAGAAGAACGGTTAAAAATGCGTGAACAAGAATTGCAGGAACGAGAAATTGATTTGATGGAAAGAGAAATAATCATTGCTATGATGCAGCAAGGTCATCATCATCCCGGACCAAGACCAACACCAAAAAAACGCAAAGGGAAGTTCAAACACAAGGCATTAAATAAGAAAGAGGCTGGAAATATAATTAGTATGCCATCTGGTAATTAAAGCCGAAAATTGAGACCTAATTTATTTATTAAAGACAAATTGTATGTTTCTAACATAAGGCATGTGTGTACATCTTAGATTTTCGCCACACATTAACTGTTCAACCGGCAGAGAGGTCACGCCCTCGACTATTGAGTTACTCTAGTCCAGAAACCCCTCCTGCTTCACCGGGGATAGGCCGATTGAGGGCATATGTTTGTACGTACCAAAACAAACATTTGCTTGTCAAAGAATGATGCAAAATTTTCAAAATGATTTTTGTTTTTGATATTATAGTAGCACCTGATGGACTGAAAGGCAAAACCTGGGTAAGAAAAATTACTTGGTTGCAAGTTCCTCCTATCCTTGAAATGAGAATTTCATTTTAAAAAGGATTTGTACAAATATTATTCTAATTCGGCCTCATTATTTTTGTAGGGTCCTAGCTCTTTTCACCAACGAGAAAGGAGCCATATTCTGGATAAAGGACCAGACTCTCCAAAGCGCTGGAGTAAAAGTGCACCAAACTTGGAAAAATCTCAAAAAATAGCCAGTGGAACTGTTGTTGGAACCCTCCAAGACAATGGTAATTTTTTTAAACTACTGCATTTCAGTCTTTTATTCATTGTTCTCATAATTAATGATTATAATAATTAATTATGAGACTCGTATAGTATATAATAGATTAATATGATTATACATAATATATTATCAAATATTTATTATCAAATGTTTAAAAACTATTCTTGTTTTGCCTAGATCACGGCAATCCAAATCGGCCAGCTGGAGGGGTTCCTCTAATTACACTGCCTCAAATTCCTGTAAATAATGAGGGACGCCGCAGCGGCAAAATGAATTCCATTCAATCGGTTTTATATAATGCCGCATCGTTATTAGCGGCGATTGCTACCGGTTTCGATATAAGAAAAGCCACCACAAAAACTCAAGCCCAGTCATTGTAAGTGGATTGGATTGGTGAATGTATATGAGATGCAATAATACCAGCATTTTAGATAATTTACCTATTCTTCTTAGGAACGCTGGACAAGCCACTATTTCCATGAATAAGGAACCCAATGGAATTCATAACAGCGGTTTTGGAGATGTTTTGGAAAATGAAGTTGATTTTGGAGATGGACTGGTCATGAGTTCTGCTCCGGCAGCACTTGTCTCAAGCAGCACAAAATATCCGCATCATACATATCATGGTCAGACCGTTCACTACCGATCGGCGCTGAGCAATAATCCGGCGATGCAAGTAGCTAATTTTCACGGGGATCATTCCTTGGACCAATCAGAGCTTCCAAATATTAACTCACAGAATAATTCTTCTGGATCTGGAAGCTATAATAGCGCTTCTGGTCAACTCAGTCAAACTATTTCAAGCACTCCAAATATTTCCAACCGGTCGTCTACTTCTATCATGAAGCAGCAGCAACCACCGCCGAACCAGTCAGATTATAAAACTCATGAATCTGAGGTGAGGCCCAATTGAATTCTTAATTAAAATTTAGCACTATCAAATTTTCGCAAAAATATCAACCTTTAAATAATGTATTTTTTATAAATAATTTTTTCCCATTTTTTGATAAGCAAATATGACATTACATGATTAGTTTTCGACGAGTATTACAGCATTGCGAACATTGCACCTTTAATTAACATTCGTAATTATATTGTTGCTCTTCTTTTGGTACAGGACTCTCCGGTTATGGTTTTAACTTTCTTGCTTTTTACATTTATTTTCTTTTATTTTCGGTTCTTGACGGTTTAGCCTACACAAAGTAAAGACCATCAAAGAGGGAAGACTAGATCCAGGCTTTGTTCTGTTACTTCCGTTATTTGTCACCGTCGAGACCGCACTCCTTCTGAAGGAGAGGCTGCTGCTGTTGCGACCACTGGGACGCACAACAAACGGAAACGGAGTATTATTTCAAACTCTTCTTCAAATGTCAAGAGTGTTGCTTACAGCAGGCTCAATGATTAATGAGTTCTCAATCTAACCTTTTGTATCGGATACTTCTCACTGTGTGCTACATGATGTTACTTTATAATTTATATTAATACGATTAAAACAATTCAGATATTATTCGACTAACTGAGATAAAATAATATGTGTCTAGTCGATGCTTTCGGTTATAGTTATACATAATGTTTCGAGATTTTTCGTTTGTGCACCACGCACAGTGTTTGTGATTTAAAATATAAAAGTTAACAGTTTGGTTATCTTATTGAAATTTACTGTACCTTGATTTATTTAGAAAAAAACTTGAAGCACTGACTGCTACAGAAATGGGCTCAAAGTGAACAACATGTTTTCAAGAATGCTCATAATTCAGTACTTTAAAGAAACAATAAAATTTTTATTTTGTATGTTTATTTGTGTTTTATTTTTTCATTTGACAAATTTTTAACGCTACCTTTTGCAATTATTTAATTCATGTATTTGTTTGCTTATCCCATTACTAATTAACTAATATTGTGGGTGCTAAGTCTAAACTAATATTCAATGGCTTGATTAATAATTGGATTGTTTGTGTGATATTAATATTGGTGACGTTTTGCGAAGTGCTGTGTATCTTACATATTATATTGTCATTTTACTTTTTGTCATTTCTGTTTATATTGTGTTTTTCAGATGTTTTACGATACAGAATCCGGTGCCCGCATGCAGCCAGAAGGGAAATTTCTTGACTGTCATTATACCATTGAAGAAATGCAACAACATCCACATTATCCTCCGACGTCCATCGTGTCGTCAATTTCCAACCCAATGTATTCCAGCCCTTATCGACGACCTCATTCCAATCCCAACCCAGCAATTACTGAGAAGTTATATCCTCCAAGTCAAAGTAGCTACTGCAAGTCTTCGAATGTTTTTTCCCGTGGTGGACCGGCGTCTTATGAAGGAAATAATCTAGTCACAACGATGAAAACTCCTGAGGTTTCTGCGTATCCAGATACATTCCTTTACCATAACCCTCTCCATTACGGAAGCAGTGTGGAAGATCTGAGTCCCAGTCAAGAGCCATATGAGACTGGGGAATTTCTGTACCCAGCTACACCATCTCGACAACTGGGGAGTGGAAGTGGTGAATCTGGATATCATGGGGGATATCAAGATGCAAATCAAAGCAGCTCCATTAGTAGTTCAACTAGCACAAACTCTAGAACCCCTTCACGACAGCACGGGTCTACTGCATTTCCTATTCGAACATCCTATCAGCCCAGAAATCCTCTGTCCTCCATTGATCAAGATTTCACTCCTGGTTTTGAAAATGATGGTTTACCATCATCCCATGGACATTTTGGATTGCCACCTCCAGCGTAATAATAATTTGCAAAATACTAATAATGCCCATTCATTTAGTCATGAATCTGCATATATAGTTTCATTCACTATTGAAAAATTATAAAGGTTTCTTATGTTTTTTTATTATTTTATCCAGATATGGAAGAGGGGACGTTGATCCGGACTCGCAAAGATACATTTACCAACATCAAAACCAAGACGATTTGGAATCTACCTCTACATTTACTTCTGAGCGTCCTATAACCTTGGAGTTACCACGACCTCTACGCTCAAGTTTAAAAAAGTACAATTACTCGTATACCCCCAGTTCTAGATCTGGATCAACTTGCAGTTGGGCTGGTTCGGGTACAATTACTAATTTAGAAACACCCCCAGACAGTAGTTTAAGTGAAGATAGTAGTTATGTTTCTGCAAAAGACTCGTCTTTTCCAAGCATTAATTCACAACATACCACACCACAGAATCGTGTTCGATTTTCTCCCATTACAATGGTTGATCACAAGAGAATGGAAAATCTGTTAGATATGCCCGTTATGGACCCAACCGTGCCATTACAAGCTTATCGCTCAATTTCGTCTTATTCGAGCAATAATCGTTCTGAATACTCACCGAAATTTCACCGAAATCCAGGGGATTATGATAAAATTGAATTTCTTCGTAATTTTTAAAACCCGCAAAGGAAAATGTGTGAAATAGTCGAATAGTTACATATATTCATAATGTAATAGAATGCATAATACAAATATAGTTTTAGATGATTATTAAATGCGTTTGTATATGTATTATTAATCAGATTATCGTTCCCTATCAGCCTTTAACGACAAAACATTATTTAGGTAGACACAAAAAAATTAATTCAGACTGTTTTAGAACAATAATAGACAAATAACAGCTGTACACGAAATATCATTCACAAGGATTAGCTTTATTATTTAGCTTTAAATTGCTTGCCATATTTTAAATAGTGTCGTAATGTGGATAAAAATAGTATCATTTTGTGCTATATCCGTGCTTCCATGCAGAAAAATTCTGCATTCATAATGAACTTGTTGTATCTTGTTTACGCATTACAAAATCAGAGAAAAAATGCCTTGTTTGTATACCTATATGTTTTATATTTATATTTTTTACTTTCAAACTGGCTGCGCTAGAAAAGTAAAACAATAATTCCGTACACAGGTATATACATACATACATAATAACACACAAAATCGTATGCTTGTCGTGCAATAAAAATTCATCTATGTCAAATATCGTATTCATCCTACGCACATATTGTTGTTGTTTGATATCATACCGTAAATTGTTAAATCTATTTGGTATACTTATGTAGGTGATACTTTGCTAGTCTATTTGTGAAAAGTGAAAACAAACATTTTGACATAAGAGCTACTTAATGGTTATCATCGTACCTTATATAATACATTCGACACACTAATGTACTTATCAATTTTCCATACATCTATTCCATAATGCCCATGCCTGACTTTAATTGATTGGGTTACAATTCTTTCTCCGCATGACTTTGACTGATTATATGACTTACTTAAAATAATCAGAAATACTTAGAATATAAGCACAACGTCTTCGATAGCCTAATTTTTTGTACCAAATATCAATTCAGCAGTCTAACCAAATAAAAACACGCAAATTACCTCCTTACACTCACTCATTATGTTGTTGTATTATTTACTTATTACCCCATCAACTATTTGTGCACATTAGCCTTCTACATGGTGTATCAATTATAAGTGCAGATGTATCCTATTATTTCCAGTACAGCCATTTCATGCGTTTTCAATTATCCATCATCATTTAGGTAATAAATATTTTAGCATTGTGTTACCACTGATGATGGTTCAACGATCAATTTGGTTGGCGATAAATCCTTCAACACTTTCTCGGAGGCAGGTTTAGCAAATTTACGAAGTATTCCTTTTACAACTCTTGTGGTATTTCGGTGAATACCACTTCACTTAATACTCTCAAACTCTGTCTAACTTTCGTTTCCTGTTGGTTTTTTTGCTACTTCCCATCATGACAGCAGTCAAAGATTACGTATTGTTGGGGGGTGGGTGCAGAATGCCAATCATTGGGTAGGGGAGATATTTATATTATGAAGTTCCTGTTTTGCATGAATGGGCTGTGCGGGTGGAGCCTAGTAGTGAGAAACCAGCAACTTTACCTCAGCTTATCTGAAAAAGACTCGACCCGCACAGCTCTATCTTTTTTAACTCAAGTATAAAAATAAAATTATCATTGGGTAAATAATGAAATTTAGGCTGGGAACATGGGATTTGGTCGGCGAAGAACTTGAGGCGGTGTTGAACACAGCCTTGACCATCGGCTACAGGCACATTGACACTGCCTTCATGCATTGCAACGAACAATCCATTGGTCGAGTGATTCGCGATTGGCTGGAGAGTAAACGAGTCAAGCGGAAGGAATTATTTATTACGAGCAAAGTGAATATTTTGATTATTATGAAAACTGCCCAATCCTAATTTACATGTTTATATGCAGCACTTGTTGGTCTTCATTTTTCAGCTGCCACCAACGGGAATGCACCCAGAGAAAGTTAAGCATTTTTGTCAACTTTCTCTCCAAAACTTGGGACTCTCGTATCTTGATATGTATCTCATTCAGCTTCCCGTCGGAATAAAATATAGCAATGATGACGAACTATTCACCACAAGCCCCGATGGAACGATCGGTAACAATTAAATATGCGTTTTTTATTGATTATTTCTAAGCATTTTTATAGCCACTGATTGTGGAACGGATATTGCAAGAGTATGGAAGGAAATGGAAAAGTTAGTGGAAGAAGGTTTAATAAAAAATATCGGGATTTCAAACTTCAACGAAGAACAATTGGAACACTTGTTGCACGTAGCGGTGATAAAGCCAGCCAATTTGCAAATTGAAGTACATGCTTATTTTCAACAAAGAGATATCCGCAGGTTTTGCAAAGAAAATGGCATCACGACTACTGCATTTTGTCCGTTGGGTAGAAAAATTATTTTATTAAAAAATGTTGACCTTTCGCCATACGTGTATTGACTTATACTGTAGGTTCACCAAATCGAGACAAAATATTGTTTAGCAAAGGAAACTGTAAAGTTGGAAACCTTCTAACTGATCCTATGGTTGTCTGCTTGGCAGAAAAATGTGAAAAAAGTTCAGCACAAATTCTTTTGCGACATGCAATTCAAAAAGGTAAAAATTTCAAAGTTTTCGTTTTTTGAGATCGATGTTGATTCAACATGCAAACAGGTATCACGGTCATTCCAAAAGCATCTTCAAAAGAACGGCTTCAAGAAAATTTGGACATTTTCAACTTTTATCTGATCCCAAGCGAAATGAAGCAACTCGATAGTTTGGACAAAGGGCAGTTTGAAAGGACGTTTGACTATTCCTTTTTAGGAGAAAGTTTTCGCACACATCATGAATTCCCATTTTCGCCCAAAATTGATGAATCATTGAATCCCCATCATTAGTTTTTACTCATCACATTGACACACAATTGAGAAATAGTTTTCCCAGAGGTTGTACACCTAAAAAATTATTAAAATCATAACATATCGACAAAGCAAAAGACACTTTACAACTTACTTGGCTAGGATGGAAAGTAGAGGAAAATCCGATGTTGGTGGGTTGAGAAAACCTCTCTTGATTATTAAGTCTTACTGGGCATCCGAGATCACCATTCGACCACTTACAAAATTTTTGTAAATAAATTGACCCATCATTTAAAAAAATGGAAAATTATTTATTAACATAAATTTAAAATAAATATGTCACGAAATAAATATGTTAGTATATATACGCATGCATTATATATGATTATCCTCATTTGCAAAATGAATAATTATAATTATCCACATATTGATCAAATAAATTCAATCCATATTCAATCTTCTCATTAAAAGATTTCTGACCATATTTTATTATTCACATTGATAAATATACAATCTGGTCAAGCGCAAAACGTTATAAATTGCCTAGGTTTCAAATTACTTATATCAAATTGTGCCTGTCAATTTGTCAACTGCATATTTTTATGCTCATTTCTCATTTCATACTTATTTCGTCACTGTTGGTTTTAAAATTACTCGCTCTCTAAAACACTGTACATTGTCCAGTTCAAGAGGTCATAATTTTTACATTATGGCTGATGATGACCATGCTCAAGAGTAAGCAGGATGATTATAATTGGATATTACATAATTTGTAATAATGTCACTCATACTTTCTTATAACAAACTTATCTGCAACTTTTCTGCAGAGAATATATGAATTTGTTGGACAATATTCTTCGGACAAATCCAAAGAAAAAACTCGAGAAACTTTTGCAAAAGGTCGCAGGGATCAAAAATAAAAAACCTGCGGTCCCATCATCCGGTTCTGGAGACAGTTCTGCTCCAAAACAATGCATCATGTCACAAGCTATCGGTAAGAATGAAGATCTTTGAAAGAGATATTTCCCATTTTTGGGTACTATCGAGAATGTGTCTATATTTTTATAAAATTAGGTTGCAATCAACGCTGCATTGCTTCATTATATGTTGTTCGGGACAATTTACTCAGTGCGTTTATGGGTATGTTTAATGCTTAAATGCATTTTCAAGCATTAATAGATACTTCATAATTTGCTATATATTAAATGTCTTATTTTACTCAACGCCTAGCCACAACTGAAATGCGAGCCAAAAGCAAATCTGTAAGAGAGATCGTCGGGCGACAATTGTCTCAAACTGTTGGCAATCTGATAAGCATGGTTAGCGAAGCTTCAAGCTTGTCTCAGCGCATAAATGAGAATGCCATGGGATTACACATTGCCACCGACTTTCTACGTGATCCAAAGGAATTGAGCATTCTCGACTTTTCATCGTCAGGACGTATCCCAATTTCTCATTTCAGTTGTAACGATGCAACAAGCATGTGCCTAACTTATCTTCATAGCGCTGCTGAGAAACTGGCAAAAGAAGAAACAGAGTCAGCTACAGGGTTGTGCTCATCTTCGCCCTGTCGTAACAACTTTATCAAGATTTACACCTCATTTGAGCAAGCGATGAAAGAGCTTTGTGACTCCTCGAATTTTATCAGTGAAGTCTTCAGAGTTTTGCTGTATAGCAGTATAAAAGGGAAGCAAGTTCTTTGTCAATACATCGAGAGATTGAAACCACAAGAGATCAACGACATCATCACAGAGCTCCAAAATTTGCGAAGACAATTTGACGAAATCAACATTTTACTGGACCGGCTTGGTTGGAGTTTAGCTGATATTTGGGGAAGGTGTACTGGTAAAGAAATTAGGTTTGAAGCCATCAGAAAGGAAGGAAGCCTAAAACTGAAGAATTTTGAGGAAATTGAACGAGAAAATAGTAAAACTGGAAAAATTCGTCCAGCCAAGAAACAAGGTCAGCAGAAGAAGAAGGAGAAAACGGTATCAACCCCAAGAGTAACCTCCTCAGGTGCTCTGCCAGGTTACGACACCAAACGAGTTAAAGATTCTCATAAAGCTTTGCCCAACAAATCCAAGTCACTCTCTGAACCACTTAATAAAACGATCATCAAAAATGTAAAATTTATATCAAAATTGGAAAAAGTTTTGGGCAAACAAGAAAAACTTGATGAAGACAGCAAACCCCAGGTCGTTGCAGACAAAGTCAAAACTCTTCGGAATTCTATGTCAAAGAATTTGCCACCAAAAGTTTCGTCTCGTAATGATAACAAAACAAAGAAATAATCACATCAGTAAAATAAATAAATCGAAAATAGGCTAGTTTAATGGTATACCAAAATAATAGTTATATCGAAATAAGAGACCCACGCCTTATTTTATTTTATACTAGAAATCTATAAATTATTCCAATAATCCGCATTCCGCACTTTTGGCCATCTCAAATTTAACAACATAATAAAACATGAATCGCTATAATAATAAATAGCACATTTTCATGTTCATATGTACCAGTTACTCTTTGATGATGATGATTTTTGACTCTAGAAGGTCTCATCCAATTCTCAAATTGGATGAGAATACTTACAAAACTTCACTAGAGAGAGATCTTATATCATCATAGTAACTTGTCATTGTAGTACCAATACTATTTCTCATATGAACAGTAGGCCAGTCAGGCATGATAAGAGATCAACGGAACTCTGTATACCTAGGATCAAGTGATAAGGTTAAAATGAGTCTGGAGCCAACCAAATCCGCCACTGGAGGTACTACTCTCGGAGGTGCTACCCCAAAAACTGGTAGCAAGATCAAAAAAGGTGTATCGAAATTGGACAGCCTGCAGTCAGAAACAGCACACATGAAGAAGCTTCCAAAGAAATTGGTCGATGGTGTGTCAAATAAAATTGAAACATCTCCGAGCTTACAACCCAACACTGAACCACCATCTCCGCAGAGCAAACCCGAAACCACAAGTGGAGATGTTCCAAATGATGGCAACAACAACAGCTCATCGTATGCTTTCACCCGACTCGACGTTCCCAACGGGTTCTTGCCACCAGCGTTCAAGGACTGTCTTTTGAGCAACGTCCTCCGCTCGGGACGAAGATCTCTTGACCACTTGAAAGGTACGTATATATTTAGAGGTTCAGTGTCTGCAAAGCTTACATATTTATAAGTAGAAGTCAGGGAGTCACTGTCCAACCTGGTCGCTGAAGATGAACAATTGTCCAAAGGCATCAAAAAAGTAAATCCTTCCTCCGAAATCATCCAACTTTCTGAGCTCACACTGTGCTTGACAGTTCTCACTCGAGAAGCTTTTGTTCCAACGCATCGTCTCAACCAAACAGCAATAGCTCTGTACAGCGCTGAGGACTTTTTGCGTTATCCCAAAGACATCCGAGCATTCGACACAATCACGCGAGGACGCATAAAAGTACCGGATCCAGCATTTAATGCTGACACTGTTCAGAAATTTCGCGTAGTCGTCGACAAAGCTACAGAATATTACAACAAGGTCAACCTCAAGGGACCTACTGGAGAACAACTTCAGGATATTATGTTCACTTTGATGCGAGCTTTTCAGGACCTCTACACCCTCATGTTGGGATGTCAAGAGGTGTTCAAAGTTCTTCTGTACACTTCATCTCGAGAGAAGCTGAACCTTCAGCAGTTTTTACTCACCCTTCAATCCATGGAAAGGTCAGACATGCTGACAGAAGTTCAAGACTTACGAAGACTAATTGATGAGCTGGTCATCTTCCTTGAGAAACTGAGTTGGGGCTGTTTTGTGGTATATCGTCTCGCAAGTGGAAAAACTATTGCTCCAGCCAAACCAAATGAGGAAAGGGAAGGACAGATGTTGGAAGGGGCTGACAATGGACAACAACCGGATGCGGATGTCTTACCGGATTTTCATCTCTTGCAGCAACTACGAATACACAAACCGAAAGGAAAACTTGTCCCCAAGAGGATTATACCAAAGAAGAAGGATGATGAAGAGAAATTAGAGAAAACTGCAGAAGGGGAGAAAGGAAAACGAATAATAGATAGAAAAAGCAACCTCAAAGTGAAACGTTCCGGTTCGAGTGATGGACCCACCAGTTTACCTATCGCAACGAACGACACCAAGTCCAAGAAACCAAAAACCAGGGTCAAATTCCTAAATAGCAAAGTCGATACCAACCCAATGTAAATTATAATTTTACTTTTACATCACAAAATACATCCATTGCATTGTAATGCAAATATTTCAAAATTACTAACTGACTGTATAATAATAAAAAATATTCACGAAATGAGAACTTTTCAACTCTTTTTTAATTGATCATTATAAAATATGTTATACATACACATCTCTAATAAGTATGTAGTATTAAATAAATGTAAGTAGATAAATAAATATTGAATACACGATTTTTTCATTTTGTTTAACCGGACCTTATTTACTTTACAAAACATATGCACCATCAACCATTGATATTGATGAAAGTATACCCTTGACCCTAATGCAAAAATAAAAAGGAAATATTTCATTGCATGATTCAGAATTAACTTTATTTTCTAGACAAGATATTCAGTCTTAATTCGCCATAACTTGTCAGTGTATGGGCTTCCAAAGTATGTAAATTTTCCACCCAGCCCAATTTCGCTGATGAAGGCCATCTGATAATTAATAAATAATTACTATTCTGATTCCACACTTTTATAATGACTTTAGACTAAGTTTTCTTACTTGACCATTTTTAGTCTGCAAGCTTCCTAAAATGTTGCCGGATTCTTCAATGTCTTAATACAAAAAATTTCAATTTTTTTTTTTACATATTTCTTTCAAGTAGAAAATACAATTTGAGTCTTGAACTAACCCACAATGATAACTTTTGATGGCATGTATTTCGTATCACCAAACGGTCCCAAATGACATACCTACATAATTATAATAATTATATTTCAACAAATTTTCGTACATTGTCTATTTTGAATATTATATATGGTTTTACTCACGTAGCTGTGTGCAATTTTTGTTAATGGGTTTGAAAAATAGCTGTCAATGAGCTCAAGCGATGCCCGTAGCAGATATTGTACACGGAGGATCAACTTCTTTACTGCAGGAATAGCCATGAATTGTCGCATAGAATTTGGAGTCTGAATTTGGAATTTGGAAAAAGGGAAGACATATTTTTTACAAACAAGCTGAAATTTTTTTTAATACATTGATGTAATAAAGCATGGAATGGAGTTTATACTTCTTCATTATCTGGTGTAACCAAACTGATATAAAATCCCCCTTTTCCATTGGACCTGAAACATTTATTATGCAAGTGTCGTCAATAATCTGAAGTCAGACAGGGACAGAAATCCATACGATTCGTATGGATTAATTCGACTCACACACCTGATATTGTCACATATTCCTGGGAGACCCTCAATAAACACTTCTTTTGTTCCTTTTTTGGGCCCTTGAAGATGGTACCTGTGCAAGGCATTTCATAATTACGAATGAATACTTGATTAAAATTATAAGCAATAAGTAATAAATATTGCTGACAAAATTGGTGCAACATACTTCCAGACCCGAGATCTGACAGATTCGCAAACGACTACAAAATCCTCTTTCCTCGATAATTGAACACCTAAGTAATCCAGGTTTTAGGTTTAATAATCTAACTTTACTTAATTATTTGCATTCCATACCATTAGCGAAATGTAGTCTGTTAATTAAGACTTCAGTCTTTTTGGTTTTTGGGTCAAACTTTATCAAACGACCAGTCGGTTCGCCAAAGGCTTCGGGAAAAATATTTCCCATGGTGGAAACTTGGCTTGCATCAGAAAAGTAAATGACCCCGTCGCGGTCAATATCCAAGTCGTCCACAAAATTTATCGGAAGTTGATCATAATCCATTATTGTTCCGAACGGCAAAATAACCTTATTTGCTCCTTTAACGCATACGTGAAGTATTGTTAAATTTTATTACATAAATTATACTGTATCACTTTAGTCAATCATACCCGAATTGACATCAACTTCTACGAGACCCTTATATCCATCAGCAACAATCAGCTTTCCATCTTTGGCAAATCTCAACCCCAATGGTCTGGGACAAGGCGATTTCCAATTATCATCTTAAATATATATAAAAATATGCACATAACCATTCCAATTAAATTATGTACATGTTGATCCACCATACCACATTCCCCTTCAATTTGAGCCACTTTTTTCCAGTCGCCTTTAGCATCAACCCTGATACATATTTATCATTTTTATCAGGAATCTATTTGAATATTTTTTAAAACAAATGAAACCTGATAATGCCTCCTCCATGAACTCCTGTGTAGACAAAATCTCCCAAGACTGCCACCGACTCAGGTCCTATAAACTTCCCTTCAACCACGAGTTCCGCTCGGTCCAAAATATCATTTGGTGTCAATTTCCCTTCCATTTTTCGTGGAGGTCTAAGTCTAAAATGATATCAATATTTTAAATATGTAAATATGCAACTGGATACACAGATACATATAAAATAAATTAGTTTCGAATAGACCAACGTTATATGCTCCAACTTACGAGTAGGCCTCAAATTTGTAATGCGGAGGTATTCCTGGCACAAGCATGATAAACAGCACCAGCACCAAAGTAAAAAAGAACATTTGGAAAGTTAACAAAACCACCCCCATTTTATTGTCGCTGTTGAACTTAGTTTAAGTACAAAAATTGATCTACTAACAAATACGATGCGTATTTGTATTATAAAATAAGTATGGACACTTCACCGGCTGTCAGTTTATTTAGTTTAATGAAAGTGTCAATGTCAAGGATTTTGCTGACTTTATGGGATTCATGTTCTAATCATCAATACGTATGCACTCAAAAGTTAAATTCAGTGGTATAATATTAAGAATCAACTGGTATCAGTATATGATTTGGTATCCAAGAATACTCGAGTTTCTTACGACGACCTTCGTTTTCCATTGAGTAAGAGTTACGAAGGTAAACTTGTAGCAGTTATTTTTTGCCGATCTGTGCGCTATATGATTATATATTACTGAATATGATGAATAATAAATAACTTTGTCAAATGAATGTAGCTTGTGATGTGCGGTTGCGATGTATCCAGGTTTCCCTCACTTGCAATCAAAATCTCTTTGAAATATCCTTTGTTGTATGCAAAATCGCATTGCACATATTGTACATAGAGCATATGTACATATACGTACATATTTATATGTCGATATTTATGTCATGAAGTTTCATCTTTATTACAGCTTGATCAATTAACTGATTAAAATGACGTAAGTCTCAAGAGTTGTTCTCATTTTAAAAATTCTCGTTTAATACGAAACATTTTTCTTTGTGCAGGTGAGCCAAGGTATGCATACTCCTTATCCAAGCGTATTTCACTGAGACCAGTCACCTGAAAGTTTGTGAGAATATAGGCTAAGAATTGTTCATCTGTATTATGAGAAATACATAAAGGTCGCATTTACGGGGCCTTTCTCATTCTGCAAGCTCCCAATGATATTGCCCGTTCCATCAGTTTCAACAACTATGGACTTGTAGGGTAGTTTCTCCAGATCACCAAGAGGGCCTACATGTTGAACCTACAAATCATGCATATTTACATGAATATTTCAAAAAATTTATAATCGGGAACACGAAATGCCTTCTAACATATGCAATCCACTCTCGGGTAACAGTACTTGGGAAGAACGAATCTACAAACTGAAGGGATGCCACAACAAGATGGAGAATGCGACAAATAAATCTTCGGACCAATGGTAGCGGACCAATAAGATCCACCAGACTAACTTCCTGTACAAAGAATACATTATAATAATGTCAAACTGAAATTAAATTCAATTATTTGTGAATTACAGAAGCCACTCTTGGTGAAATCAGCACAATGTAAAACCCTCCTTTGCCATTGGGTCTAACGTTGTCCGGTAGGCCAGGGAGGCGATCTATGAATATATCCGATTTCCCTTTCGTTTCTCCTTTCAAATAATATCTAGATGGATTTTTTAAACATACATATTTACAGGGCATTTTTATCGGGAATCAAAATGTTTTTTGAAGCAAATAAATAAAACCTCAACACTCTGGCCCTTGCTGTTTCTGTGACCAGTACAAAATCTTCATTTTCCGATAACTGCACCCCATTAGAAAAATGCATGCTAGAAATGAGAACTGTGTTCTTTTTTGTTTTTGGATCATATTTAATTAGTCGCCCGGTGCCAGATCCAAGAAACTCAAAAAGCGTATTTTGAACATCAGCAACGGTGCTCGCATCCGACCAGTAAACGGACCCGTCTTTTCCAACGTCGAGATCATCGGGATACAAAGGCCGTTTTCCATCAATCTCCACGTCACACGAAGCAAGGGTTTCGACACTTCCTGCATTTAAATTCTCGGATGTCAACACATTTTGGTATTGCTTAGATTATTTGAGAAATTGGGATACTATCTCAATACACGCATTTATTATAGCATCAGCATCATCATCGTTACGTTTCATAGAATTTCTTTTAGATGCATATTTGCGATAATAATGCTGGACATTTTGGAGAACAAAGTTTACCTGCGTCAACATCCACCTTAAATATTCCATTTGCCGCATCAGCCACGTACAACTTTCCATCAAAACCAAATCGGAGACCAGCAATACGACCACAATTCTTGACATCCCACGAACCCTCTGAGAGCATACAAGCATTTACATACATTAGTTTATACAAGCTCGGTACAAACATTTCGGAATAACTGAATTAATTTATGCCCTTTATTTCTACCGCATGGTTTATTATTCTTCGTTTTCTCGATGATGGTCGTCGACTTTCCATTTTTGATTCGTACCAGTTCTCCACCAATCAATCCCGTGAATATTTCATCGCCTCGAAACGCAATGGATTCCGGACCTTGGAACTCACGATCCACTTTTATCTCTTCAGCTTTGTCTAGAATATTGTTATTGGCCAATTTTCCTTCCAGCGGTAGAGGTGACTCTAACCTTTGTACATATTTCCAGGAAGATTGAGTAAAATATTTGCTTAGAAATTAAACCATGTTGTTTTATCGATTATGTAAAAAATTCATAAGCTTCCTCAGATATTAAATGCTGCTGTGTCACAGTCATACTTTATTTAATTCTCTTTAACTTGAACTACATTTACCTATGTATGTATGTACTTACGTGTAAGCTTCAAACTGAAGATTATGAGGTGGAATCCCAGGGGCAAAGAAAATGACGGCAATGGAAAGCACAATAATTGCTAATAATTTTAGTAAAAGCCCCATCCTTGAATTCAGGGCTTTAATTGCTTGAGATGACCCACGTACGTATTTTAACTTATGTATAAATTACGAGTTGTAATTCGATTTTATAAGTACAAATTCAAAACATACACGTCTGACTGAGAAAACTTTGTAGCTGGAATATCCTGACGATATTTATTGATTGGTTTATTAGTTTATATTTCTGTGTATACTATGATGTAGTGTAATCCACCATGACTATGCACTTATTATTTCAAGAGTAAATCATTAATTAAATTGTTATTAAGCAGCCTGATAAATCTACAAACGGTAAAATACTGCCCACACTGACAAAGCAATTATAAATCCCAGCCAATGTGCTTCCAAGGTGCAAATGTTATGGGTATATGTTTATATACTGAAATTGACATTTGGAACCTCGTGTGGCATCATACATACAAGGTCATTATCAACCGGCTTGGTTGGCTATATATACGTAACATGAATGGGAATTACCACTGTATAGTTTTTTTGTTGATGCAGTGTCAAAATTTTCTAAACCATTACTTACGAGAGGCTCATAGGTTCTACAAACAGTAATTATAATTAATCAATTATTATAGTTCAACCTTATAAAATTTGGTTGGTTTTACTGTTTCTATTAGGATGTTTTTATTTTAAATATGCAAAGCTATATTACAAATATAGATTTATTGCAAATCTTTTGTCTTAATTTTCCAAATAGTTTTCTTTACTGCTGTTCCAAAATAAGTGAATGTAGGTCCTACATGCACTTCGCTAATGGCAATAGCCTGAAAAGTCCAATATAGTATTTAATTGCATATACAAATTCTCGTAAAAAAATAGTAAATACCCCTCCAATTTTATTTTCAAGATGCTTAATAATTTTTCCATTTCCATCAATTTCTGTAACAATGGATTTTTTTGGCACTTCCATATTTTCTGGGTTCGATCCGAGAAGTTGTACCTGTGCACGAATGTGACGTATGTAGAAAATTACTTCGAATATGTATGCAAGCTAATTTGACTCACGGTTGATCGGACTTGGTCAATCAGGACATCCGGGCCCGTAAATACTTCGATTGTATTTATTAATGACAGGAATAAATATTGTATCCTCACTATTAGTTTCCTAAGTAAGGGTTTATCGCTTAAAACATCGACCAAATTTTCTCCTGCCTTTGCCTGGTCACAATTAAAGTTATTATTTTGCTTCTGATATTTTATTCAGTTTTTCTGTCATTTTGAGCAATAAATCACTCACGTAAGGGTAGCGAGGCATGAAGAGGCCTATGTAATAGCCACCACGCCCGTTGGGTCTTATGTTATCAGGAACTAAAATTAAAATTATGTAGGAGCATAATTACAATTTGCGTGCTGATTTTTAATTCATTCGTAAATCCTTACGTCCGGGAAGACCATCTACAAATACTTCATGTTCGCCTTTCCTCGCTCCCTTTAGAAAATATCTGCAAATTCAATTAGTGAAAAAGAATCATGCCTAGAGCAAAATTCTTAGAATTTACGACGAATACGAAGACACGATGTAGATATGTATTCAGAAATTACAATAATTGAGTTATTCTTGCTTCGTATCAAGGGCACACATACATATGCACATTGTATATTATATTAGAAGATTTTACCTTATGATACGAGCTCTCATGAACTCCGCTACCAAAACAAAGTCTTCATTTTGTGATAATTGGATGCCGTTTGGAAAATGGAGACCATTGAGCAAGGCTTCAGTCTTTTTGGTCTTTGCATTATATTTCAAAAGGCGACCAGACGGTTCGCCAAAAAGTTCTAGTGTAGCAGATCGCATATTTCCATTCGTCGAGGCATCCGAATAGTAAATATTTCCATTCGTGTCTACATCTAAATCATCCGGAAAACTCATTTCTTTCCCGTCAACTATTTCGCCAGTTGGCGTCAAAGTTTCGATTGATCCTAGAAATATTTGCAAACAAAATGAAAGGATTAATTCAGTGACTGTCCACCGTTATTATAATTACATACTATTTTTATATTAATACCAGTGTCAACGTCAACACGGAGTATGCCAAGCGCTCCATCAGCAACGACCAACTTGCCTCGATGAAATCTCATTCCTAAAGGTCGTCCACATTTTGTATCCCAATGATGACCTTCTACATGTCCCAAAGGATAAAGAAATGTCAACAAAATCCTTATTGAAATTGCGATTCGACATTGACTTACGACATTCCTTTCCAGTTTTTGCTACGGTGGTCACCTTGCCATCTTTATTAATTTTAATGATGTCACCATATATTAGACCGGTGAACAGGTCGTCTCCACGCGAGGCGATCGACTCTGGTCCAATAATCTCCCTGTTAAGCTTCAAGGGTTCTGCTTTGTCAAGGATACTGTTGGTCGGTGACATCAGTTTCGCTGGAGTCAGTCTGCATTATTGTTATTTCACAATACACAGTTCAGTTGTACATAAATATTTACGACAATAAATTTCAAGGATATGCTACAAGAACAGACTATGCATACTCTGTTCTACTACGAAAATGAGCATTTAAAAAGGGGCTACTTACACATATGCATAAATACTTACGTGAATGATTCAAATTTGAGATTAGGAGGAAGTCCTGGAGTTATTAAAAGTGCAGCAACGAACACTGCAATTGCTAGCGTGACTTTTAACAAAGTCTTCACTATGAAAATAATAAACCCCATCCTAATTTTATGAAAATTTAGCTTTAAAATTTTTAGCGTAAGAGCACTGATTGATTGTACTAAAATCAATTTAATACTATGCTGGAGTATTTTATTACATTAACTTAAGCTATGAGAACCCGATATCATCGTCATGTCGTCATCTCATCACCTGCTGGATCTCAAGGTATTATCAATTCACTGGAATTCACTGCCCCATACATCCAAATTAAACTTGTGAAGACCAATGAAGGTCACCCCAACGTGCATGCACACACATATAAAGAATCCTCTCGTATACACAAGCATTGTCAATGGTTAATTGATTAATCCCAATTACTGTAGGATAGGTATGTTCGAGATATGCCTGTATGTATACGCGTGGTAACATCGACTTCATTATTACATGCATATTACGTGCATAAATCAAAGCCTGAATTTTATATATGTCACAGATGTTGGTAATTAAGATTAATTTTGATATTATGATTTCAGAAATTGTCATTGCATATTGTGAATGCAAAATTTGCACTATGAAATTTAGTGTACAAGTTCATTGAACATTACCTTAACCTTTAGCATATATACATACATTCATACGTATGTACATAAGTATGTCAAAATAAAGATGTAATATATTTTATTGTATTGTTGGGTTTATAAACATTTTACATGTACATGATGAACATGAAATTACACAATTATTCTTGTTCCTTCCATTATTTCAAGTGCAATTATGACGTTTTTATTCGTCTACAACAACAATTGTGAGAATATTTTGCAAAATGTAAAATTTCAGAGTTGGATATTTTGCATGAATTATGACTTATTGGCAATGTGTAAGGCAATGCTAAAGTTCGAATACACCATTGTGCCAATTTCTGTAAAACACGTTTAGAGTTGGGGCAATTGAAAATTATTGTAATAGTCTACACCGTTAATATAGCGTTATATATCAGATGTACATGTTTTTCTGCATGTAAACCCTTTGTCAATGCAATAATGTGGCCATGATTCGAAATGCATCAGAGCAGATTGCGCTATAGATCAAGATCTACAGTTGCAAGCATATTTGAAACGTCCACCAGTAGCAAAAATATGTAATCTGCATAGGTTTAAATTACCTACAGAAGTTGTAAATGCAGTTTCACACACTTATTGTTAGTATCAAAATATTGTCACCCATTTGAACCTATTTAAGAATCAAACCCTTTCAAGGAAATGTATTTGATATTATTTTTTATTTGTTAGTATCACACAATCTCGAATACATACATGAAGGAAATTGCACATCATAACAACATATGAGTTTTACCCAGGGCTTATAAGGTGATCTCGTCTGTCCGTCTGATCTGCGATTCAAACTACAAGTGCGATAGAATTCAATAGAATTGTCACACTGATTTCTTGGACCAATTATAACACTTGATTTTGAGTTGAACTAAATTGGTCAACAAAAGTTATGTCTGAGGATGAGTATAAAAATAAGTTCTTGCTACAATTAAGTGGACCTTGACTTGGGCTTCATGCACACGGCATAGGGCACATTTTTACATTGTAAATTTTTATAGATTTTATCAATGAGACTGATATTGACATTAAACTCACGCTATTTAATTTGCTATTTAATTTGCACCACTCTATATACTGGTTATGATTAAACCTGAAACTAGGTCTGCGAATATGAGTTTGCAAAAACAGTGGACACACAGATACACAGATGGACACACAGATAACTACTTTCTTTGATTATGGGATATGAAAATTCGACTTTTAAATCATGCTTAGAATTATTTTCATGATTTATAGTCTAAAATAAAGCATACATTAGATCCTCCATCACCTGCTTTAAATGCATTTGTGTAAAGCCTAGCCAAATATATACATACGTACAAAAATATGCGGTTATTTATAGAGAGCTTATACTTTAAGAACACTAAAACTACATTACGTACATATATATATTCTTAATCTATTCTGTTGATATGAAAAATCCCAGGTGCAACTTGCCCACGTCAAATAGCAATCTACATTCATAATTTGCATATGTTGTATGTAGACGGGCGTATCGGCCCATCGGCCGGAAAAGATGCGTCATTGTTTTAATTATATTATTGTTGCGATTTCTAGACTAACAATTTAGGACACAGACTATATTTGACTTGAGGTTTTGAAAGCTTGTCAATTAATTCTTAATAAAAATGTCCTCCTCAACTTTACTAAACTAATCTATCAAATTGATTGAAGTCTTCCAGAGTGGAATTAAGATTACAGTTCCTACTGTATAAAATACTTCAGTACATTTGCATAACCAGGCGAATCTAAATTTACACAACATATTAAGATTTATTCATAAAGGAAAAATAAAACAACATGCTATTTGAGCATTTTTAAGCTATAATTTTCAACGGTTTTGAAGCAACCAGTTTTGAGGAATGCAGGAATGAGTATTACCAGATATTGGGAAAACGTACATATGCAAATAAATACACTAACAAAAAGTTTTATTTATTTATGCTAGGTCCATCCCACTTGATTTATTTAACCTTCAACGTTAACCCCACTTCTTGAACGTAACACATTGAAAATAGAAATCGATAAGTAATGAACGGGTATTATATACAAACAGTTTCTTGCGTGCTTTCAAGTGCTTGATTTCGCTACTACTAACTACTACATTTTTCCACAAAAAAATACATTTTCTCTTAAAGTCTATATGTATGTAGATCATCATGAGATAAATATATACTAGCGACACTGAATATGTAAAATAACACGTATATGTGGAAACAGTACTTGCAAATGAGAACAACAGGACTACAAATAGAAGCTGGAATGTACAAAATCAAGCACATTTCCAAAGTTCCAGTTCCAAAGTAAAGTTCCATCCAGGGATATCGATCCAATACCGTTTTTCTATGACCGATCTTTTGGCTAATCGATTAGTTAGCTTGGCACGGAATATAGCTACGGACGGATGCCTTGTTTGTCCTAAAGGGCCTCCATCAACTAACTTGATTTCATTAAATGCATTTGTATATATGTAACAATTCATGCCACACATATTAAATCCTGTCGACAAACTGGAAGAATAGGGGTCGGACGTTACGGTTTTTATGTAAAAGTATTAGAGACAGTAAAGTAAAATCCCTAATTTGCTTTGAAAATATGTATTCTGTAAGGTATACAGTCGCATGCTCATAAAATAACCTCATTCATGCAGCACATTTCCGCACCTGTGAATGATGCCATATCTACACCAATAAATGAATCAACAAAACTGATAAGTTATTTCCTATCACTCTTTACTTGCATGCATAGTAATCCACCTGCTTCAATCATGAAGAAATAAATACATAATATCATCACTATCAAATTAAACCCCATAATCAAGCGACGAACTGGTTCAACAATGATAAAAACTACAAAATGTTACAGATTCTTATGAACAAGTTGCTTCACACTTATTTTTCGTTACGTCACCGACGAGTGATGATAAACTGTGACGAAAACGAGTAATAAAGAAATGGCATGACTCACAATCAGTCATCCTGTTAATTTGCTTGTTTAAATAAAATGTAATCTCGTGTTTTCCGACTCACCTCAATTTATTTTGTCACACAGTCACGAGCATTTGAAACTTTTCGCCGAATATTTAATAAATAAGTTAAATACAACATGTCTAACCCACAAAGATGTTTGTACTTACTACTAATTATTGACTTAATTCATTATTGTGTTTCAACATCGACCCTCTATCATTTTTTTCTTTTTCATGCATTCTGAGAAGCAAGGAATGAATACGACAGAAGTGACAGAACTCTATCTATATATGATTTGAAGTCAATGAGAGACGTCGGCTACAAAAAGTCAATCAACCATGCAAACATATTATACTCGTATTTTTTAACAATAAAGCTACATAGCACTAAAGAGAATAAAGCCAATAAGTCATTACAATATCTATTATGCGATATACTTTGTATGCAAGTGCGATTCTTTTCGCAACCATTGCTCATGTGCACTTCCAAGGCGATGGCGATGACGAAACTGGAGGTTCTTAGGGTGTTCGTGAGGAGGTGAGTTTTGCGATTTGCCATTTTTGCAGCTTCTACAACGGCTAGATACATACGTACGCATATGAAGTTGAGATGGGGGAACTACTACTACTCGGCAAATTCGCGAATTAGTATTGCATTTGCCATACTGCATTCGGTAGTCGGCAGTCTCACTCGCGCCATCATCCATCCCTATTTCTAAAATACTACTTGCATACCATCTAAACATTCGTCGTCGTCGTCGTCATCATCATCATGCGATGAAGAGGACGAGCATTATAAACTAACCAAGTATCTAGTAACTTTTAGATAAATAAATACTGGTAACCTCAACGCATCTCCTTCCCCCTCCACCACCCTCTGTACTATTCTAACCAGTAGTATATATTATAGTCGACATGTTACCACTTCTGCCATTAACTACTTAAGCATCAGCAACAAGAAGTCGACATCGGCAGCGACACACGTTACATTAAAACAGTTGAGTTTGGGCAACTGCACATTTCTGTCTCTATTATTATTACTCTGTCTGTGAGATTTGGCACAAATTAAACTTCAACCTCAACCTAAACTAAACCAAAGTCAAGGTCCTTCCTTTCTTCCCCCTCCCTATAGCTACGAATTAGTTTAAATTACGTTTAAATGTCCTTTATTTAGCCTGGAGTACAAGGAAACCTTTCTTATCACTTTATTTGTCTCTCGTCCCGCACAGCCCTGAAACCAAATTAGGGTGCGTTAGTTAGAAAAGAAAATCGAAAAGACAGACAGGCATCGGAAATTGCCAAATTCTAGGCAGGCACTATGCAGCCCGTGCCAATTCCATCAACACAACAACCTTATTAGTAGAACCATCCAGGTATTCGTGGGGTATGGGCTGCTGCTGTGGCAAGTCTTTTATGCGACTAAATTCCCGTTTGTCATTTCATTCATATTGAAAACCCACCTGCTTTTGTGGTGAGTGAGCGAGTGAAAATCAGTTGAAGCTAAACGGACCGACCGACCAGACGGCTGTTGTGTTCATCGAGTGACCCTCGCCAAAGGACAAAAGAAGCCGCATCAAAATATTAAATCAAAAGATTATGTGGAATTGCACGATCCGAGTTAAACTAATTAATTATTGGTGAATATAAGAGGAAGAAGTTGGAACGGAGACAATCAGTCCAGAAATAGGAGCCGATAAAAGTCAAAAGTTGTGCCTCTGCCAATTGGTGTGGGGTTGGTTGGGTGTGGTGCGTGGTGCAAAATAATCAAGATGAAAAAATACAAGAGCACATTTCTCGAAATATCGACATGGTGGAGGAACAATACGACGACTGCGTTGGTTGGAGTACTACTATTTTACCTGGTAAGACTAATTTGTAAATTGTAGTATTTTTTAATTCGTACATTTCAAACTTTAGCAGAAAATAACTCGTGTAGATTAGGCTTGACAAGATTCTTATCATCACCTATATATGTATGTATGACATATTACTAATACTACTTCGTACGGGTCTCTTTACGTAGTTTGAATTGAAACTGTTTTTACTTTCTTAAACCAATTTCCCCCAAAGTGAAAGTACAAGTTTAATTTTCATATTGTTCCTGTCCTGACAAATTGATAATAATGGTTACTTGAATTGTTGTTGTGCTTGTCCTGTCCAACCAAAGTAATGCGGAGGTTGTCCGTGACCTTCTTTCTTATGTGTTGTAGTGGTCGTTAGTCAACTATGTATGTAGATTTCTTTAGTTTCATTAATCTTTTATACACTTAAATGTGTATGTCTTGAAAGAAGTTTGTTGTAGCCGCAGCTTATAGCTTTCACAAATTGTAAGCTAATACAGTAATAATAATCATAAGTTGTTCACATTCCATTCCATCCTATTAAGACCTTCCCATTTTCCATCTTGCTAATAAGAGCTTATCATCCACGTCAGCATGAAACTTGTGCCATTAAAAGTTTATCCTTTTGCTACACCCACCCTCTTGAAAGGACGGATGGCCAGATGGAAATATCTGCTTAATGCCAAGTTGTATTTAATGCTTCTTTTTAATGCTATTAAGAAATATGATAGATAGATGAATTGTTCTTCTTGAAGCGTATGCTATATAGCATCTATTCCCAAAATATATATTTTGGGAATAGATGCAGCTTTGTATGATGATTCCTGTATGCTTCTTACGTAAATAAAACTAAATCTAGGGAAGAATATTATATGCATGTATATACCAGCTACACCATCATATTTTCGTGGCGTGTGGCATGCAATGTTCCCAAAATTACCAAGAGCACATTAAGAAACGTCCCATTTGGGGTTGTAGCAGTAGGTTTTAAAAGTGGGAAGAGTTGTTTTTATGATAGATATTCCAGCTTGGTATATTTTGGTTTGGCATATTTTGTTCTAAACAATGAGTCACACGGATCCGATGAGTGATGTAAGCTAGTATGCATTAAGAGAAAAGTGCAATTACTGGAATTGTTAGTGTATGGTGTTTATCTAACCAAACCACACGATTATGACGAGTAGTAGTGGTGTGATTCATGTCTATTCTAAAGTCCTCCACGGACAGTTTTTTATGATTTAGCTTTAACATTAGATTTCCTTTCAAATGCAAAAGAGATGGGAACTTTTTGTAGTAGACATGGATAATCTTTGGGCTTAGATATTTTAATCACGCTAGTTGCGTGTTATAAAATTCATGAAAATATTTTGGAGCGTGGTGTAAGAAATATTTAAGTTCAACTATTGTGTGGCTATATTTTCAACATGAATATGTCGTTCGGATTACACAAATTTCATGTCCATGATTCATTAACCATATTCAGTCAGGTCACTCCAAATCTTTCCTTAATCCGATGATTTGGATGCCGATGCATTCAATTTTGTCCAATAATGGCCTGATACAATTTATTTCCTTCCTGGAGGAATAGTTAGTGTTCTGCAAGCAAACTCTCTTTTTATTTTAAATGGACTCTTAATTTTGACACTGCTTAGACTCGACTTTTTAGTTAGCATGGTAGGCGTACTGATGGAAATATGAAGTTCAAATATTCCCTTGTGAACCAAATAATTAGCAATAAATTTACAGGGGTTCTGCAAGTCTGCTACTGCTGACTGCTTCAAATTAGTTGTGAATTGTCCTCGATAGTCAAAGCCAATTGTTTTGCATTTTTCTTTACTGTCCCTCACACATGTTTAACTTCTTGGTAAATTGAATTATTGAATACAATACATGCAATATCCTGACAAAGTAGTTGATTTTTTTAACCACGCAATTGCACACTACTGGTTAGTGGTTACTGCTATGATGCTTACATATATAATAATTTTACTTAATTTACAGATGGCATTGTCCGAAATGAAGACTGTAGTGGTTGCAGCAAAGCAACACGAAGTACAAGGAAAATGTGTGATGTATGGAATATGTGGCAGTAGTAATAATCTCGATTTAAACTGCAAAGTAGACCACCCACCAAAGCCTTTGAAAAATGGGACTGACCTCGCAAAATTGAAAACTTATTGTCCTGAACTAATCTCCGAGTTTGGATCTGACTTACAGGTATGTATTTTAATTAATATCACTCAAAATGAGTAGTGGTTTAATAATCAGCATATTGATGTAAGTTCTAAAAACAAATATGTTGGATTGATATGATTAAAACCAAAAAAATCGAAACTGTACTGAAAATTTAAACAAAAGACACTCAATCTAACAATTCCACACAACTTTTCCACTTTTATCTTTAACGAACACAGGAATATCAACCTCTACTCCACAACCAAAGAAATATCCAAAGAAATCTTCAAATTCTTTCTTCTTGAAACCATCATCAAAATGAGAAAATTTTTGATTTAGCAGTTTAATTGGATGACCATTTATCTGCGCGCCCAACATCTTCCCAATAAGGCAAGCCATTTGACCAAGGCTTTCCATCTTGCTGGCTTCTTCCTTCATCTTATCAAAAATGATTTTTTGTGCTGGTGTCTTTGAGCTGTCCCTCTTTACCATCTTCACCTTGTCAATCTCTGGGTGCTGGAATTGGTAGAGTCGGGTTCTATTTTCTTTTGGGAACTCAGATAAAGCAGTTTTCTTCAGTATGTCATGTGAAGTAGATCCCTCAGAAGCTCTGATGTTCGCATTTCCCCACTTTTCACCAATATAAATCCTCCCGTCTTCATCTTTTCCCTGATAAACAAGAGGGAGGTTCTTGAAGGATTCTTTTGGGAGGAGAGATTCAGCAACCACAGTAGTTGATTTATTTTCAGAGGTAAGACGGAATCTGAACTTGTTGGCTTCTAAGATGTCCATAAGTTTTGGGAAGAATCCGTTCTCATAAACGTTGACAGCTTTCACGAACACTATCTGCTGATTGATAAGATTGACCTTATCTTTATCACTGCATACAGAATTTTGCAACATGATCATCATACTGATCGCCACCTGTAACATCATACACGCTTTAATCATTGCATTTCATTTTCATTTTATGAGATAATGCATTATAATTTTAATTTACCGTCTTATGAGCACTTCCTTGTCCTTTCAAAACATCATCAGTTTGCACTTCCCAAAAATAGTCTTTCTGAATCTTCATATCGGTTTGATTTTTGAAGTGGTTACAAAATGATTTGTACTGTTCCTCCATACGTTCCACCATTTCTTTGAAATCTGAATTTGAATATCCTTTATTTTTGGCATATTTTGGGTTGAAACAGTACAGAGACGTTTTTAATGCATTCAGGTCTCTAATAATGTAGAATTGATGAGAGAAGTGTCCCCGGCAGTATTTCTTTTTAAATGATTCTACAGATAAGAGACATTATAAATAAAAGTCATTAATAAGGGGGGTAATAACTAAAAAAATTACGAGCCATAACCCAACAACTCCCGGTTTTGCACTTATATAAATTACTCCCTTGAGTCATTCTACTTCCAGGCTGCATAATTCCATCATTGTATCCCATCATACGCTCTTCTTCATTCCAGAATACTCTAATGGTGTTTCCGTCTTTGTACAAACAAGTAATCGGTTCCTCCTTAAGATTTTCCATGACCGCTTTAAATCGAAGGTCATCTATGAGCTTATCATCCGTCTCCCCACTCTTCTTTCCATATCCAATCTTGTTCTTGATGGCTTCTCTGGCAGCAGTAAGATGAGATGTTATTTGTGATGGGGGTGGTGGAACATCTACTTTCTCCAATCTCAACCTTTCACCTTGCGAATTGGTAAATTCAAGGAGAGGATCACGGATGGAGGTGGGTGGGGTTTCAAACTCAGAGACAATATCATCCCCTTCATAACAAACCACTCTCATCTTCTTCTTAGGGATAGGAACAGCATTTTCTGAAAGTGATAATGGTCCAGCACCTACTTCAGTTTTCTTCATGAGATTTACCACATTCTATATTAAATATTAAATTATATACTCTATATTTAAACATATATTCCACTACTGGTCCTCAAACACTTACCTTATGAATATTGTCTTCCATGATCCGCTATGTTTAATTATCTCTGAGTTGGTCTGAATTCAATATTTAATTAACTAAAACTGTGGTTTGGTAAGTTATCCCTACTGAGCGAAAGTGTTAGTCCGTTCTCTTCCAGTCACTCACTCCACTCACTCCTCCTCGCACAATATGAGGAGTTCATGAGAGGTCATAACTAAGATTTTTCTACTATTTAAGTGGCAGTGATCATTGTTAACGAATGTGGTCTACAGGCGATTGTAATTTGTTATTGATACTGTAACAGGTTTGCTGCAGTCCAGAACAAATCGAAAATCTGATAACGAACCTTCAACTCCCTGCCAACATTCTGCAAAGATGTCCTGCTTGCTTTAACAACTTTAGACGATCTTTTTGTGAGTTTACTTGCTCCCCAAACCAGCATTTGTTCGTCAATGTAACAGAAACGACAACAAGCTCCTTGCATCCTAATGAAGACGACGGCGATGAACCTCTTTCTGACGAAGATAGTCAAGAACAAGAAATGGATGAGAAAGAAGAACATGATGAACACCACCCATCAGCCAAATCAGATTCCGTCGGTCAAGAAATGGTGACAAAAGTAGACTTTTTTATAACAAGAAAATATGCAAGGTCGACATATGAGAATTGCAAGAACGTGTTGATGAGCACAACTAATGGCCCAGCAATGGATATTCTTTGCGGCCCGTGGGGTTCTTATCGTTGTTCTGGTATGTATGATTCAACTGTCGTATATTTATGGATAGAATAATTACATTGTGATTCACAGATAACATGTATCACGAAAATTCAAAAATGCAAGCACCTTGATTTTCTATTATTTTCTTCCCACTAGCCGAGAAATGGTTCGACTACATGGGATCGACATCAAACGGATACAGTCCGTTTAGTATCCGTTACAGATTCACACAATCAGAAGAGGAAGCCGCTAAAGGTGGTGCCAACGGTATTAAAGAGTATTTAACTGAACAAGACGTGGAGGCAAGCCAAGTGATTGATGAAAGAATTCGACCACTTGATCCAAAAACCTACTCATGTTCGGAACTCATGTTTGCAACGGATCCTCTGGTAATAAAAAAATCCACCACTTTTATTAAATCCATCCATTGAAATTGATGAATACAAAAATCTATAGTTATAATATGTTCTTGTAGGGTCCAAGAAAAAGTTGTTCTTGTGTCGATTGTCCTACAAGCTGTCCAGCCGCTCAGGCTCCACCAACTCCAGTTCCGGAATGGAAAATTGGCGGCTACCCCGCAACAATGGTTATCATGATTATGATTTTTATAGTTGGAACTAGCATCATCATCTTCATGGCATTCATGAGTTACACTGCTGAACCAAAAGACTATACTGCGGGTGGTAAGTTAAATTACTAAATTGCATAGCTTTCTAACTCCACTACACGCTAGTCACTAGCTGCTAGTAGAATTAGTAGAAGGGGTGTACATTTATGTATGTGTGTACATTATCACTCAAGATATTGTTAGTTCCTTCCTAATTATAAATGACTCGACAAAATTACAGAATCCACTGAAAAAGAACCAACAATAGACTTCATGACTAAACTTGGAATGCATACGGAAGCAGCCTTGAACTTGTTTTTTAGACATCTTGGAGAACGTGAGTTGAGATTTTGTTTAACTAAAGTAATTTCTCACTGGCACTTGTGGATTTCACAGTTTTTTTGCATAAATTTGAACAGTGTGTGCTGGCCATCCGTTTGCTGTTTTGATACCAATGACCATCATCACAATTGGCTTGGCCTTTGGAATTGTACAGTTAAACATAACGACAGATCCGGTTGAGTTGTGGGCTTCACCAACGTCAAGGTCTCGACTTGAAAAGGATTATTTCGATAGGACTTTTGGACCATTTTATAGAATAGAGCATCTCATCATCACAGCCAAAAATCTCCCAACTGTTCAACATACCACAGCAGATGGACGGGAAGATTTTGGTCCAGTTTTCAATAAAAAATTTATGGACGCTATATTGGATTTACAAAACAGAATAGAGAATCAGGTATTTTTAGAATAGATTGTTTAGCCACCAGGCTACGCTCGACAATTTTTTTGGTTTCCGTATTATTACGCCCTATTGTATGTGTATACATATTTGTTTTAGATTCGTGGAAAACAAAATAATGTCACCCTTTCGGATGTGTGCTTTAAGCCCCTTTCGCCCGACAACGATCACTGTTCCGTATTCAGCTACTTAGGATGGTGGAGGGATGATAAGATGGAGATCGACAAGGTTCAAAAGGATGAAGACACTGGCGTCGAAGATAATTACTTGGACCACTTCAAATTTTGTTCTCGGAACCCTGTCTCACCTAAGGACTCTACTCTTTTGCACCAAAGCTGCTTGGCAAAGTATGGGGGACCGATCGATCCAAGTGTAGTTCTGGGTGGGTTCTTGAAAGATGGAAAAATGGTTCAAGATCCACCGTATAAAGATGCCAACACTGTCGTCATAACCTACGTCGTAAACAATTATTATGAAAAGGACAAGCTTAAGCCAGCTATGGAATGGGAACAAGCTTTTCTGGATTTCATGGACAATTATACTAAGCTTCATAAACCCGAGTTCATGGACATTGCTTACAGAGCCGAACGCAGTATTGAAGATGAACTACGACGAGAAAGTGAAGGAGAAATAGTCACCGTTGTGATCTCATATTTAATAATGTTTCTCTACATTGCTGTGAACTTGGGACAAATTAATCAATTTTCTCGAATGCTGGTAATTTGATTACTATAAATTAGAGTATGCTTTGCATACATACATAACATACAGACATTCTAATGTATATATTTTTTTCTAGATCGACAGTCAAATTGCTCTTGGAGTAAGTTACACACTCTTCAAATCACAAGCTTTATTCCTTTCCACTGTGTTCGAATTTGTTGTTTTTACCCCATAAAGTTTATTGGAATTAGAATACTGACTTGTATTTATTTGGTGGAAAAATAATGTTTAGGAATTTCTAATTTTTATATTTTTATATTTTTATTTTTAGATCGCTGGAGTTTCAATTGTGCTGGCTTCTGTTGCTGCATCGGTGGGACTTTTTGGTTACTTGGGAGTCCCTGCGACGTTGGTAATTACTTTTTCACATTGTTTCTTATGTAAAACAAGTCTTGGAACAAATTTAAGACTTTTTGTTGATGGTTCATTTAATTTTTGCTAGATTGTGATTGAAGTTATTCCCTTCTTGGTGTTGGCTGTTGGCGTGGACAACATATTCATAATGGTTCAACATTACCAGAGGTCCGAAAGATTGCCCAGCGAGAACAAAGCGAAACACATTGGGCGAGTTATAGGGGATGTAGCTCCATCAATGTTGCTCAATTCTTTCACAGATTCTGCCAGTTTCTTCTTGGGTGCGTACATACATACTAATTAATAACGAAAATATCTCCTTAGATGGAATGCACTATAAAAAATTCCCAAAATTAAACATTAATTATAATTATAATTGTTTTACAGGAGGCCTTTCGGGGATGCCAGCTATCCGAGTATGAATACATTAATAACATCGTTTGTATTTATTATTATGCTCAAAACAATCAACATAATTTTGCCCTTGCATTTCAGGCCTTTGCATTCTATGCTGGAATGGCCCTATTGTTCAACTTTGTGTTGCAATTTACTTGTTTCATCTCGATCATGTCCCTGGACATTGCAAGACGAGAAGAAAATCGTTTCGATTTGCTGTGCTGTGTCCAAGGAAAAACAGTCCAAAAACAAAAGTACGATAAGGGTATCCTATACGCTGGATTCAAAAAAATATGGGCACCCATCCTTCTTCAGTTTCCCGTCCGAGTAGGAGTTATAGTCGTATTCCTTGGGTGGCTATGCTCATCCCTGGCTGTAATTCCCAACGTCGATGTGGGATTGGACCAAGAACTTTCTATGCCGGAAGATTCTTATGTTACAACTTACTTCAAAGGTATTGAGAAACTTACAATTCATTTAATATATTATACACTATTTCTCATAGTGTGAATAGTATTTATTTTGAATTTCACTACTATATAAGTAATTCTAATTTGCCTTTAGCCATGAAGAGTTATCTGAGTGTTGGTCCTCCTGTGTACTTTGTGGTGAAGGATACCAACTTCAACTACAGTGACCATTTTCAACAGGATTTGCTTCGCTCAGGAGACAATTACAATAGTAATAATTATACTATGTACTATGAAACAAAGTGTTTAAAAATGGATTAATTAGTACTATATAATTAAACTAGGTTTGACGGCACAAATATTCATTGCCAGTAAATCTCCTGAACGGACCTTCATTGCGAAGCCTGCTAGCTCATGGCTGGATGACTACATTGACTGGGCCGGTATTTTAGAATGTTGCAAGGTTAAATTACACACAAATGGAACGGAATACTGTTCAAGCGCTGAACAAAGTACAAGGTAAATCAAATAACTATTTATACTTGCTCATTATAATTTCAAAATAATGGTTACCTGACTAAATTACCTATATGGATATTTTTAGAAAATGTAAATCGTGCGGCCTTCACGAACAGTTGGACCATGAGGGAAGGATGTCAGCTGAACTATTTGAAAAATACATTACGTTCTTTCTTAAAGACAATCCGTTTGAGGAATGTCCTAAAGGTGGACATGCGGCGTATGCTCAAGGCGTTAGTACTAAAATGGTGACTGAATCCTCGGGTCACAATCGTACCAGGGCGGCTGCATCGTACTTTATGACCTATCACAGTATTCTAAAAACATCTGCAGACTATACAGATGCAATGAGACAAGGGAGAGCCATCGCTGCCAACATTTCCAAAACATTAAACGGTGGTATGATAGTAATTAATTAATAAGAGCAATCCGGTTACACAGTTGCCTAATTGTATTTATGATATTGGTTTATTCCGTTAAATGCTAATTATGTTATATATATTTATAGCAACTAATTCGACCCAACATGAAGTATACCCATATTCGGTGTTTTACGTCTTCTATGAGCAATACCTAACAATGTGGGTTGATACTCTACATTCTCTTGGAATCAGCTTTATCACAGTATTTGTTGTCACCTACCTTCTGACGGGTTTTGACATTTACTCTGCTCTGGTCATTATTCTAACTATCTTTATGATTGTGTAAGATTTCCAGTTTATCAATTCATGCTCTTGTTTGTATCTATGCTCATTTTTAACGTTTCCTTAACTAGCGTAAACGTCGGTGGTCTCATGTATCACGTAATATATTTTGATTTATGTAATTCTACGTGAATGTATGTAAATCATATAGGAATGAACTTTCTTTATTTCAGTGGGACATTTCGCTCAATGCCGTTTCTCTTGTTAATCTTGTAATGGTAAGTGAAGATTGAATGAAAAATACCAATGTAATAACTGTTTTGAGACAAAAAACTTGCGTGTTACAGGCCGTTGGTATCGCCGTCGAATTTTGCACTCACATTGTACATGCCTTCTGCGTATCAAAAGAGACAACAAGACTGGAACGGAGTCGTGACAGCTTGGTCAACATGGGCAGCTCCGTCCTATCAGGGATTACACTTACCAAATTCGGAGGGATAGTTGTAAGTTAATCTTCAGTTCTCTCTCTACTCTAGAATTAAGTATTCGAATGTAGTGTTACGACTAATAATATTTAATTATTTTTGATAACAGGTCCTTGGATTTGCAAAATCTCAAATATTTCGCGTATTCTACTTTCGCATGTACTTGGGCATAGTATTATTTGGAGCAGCACATGGACTGATTTTCCTCCCCGTTTTATTATCCTTTGTTGGACCGCCGAAAAGACCCGGAAGACCTTCACACTAAATTATTCTCACTTAATTATGAAAGCATTACCTGATCAATTAGCTGCATTGGCGAAGGTCGACGATTTTGTACTGTATCGTCGCTACAAACACTTGATCTGATCGTCATCGTCGTGTGTTGTCCTTTAGTTCCTGATCGTCACTCCATTGAAAATCCATTGTCAAATTTTTAATACCAATCAAATATATACAAACTACTGAGATAGTATGGAGAAGTTGTCCAGTAGCCGTATTCATAGTAGCTTCATAAGCTTGCCAGTATATGATTATTCATTTATTATTACATTTATCATTTTTAGCAACAAATATGTGGCCATATTTTAACCACGAAATATTAGCATGTATGTAGACTAGAGTAGAACATATTTTTGTCAAAGGATAGATTTATTTATAATCAGTAAGTGCAAAAAAGACTTTTGTGCACACTGACATATAAACACATATATGCATAGAACATAAATAACATAAACGTATTTAATCATTTTTTGCAAACAATTTAACTTATCAGTATTGTTATAATAATAATAGAAAAATTTTCCGTCTGACTACAATGAGCGTACCACACACCACACACCTACTACTACAGTACTACTATTCCTTTAATATTTGTACACGCTAGCTACCTTTATGTAAATGCAATGTAAAGGACTGGCAAAAGTCATTTGTGATAATATGTGAACGCGCTCTAGAAGCACATAGTAATTAATACATGCAAGGAGTCAATACTTACATAATTTACTGATATAATATATTAATTAAGGTAGTAATGTGCAAGTGTAGTGTAGTGTCGAGCTACCAGCTTTAAAAAAAACTTTGAGGAAACAGGTGACCTGAACTGAAAATCCCATGTAGAGTACTCTATTTAGACAATTGAGTCACTTATTAACGAGTAGTAACCAAATCCAAATGTTTGACTGAATGCGAAGTCCTGAGTTTTGAAGAAGCTGTTATAAAAATGTGCCTGCTACATATTTTAGGTTGATGGTACTGCTGGAATTGGTACATCGATCATCGATTAGGTCGAGTTTATTCCAATTGCCTCATGTTTCTTATTTTTATCGTCGAGTGATAACTTGTATGTATAAATAGATTAATGAACCCAGGCAATGCAAATAAATTAAATGCAGAAAAGAATTTCCATCTACATATATGTTTATAATTTCTGTTTTGTTTGATAGCGAATACATTTTGTTTGGTTTATCAAGAGCAAAGCATTCTATCCGTCCCCTGCACATTACTTGAATTTACATGAAAACTTTTTATGTAAATGGTTTCGATTGCATTGGATCCTTTCGTATGAACTCTTCACAAACCTTCGATCTTGCGTGGTCCACAGCAACTGCAGCTAATCCCCGAATTAGGTCCAAATCATCATTATGTCCTGAACTGACATGATTCAATTCTACATCTGAATATTCGTTGCTTAAAGAGTTTTGTTGTTGGAAGTGCTTGAGGTTTAAGACATTGAACATTTTTACTTGAGTTTCCTGAAACAAAACGAGGTAAGCCCAACTTAGCATTGGCAGTAAATCGTATGAATAATTAAAACTTCTATACGGAAAGCGCAAATGTAGCATTTCTGGGATCATAAGGGAGTCGGGACAACAGACGTCCTTTTCTTGGGGCTGTAATCGGCTCAACAATATGATGGCGTTGTCGTCGGTTTGGCCGCTGCAGACTAAAACGAGATCCCATCATTCCAATCGTTATTCTATTTCTCAACTAACAATGGAGGCCTCCCAACGTATGCTCACAGATTTGGACCAAACTAGCGTCAATTGATCACAAATATAATTAGTATGAAATTTGCAAATGGAACTATCTGTCGCCGGACAACCTCATTACATAATCTTAACACATTCACTCCACGGAAACAAGCTAAAAAGTCTAGGAATCTTGGCACAAAATGCATTCAAATTTTGGATTTGTTTTTGTTGCTAAGAATGCCTTGATCTGACCCTTAAGTCTAAGCATGCTTGGGTCCAAGTTTTAAATATGTTGTACAATGTCAAATACTGCATTTAAATTAACACTAATTTTAAAGGCTATAATCTTTCATTCATGAAAATTTGTATGAAGAGATTTATGTACAAGATGCTAATTAATTTCGAGATGTGATCATCAGTGGCCATGTTAACTTGACTTCTATAATTTGATGGTCTTTATTTCCTGTAAATGTTAAAGGTTATAAAAGAAGTTCTAGCAAAATTGTCTCAAAAGTAGGATATGTTTTTTACAAGGTCGTACAATCACAACTATTAATCAAGAGAAAAATAAGAAATCAGTAGATTCAGTCTGAATCATTCAGACAATTTTTATCCTAATGTTAATTCTGGAATTTTCTGTGAAGTCTTAACAGAAAGCATATTAACCTTCCATATGCATTTGTTATATGGAGATCCCAAATAAGCATATTTCCCTTCATCGTCAATAGAAAATTCGCTTATGGAACCAACCTACATATATTAAACATATTTAATGACTGAAAACAATAAGAGGATGCGTCATTAGTATAAAAAAAGATACTACCTTTCCCTCTGCAGACTGGAAGCTCGAAATAATAGCACCAGCCTCATCCAGTTCAAGAACTAACCCATGTCTTGGGAAAAGGGAAGCAGCAAGTTCAAGGTGTCCTAACTGAAAGTGTCATAACCAGATTGCTTTTATTACTGCGAGTTGTGATATTTAGAAAATAATGATTAGATTTATTTATGCATACCCAGTACTGAGCTTTATCAACGTACTCAATGGAACCAACAGCTTGAATCCCAGATAATATCGCCTAGAATTAATTTAAAATGTGTATGTCGTTTCGTACAAAACAACTTAGTAATTAATTATTTTCGTTAGTTTATTAAGCAGAAGCTGACCTCACATGTTCAAAAATTTTTGAAATGTGAAATTGCATGTTCTTAACTTGATCCCATTTCATATGCATTACAATTATCTGTTATATTTAACTTTGCTAATCAAACTTACTTTGACCAAACACATCAGACGTAGCAGAAATTTTCGCACCAGTGGGTAAGGTCCAAGTTTGTCCATGATTCCAAGCTTCTATAACATATTTACAAATTTGTAATACATATCCACAATGGGTAAAGGCTAAATTAAAATTTACATACATTAGAATATCGTGGGGCTACTAAGCTAAGATAAATCCGTCCTTTTCCATTGGAACGAATGTTATCAGGTGACCTAGTGTTTATTTTAAAAAATAAAGTTTTTTCATTGCATTTACTTAGGATTAGCTTTATCATTTGTAGAGATATTTAAAAAATTCTAACCCTGGAAGACCATCGATAAAAATGTCCTGTGATCCTTTCTTTGTCCCAGTTAAATAGTACCTAAATAGCGCAAGAATTCACAAAGTTATGAAGAATTTTGCATTGCTACCTATAGGTAGCCTGGATTCAATTATTTTACGTACCTCAAAACTCTACTCTTTGCAGTTTCAGAAACGAGTACAAAATCTTCATTTTGCGACAACTGCACCCCATTAGCAAAATGAATCTCTCTCATTAGCACAGTTGATGATTTCGTTCGTGGGTCGTATTTTAATAACCTATTTAAAATCAAGTGTAAATGAATGATACTTCCAATGAAACCCTTATTTAGCTTGACAATATAACCGCATGTAATATTACCGTCCTGATGGTTCTCCAAAAAACTCAATTGTGGCATCTTGTAGCACTACATTGGTACTTGAGTCAGACCAGTAGATAGTTCCATCCTTTCCAATATCCAAATCGTTTGGATTTCTTGGTTGCTTTCCATCGATTGTGTCATTTGTTGACACTAGCATTTCCACTTTCCCTATTAAACAACATTATTCTAATCCACAATATTATAGTACATACAATACAACTTCAAATTTTGCATACCAGTGTCAACATCAACCGAAAATAAACCGTAGTATGCATCTGCAACTACAAGCCTCCCGTTTGGACCAAATCTCATTCCAAGAGGTCTGCCGCATTTGGTTTCCTCCCATTGTCCCTCTGTTTAATCACAGAAACAAGCTTATACCATCAACTTACAAGCCCCAAAATATATATATATATATATATATATTAATTAGCATACCACAGTCTTTCCCAAATTTTGTAACAACGTCCATCTTTCCATTTTTATATCTAACTACATTTCCACCAATTATTCCAGTGTACAATTCATCCCCTCTTATCGCGATAGACTCTGGGCCAAGGATCGAATCTTTAAGAAGTGGTTTTGCATGACTAAGCTTGTTGTTGAGAGCTAACTTTCCAGTAAACGGCAACGCCGGAGTCAATCTGGAAAAACAGCAATAGCCATCATCAGTGATCCCAGCCGACCCAAGTTCATGCATAGTGAAAAATTGACGATAAGAGTTATGGTTTAAAGTTGCCTTACGAAAATGGCTCAAAACTGACATATGGCGGAAGTCCAGGAATGAATAAGATGACCGCAGTTACAACTACAATGTCAATCAGCGTTCTACCAAGAAACGAAACTGGCCTCCAAATTCCCATACTTCTTACGTTTCCTTTTGCAAACTCTTCAAAATTTTAACAAGTACAAAATAATTGAAAACTTGAATCATAAATTAAAATTGAACGGTAGTCAATATACCTCAACCAATAAACTTCAAACTAAACAAAATTTGCATATAGTATTTGTTTTATTACATTAATTTTGTGTAATTACATAAAAATTAGGAATTGAGCAAATGGGAGAATAAATTAAATTTGAAAATACAGGACCGGTCAAATTATGGAAAATGGGTGCCCGCCAAACCCGTTGTTCCATCCATCTCACTGCTGGCAAAATGTAAATATTTTGACAAGTGTCAAATTCCAACAGCTGCAGTAAAATAATTAAATGTCAAATAACAACGTTTGAAATTTGTAACACATCATCGACTGCACAAACTGGCTTCCAATTTCACTTTAGTGTCATTGCAAATTTGTGATTTGACATTGGACTCTGACATATTTACCTATTCCACATTTGCAATATATTTTTATTTGATTGCAACTTGCGTGGAATTAACTAACTTGACTGAACAATGGAAGAAGCAATTGCCGAAATTAGGAAAGCAGTTGAAGTCGGACGAACTGACGTCCTGAATTCAGTCCTGAATTCAGTCGAGGGCTGCACAAAATGTAAGTAAACATTTACCAAAATTATAAAATATGCTGTTACAAGTCCAAATTTTATAATTTGAGTTACCTAACCGTGCAGTGATTACAGATGGTAATGGTGGAGTGTCTCTCAAGGATAAGATCCTCCGAGAAAATGTCGTGGCAGAGGGTACTTTTCTACATTTGGCAACAAAATTAGGCCTGAAAGACATCGTTAGAGCATTGCTCTCAAATGGAGCTGACCCAACGATGGAGAATAGTAACGGCGATAATCCGTATGAAATGATAAATTCAGAACAAATTCAACAAGTGTATGTCGAAGAGTTATTACGAGCTACGGCTGGATCCAAGTAAGTAATGCTGCGTTATTCTATTGATTTGTGATTTCATAAAACAACAAATTAATCAAACACGCTTATTGTTAGTTGTTAGTTTGGGAAGTTTAGTTCTTTCGATCACACTTGTTCATACTTTGAATTATTATTGTGTAGTCACCTGAGAAAAAATTGTCATAAATGTTTGTCTAAATTACTCAGTTTGGAAAGAATGGACCAGCTTATCAAGGCCGGAGTGGATCCAAATTCATGGGACTGTCCTGACAGGAGAAATTCAGTTTTACATTGGGCTGTATCGTTTGCAAATGCAGAAACAGTTGCATATTTGATTGGTAATTTTTCAAATCAAATCTCTATGCAATTTGATTGAATAAAATTTGCATAAGGTTTTATTTATTTTTGTAGAGAAGGGCACTGATGTAAATACTGAAACGAACGAAGGCGTAACTCCTTTACACGATGCCGTCGACCGCGCCGAAATTGATATAATTCGAATCTTGTTAAAAAATAACGCTTCACCTCTACTAAAGGCTGAAAGAGGGTATCATCATATTTAATAATTATTCAGATTGTCTAGAAATGTTGACATAACTTTGTTATTCTTACTTGTAATTCTTAGGAAGTTCGCTGATCAGTCTCCTTTAGATTTGGCTGCTCAAAAGCCTCAAATTTTTTCATTGCTTAGCCAGCATTTGGCTACTCAATTTAAGGGAAGAAATCGCACAGCGTCGCTTGACTCAATTGGACCCGAAAGTCCAATATATCCGAAAGATGGTTCATTTCGAGCATGTTCGGCAGAACGGAACAACAATTGCGGGTCTGAATACCACTCTGTTCATTCTGGGTTTAATCCTGTAAGTATTGATAAGTTTTTTTCTTCCTCTACTGATATATCTCCCCTTATCAAATAATCTACACTCACAGGCACTTGAGGGCGTTATCAGAAGTTTAGGGCTAAAGGCCCCCATTCCGCCCATCTTTACTGACACCAATTTAAGCTTATTGTGGCCTCAACCCAAGAACCTTCAGCAATTAGAAGGGTTACACTTCCGTCCTGATAAAGTTTTACATGTCTCAGTAGTCAAAGGACGTGAATCTGCTCACAGGTTTAATTTATAAGAATAATGTTTCTGTCAAACAGTATAGTAGTTTATTAACATAAAAATTGCAATATGAACTTTCAAGAATTCTATTCTTTTTTAAGAATCCTCGATGTTCTCGCAGTATACAAACAATCTTTCGATGCGATTGGATATGATGTCGTTGCCCAGCAAGTCCAAGACAATTATTCGAATTCATCGTCCTACAACCATTCTAGTCATATTCAATGCTCTATAAATCCAGATGTGCTTCCGATTCCTAATTCCTACAGACTTCATATATCCAGTCAAAAGGTAATAAAATATGCAACAAGTTTTTAGTTTGCAAGAGGATATCATGCATGTGTCATTAATTTTGTTTTGTTTACAGGTCAAAATAATGGCTAATGATCTTCATGGACTGAATTATGGCATCAGTACTTTTCTTCAATTGCTCACATTATATTCAGGGGATAAACCTGCCGGGATTCCTCCTTTGGTCATAAATGATCATCCAAGCTTACAACATCGAGCTGTGCTAATTGACGTATCCCAAGAAAGGATCCCAACAATTGTTAGTTTTATTTTTGTATCAGTTCATGGAATAATTGAATGATTATCTTAATTCATTGCCAACCTTTGTTTAATTCCACAGGAATGTTTGTTTGATATGATAAAGCTATTTTCGTTTCTTAAAATAAATTACCTGCACCTGCAAATGCGCTTGGACAAGACTGGAAATGTGTTACCATACACTAAAGGGTATGAGTATTTGAATTCATGAAGGATGTTGTGACATTTAAATTGATTTGTATTGTTTCATCTACAGTGAATTAGTTGCTATTGACCGACATTGTCAAGACGTTCTTATAACATTAGTTCCAGCCATGGACATTGCGTGTGGGATATCAGCTACCGAATACTTTACTTATATTAAGCCAATCTTGAAAGATATATTGCCATGCTTTGCCTCGTCCAAGTAATAACAATAATTAATATCTATATATTTCGTGTATATATGTGACAATTTAATAATATTATAATAGATATGTTCACGTTGGACCACAGCTAACAAGTCTTATATTTTTATGTGACAACGAAAACCTTGGAAGAAGTATCGACTTTGACATAGTCTGGGAATTTATTCCAGTGTCAACGTCTGACAATATTGTTATGATGTGTTATAATGCCTTGAAATCACAAATAACCCACTCTAGTAGCTTGACCAATGTCCATCAAAACATTGTTTTGGTGGACTATGGATTTCAAGTAAGTTTCCCTTTGAAGTATTAAAAATGTTTGCAGTACTTTGCCCACTACTATACTACTAATTTGTTTTTAGGCTGAATACAATTTTGGGACATCTGTTTTGGAAATTTCCCAAAATGGGTGCTCGTCATGTGTGTGTGTAGGAACATCGGCTTGGAGCAGGTACGCACTATACATCTTCAAGCGTATCTATTTAATGAAGTACTTCATATAATTAGACTTTAAAATGTGTGTTATATTAGCTTGGCTGGGTGCCCAGAAGCGTCATTAGTAAACATATACCACGGCAAGTATTTTCATATGTGTACATATTTGTAATTGGTGAGGTGTTTGTAATATCTACATATAACGTGCACAGGAGCCTTAAACGCTGTAAGTAATGCTAGCCTTGGAATGATAGTGGCAAATTGGTCTGGCCAGGTTAATTTTACACCCAAAGCATTTGCTTGGCCCGGTTTCCTACTAGCCTCTGGTCTAGCATGGAATCATCAAACTCACTGGGTATGTTTGCTTTGGGAGACTTATCTACTGTATAAATACATTACAAATTAACATGTCAAGAGGGATTATCTTTTGACACATTTTTTTAAACAATGCGACGGATATTTACAGGAATATCTACAAGGTTCACTTGCGAATTTGTTGAGCATGTACGTTTTGAAGGATAAGACAGGAGTTGCGGGTCAAGTAATTTTGCAACTAGGATGCACAGAAACGGCTCTATTACGATCTGCCTCGCGGTTATCTTCTAACGATATGACAAATCTGCCTCCTTCAGATGGAACGACGTTATACAAGTTGATTTCCGATCCTGACGCTGTCACTTTAGATAATTTGTCGATGGACGCCTTGATTGTATGTCATTCATCAATTACCTGTTATATACTTTATTCTATTATTTTGTATATATGTAGAAATGCATCCGTGCTGTCAAAAAATGCCAAACTATACTAGTAATGGAAGCAAGAAGTCCACACGAGGAAAATCCAGTCTTTGATGAGCTTTCTTTGACAATGGAACTCATGCTCCTTGCATGCAGGTATACCTAAATAGGCACATAATTGAGAGCTATCACTACTGTACTTGAACTAGTGCACAATTATAGTTTGAATATTTTAAATACACCCTTTTCCCATTCATTATATTTTTGGCCGCTATTATTATTATAATAGGGACTCCCAACTTTGTAAAAAAATCGCTTTTTTCGCTCTTTTCTCAAAACGCTTTTTTCTAAATTGCGATGCGATTTCGTTCTTTTTTCACTCTTTTCGTCCAAAAATAAAATTATGTTAACCTTGATTTTATTTTTAAGCAAAAATATTGTAAAAAATTTCGAAATCGCATGCGGAATTGAGAAAAAAGCGTTTTGCGAAAGAGCGAAAAAATCGATTTTTTTGCAAAGTTGGAACTCCTTAATATTAAATTATTCTATTTTCCTAGAATTGGTCGGAGCTTGGTAGCTGCGGGAGTAAATCCAAGGTCTAACATGGGATTGACTGTAGTCAATTTGGGAATCGCCAATCTTCCTCCGACATTACGAACTGATATTGCCAACAAGTAAGGCTAGAGAATTTGTAACATATTTAAGAAAATTATTTCAAAGCAACCGTTTGTAGGTTGCTAGTTTTGATTGAAGAATATCGACGCGTTTGGGAATTACAAAACTACCCACAGGGATTGGAAACTTCCTTGTACAAGCTGACAACCGTATTGCAACGATTCATTCCAGATTCGACCAAAATTCTTACAGGGAGACTAATGTCAATTTCTCCAAAGAGCTCAATTGCAGGTCATGAAAATGGATACAATCACGATGATTAAATAACTACAAATAAATGATAAACTCTTTGAGTAAGATTATTATATTTATTATATTAGTATTATTAATCATTTGGTTTAAAATTGGTAATATATTGCAATAAATAGCCTTTATTCTTCCATAAATGAACATGCAAGAAGTTGACTGACATTAATTTGTGTCATCCTAATATCACTAATTATAAAAATAACTCTCTGTCTATTTACTGTGCCGCATCTTCAGAATTAAATTTCTTCTGGGTCACTGTTTTACGTTTAAGGGCTTGGTCCTTTCTTATCTTTGCGATGTGTGACGCGTCGTTCGAGAAATCATTATCTTCTTCTGCTTCAACCGAGTTTGGATTTTCAACGGTTTTATCCCTTCTATTTTTACCAAGTTGAAGGGCTGGCTCAATTTGCTCATTTTTCTGTGGTTGTAGATCTACCATCTCTTGAGGAAACGGAAGTTTTTCAGCCCCTATATTAGTTTTGAACACAGTACTATTTAATACTGGTGTATGCATAATTTATGAAAATCGACAACTTCACCCTCAGCACCTTCACTATTATCAAGAGCGACCTTCATCTGAACCACTCCTACTTGACCAAGATTTGTCTCCGCCGTGGGTGTCACAAAATCATCATCAAGCATCACGATATTCACTTGACTGGAGACTGGGGATTGCACAGGACTCTTGTCAAAAACACCATCTCTTAGCGCAGCATTTTCATATATTGAGTGTGTTCCAGGGTCATTCAAGAATATGGTTTCAACTTCGTCCAACTTTGGAACGGATTCAACTTGAGGAGCATTTGCACCATCAACGTCTGCCAAAATTATTAAGGAACGAATAATTGAAACATATGTACAACACTCATTGTTCAACCCCTTGCTAAATACCCAAAAAATAAGGCAACCTTTCAAATTATTTCCCGTCACGGTAGCAGCAGCGGTGCTGCTGCTTTCAATACTTTGATTACGTAGTCGTATGGCTTCACTTGTTGTTTGGCGAAATAACTTGAATGCTCCACGCGTCCCATCATGCATCCCACATTGTGAAATTGTCCACGGCTTGAGTCCACTATGACTACTTTTTGATGACGCCAAACTTACGGCACATTTTAGCAGCTGAAATTCTGCATCTTGCGACGTTCGTGGCGTAGTAGGGCTTGAAATGTCTGAAAACAAGGACTGTGAGAAAAGCGAGTCTTGTTCCGTGTTAGCTTTGGCATCGCCATCACCAGCCCAAGAATCAGGACTCGTGTTAGACATCACCATTTTAGAGTCCAGATCTTTAGTGTCCTTATTATCGGATGATCTTATTTCTGCTTCTTCATCGCCTTCGAAATATGTCTCACTGGCAAATAAATTTTGCAGACTCGACGTTGAAGAGATTATTGGAGAAATCATGTCGCCGTCGTCTCCACTGGAACTCATTACACGACCAAGCACCTTACGACGGATGAAGGGGTCTAAGATTGATTCTCGTCGTGACTCTGGTAGCAACTCCAACGTACCACGAGCCCACATATCGTGTGATGGAGGAAGTGGTCTTTTGTCATATGACAGACTGATAGCCTCGGAGGGAAGTGTTTCTTGTGCCGCAATGTTAAATTCCATCCACGAACATTCCAAGATCCGCAGCCAGGTATCTCTGAGTTCTGCAATCATTGTCATGCCTTTTTCTCTGTGCCAAAATCTTTGTGTGAATATGACCACGGATTCTTCCCAAATCTCTTCAGCCAATTCGGAGCAGAGCACGAGTATCCTAAGCTCTCTCTGATCTGTCGTCTCAACGTTTGGGTCAAGTTGAACAACTGCAATCGTCTTTTTGGGTCTGGATTGTCTTGACCGAGCTGATTTTGAGGCATCCGTTGTACTCCATGTCTCATTAACGTCCACAATTGAAGGAGAGCTAATAATACCAGGAGTTGCCGATATAAGCGATTTTCTGATCACTTTGGAAGATGTGGATTTCTTGGGCTTTGCTTTTTCCTCCTCGTCGTCCACTGGTGGCAACGTTTTTCTTTCCGAGGCTTGGTCTTTCTTTCCTCTGGACTTGCTCTTTCGACCTTCCTCGGGTTTGGAGGTAGTGGGTACCTTGCCTTTAATTTTCTCGGTCATTGATTCTAAGCATAAGTATATTATCCCAGATGTTAAGTATTACTAAATATGATGAAGTAATGCACCAAAATTAGTGCTTGTAAGTATATTAATATCTTACGCTGCCTGCCGGATGATGTAACGCTCTTTCTACCATCCATATTGAAAAACAATTATATTTAGGAGTAGGGTGTCACATGTTGTCGGGCCCCGATTTCGATCTCGTTGGGATATGTTGTAGTACTATATGAGTGTACAAAAAGTGAAGGAGGGTTAGACTCCATGAGCCCATTTACGCCCGCCACACCCCCTCAAAGGGGCCCAAACCCCCAGAGTTGCCGCACTAAAATCATCGCCAAAAATCGAGTTTTGGTCAGATTTTCAAGAAATTTACATTTTTGCGATCCCAGATAGTTGCTCTATCTTATCCAATAGCAAACTCAACTTTTTTGAAATTTTTAATATTTTTGAAGATTTTCTGACCAAGGGTATGGATCGAAAAAATTCGAAATTTCAAAAAAGTTGAATTTGCTATTGGATAAGATAGAGCAACTATCTGGGATCGCAAAAATGTAAATTTCTTGAAAATCTGACCAAAACTCGATTTTTGGCGATGATTTTAGTGCGGCAACTCTGGGGGTTTGGGCGCCTTTGAGGGGGTGTGGCGGGCGTAAATGGGCTCATGGAGTCTAACCCTCCTTCACTTTTTGTACACTCATATAGTACTACAACATATCCCAACGAGATCGAAATCGGGGCCCGACAACATGTGACACCCTACTCCTTAGTGCCAGAAGTATGTACCCAAGAAGACTTCCTCCAAACGTGTTCATAGGATAATTAATTTATACGCTTCTCAATGCAAGGAACTATTGTTAAGATTTTCAGTTAAGGTGACTACAGATAAAAGAAGCGTCACAATCGTTCGTATTGCGTAACTTGACTAATAAAATTAAAGTAGTTTTTGTAAAGCTAAAATAAAGCTGCAAGACTACATGTGTTGTCAAGTAACAGGTTAATTTTTATTCCGTTTAACTACATCCAAATATACGGGATCATATTGAATAATCAAAATAATACCCGGTTTGAAATTTATTCTGGAATCCGTTCGCAATTCAAATCGATATTTATGCAACATATGACAAATTGATACTTTCATTGCTTCATAAGCAAATCGAATTCCTATGCAATTGCGATGACCAAACCCAAAAGAGCTGAAAGCATAAGGGTTCAAGTTCCCTTTATTCTCGGGAAGAAACCTTTCCGGAATAAAATCGTGTGGCGAATCATAAATATTTGGATTTCTATTCACAGCCCAAGATGCAATTTGCACAGTAATTCCTTTTGGAATTTTTATACCTCTTTCTGGGCATTCCCACTCCTTATTGCAGTGCCTTTCAGGTCGGATGAATGTAGGGTAAAGACGAGAAGCTTCAGAAATGCATGCGTTCAGATAAGGCATATCCGCAAGGGTGTCATGATTAATCTCTCCATTAAACTTGCCGTCCACAATTAAATCAATTTCTTGGTGTAGCCTTTCTTGCGCATCTAAATTTTGTGAAAGATGGTAGACAAGAAACGTCATAATTGTACTAATTCTATCAAACCCGGCAAGAAAGAGGTTAACTGCTTGTCCAAATATGGTAGTTTCGCTTATATCTAATTTTTTAAATCTGTCACTGCCGACAGTTCCCATCAAGTCGTTCATTATGTCTCCAAAGTCGTCAAATTTGAATCCGGTTCGTTTTCTTTCTGTCAAGAGATTTCGGAAGGTTTGCACCATTACGTTGTCCAGGATCATCGAAGGTTCAAACATTGTCAAAAATGGGAACACGACTACAAGGAAAAGTTAACAATGATTAACATAAATTTTTCAGCAAGTAAAGTAACATGTTTTACACATGTTTTACACATGGTTCATAAAATTCTTACGAGTCCAAACATAGAATGGAGACACTGTTTGACCATCTCCAATCAATCTCTTGCAAGCAGTGTAAAATTCATTGCCATCCGGTTCCACCTTCATGGACAACATGCTCCTTGCAATTGCATCGACCGTAAATGTACAAAACCGTCTGATTTAAACATCCATTAATTCAGTTATTGGGTGAGGTAACTTAATTTTTTAATTGTACACATTGCAATGAAGATGCTTACTCTCTCGCATCGATTGTTACTCGTCCGTCTGGGCTTGAGTCCAGGTCTTGGTCCATCCTGGCCAAAAAGTCCTCCATGCTTTTCTTAAAAATTGAATTACTGTATTGTTTAATTTTTCCGGATGAAAATAACTTTGTTTGTGAAACACGCATTGTTTTCCATTTATCTCCAGGCAAGTAATCCAGAATTTGGTTGAGTATTGGATTCCCGAAATTAAACGGTTCTCGGTCAAAGAAGTGTGATGAGTCTTTGACAAATATGCTCTTGATTAAATCGGGATCAGCAATGAATATAATAGGTGTTCGCCCTTGGTAGAGCTACAATAAAACAACAAGTAATGAACCAGAAACATATTTATCTACATATCAACCAATGTCAATACAATAAATCAGAGCATGTATACCCCCCAAATTGGACCATTTTCTTCAAATCGTTTGATGTCTTCATAATGCTGAACCTTGTGATGTATGTTTGGAATACTCCCACGTATTCCAGAAGGTGGGATGATTGGGAATCCTAAATTGTCTAATTTTCCGTAGTTCCACCTTGCAAAAATTATCAATCCAAAAGCGATCACACCAAAAAGTGCAAGGATGAATATTAACCAAGTGAAAAACATTTTGACACTGATGCAGAAATGATGATAAGGAGACTCATTTAAGCAAAATAGTCGATGTTGATCTGTACGCATACATAAATGTGTGATGAATATGTATTGATACCGAAGATATCACATGCCCTCTATTTAATGAGTACTTAACTCATCTGCTACTGATAAGACAATATTCTTGAAGGAGTATGCAACCTTTAACTCGTATCGACATGGAGGATGTTCATTTTAATATGCAAGAGATGCTTTATCTTTATTGGTAGTTGGATCCACCATACAATTAATTAACTTTGGCAGCAGTTGAAGTGATGAAAGAAAACCTGTACTTGAACTTGGCAATTGACAATCCAGAAATCTACACACCAAATTTAGCATTTCATTTAAAACGTAAATAAATTCTTTCAATCATCGTGAACTGGAACAGCTCCCATAATGGGAGATTACGTAGTTTTAAATATAATTTTGTTATTACAATAATAATGCTGCAACTTAATCTGTAATGCACACATGCATATATTAAAATTTTATTACATGGTGGTAGCATTTATGCAAGGTAAAATATAATCGTGTATGAGTTGGTACTATTATGCATGATTTTGTTGTACTAATAAAATATTGACCAACTTCCTAACTTGCGGTTTAATTTCTGGCTGTTTTGCCACGTCATTGAAATAACACTGTATATGTAATTGCTAATATTCATTCATTCATAAATGAGAGAATAATTTCTGGTTGTGTCAAACATGGGCAAAAATTTTAATAATTCAACAGATCTCGATAACCCAGAATCTGGCACAATTTACTTAAATGCACTATTTTATACGTTTATTATTAGTGTATCAGTGGTAGTGACGCTCGGAAATCTGGCCGTTATTTTAGCCATGGTTGTTCACAAGTCTCTGAGAACTCCGCCCCATTTGTACCTCGGGTCTCTAGCACTGATTGACTTTTCCGTCGGAGTTTTCATCCTTCCTCTAAGACTACATCAAGTCATGAACAACGGTTTGTGGGACTTTGGTGAAACAATGTGTGGAATATATGTCACTGCAGATGTTACGTTATGTACACTGTCAATTTATCATTTAATTGCAATCGCCATGGACAGGTACAGAGCAATAACGCAAGGGGTCAAATACGTCCAAACACGCTCTTTCACAATGGTAGCTACAACCATTGTTTTCCTATGGGTGATTTCTCTATGGGTGTCTACACCACCTTTCCTTGGGTGGCATGATGACGACTGGGGGTTGAAAGTTGACCAAGAAAACAACAACAAACCAATATGCGTCTACACTCAAAACAGGGGATATGTCTTCCACTCTGCGCTGGGAACATTCATTCTGCCAACCATCATTATCATCGTCCTCTATTACAGGATTTTTGCTGGAATTCAAGCCAAACTTCGCAAAAGAGCCTTACCTGTGTCAATGGGGCAACACTTCGACAGTAATAAATCTGCCGGAGAAACGTCAGATACATTTTCATCTGAAGATATTCTTGAGCAAAATTGTGTCAATCTAAAAAATGAATCTGAAACAACTCTTAATAAACGAATCAAGTTTCAATTCACAAGAATTCGGCGTAGCATTTTTCCAACTCCAGCAGAAGTCCCCACCTCTTCGAATTCTTTGGAGATGGTGCAGACATCGGAGACAACTACAACAGAGGGATTAAACGACCACAGTAACAGCGCTAAAATAAATACCAAGAGCATTTTACGCAAGCAAAAATCGAATCCTCAAGACAAAAGGCCACTGTCTCAGGTGGAAGAGTTTGTCCGTAAAAAGATTAAGTTTTCCCTGACCAAAGAGAGACGAGCTTCAAAAATGTTGGGAGTGATCATCGGATCCTTTTTATTTTGTTGGGCCCCGTTCTTTACAATGTATCTAATTGATGCATTCTTTTACCCTTTATCACATTCCGTATGGTTTGAGGTGTCTTCTTGGATGGGATATGTAAATTCGGGGATTAATCCATTCATCTACAATTTCAAGGATAAAGATTTTAGACGTGCTTTCTCTAAAATGATATTTTTCTGGAGAAAATAAAAAATCCGACCAGAATTGTAATCGCATTATATATGCTAATTTTATTCTTTGTTTCAAAACAATCTTATTCGCATCCATAAACATATTTTATATACTAAATATTATCCTCTGCAATGTAACACTACTTGTGTATTTATAATTAATTTGTAATAATGCGCAGTAATTTACGAAGAAACGCAATAAGTTAACGGTAACAAAGAACTAAATGTTTATACAATATATGTTTTTCTTTCTTTCTAGTGGGGGAAGCTCATGATTGTTCGCCACGCTGAACGATGCATGTATACATACAAATATTTAAATGAAAAGCTTCAAGTACTTAAAACATGCTCAAATGTTCAGGATTAAGTGATAACACCAACATTATGATTGGTAAAACCGTTTTCATGTGTAATATATGTATTACTTAATAAAAGTACAAGTTGTTAACAAATCTTTCACAATAATCAAGTAAATGGGTATATATGTACAGATTTTAACGCTAATAAAATACAAAAAAATATTGAATTAAAAATAACTCCATGCACAAATAGCTGTATATATTATAATTTCTTAAGTCTTTTCACGAATATTTTGGCAAACAACACAGTCTGTAGTTCGTTAAAACTATAATATATCTTCCTCATTCATAGATGCAATAATTATTATAGCTGAGGACTGCATTTGGCCAACTTTTTTGGAAAATCCAAAAATTATCGAGGTTCACTAACAAAAAAGGTATACATATAAATTGAGATTTAGGAAATGTACAGAAGATGTAGCACCTAAATATGTGTAACAAACTGATGGCTATAATTTCCGTTTACATGCATTTTTGCCTAGTAATAAGGAATCATTGGAAATAATACGACAGTAGCATAATTTTGTCTTGTAAAATTGGGGCTATTTTTAATGTATTTCCTCATTACTTCAAAAAACATGTCAGTTACGTAGTTTAGTAAAACACAGTTGAATCTCAATCATCCTAATACTAATAGCTTCATAATCTCTTCAAATACCAACAACTTTGTTTTTAATTTTTCATTCGCATTTTTTTATATTCTCAAGTTTGGTACATCTCAAATTACTGTTAGTTATTAGTATATTCTTAAAATTACTTTGGCATGGCTGAACAACACACTCACTCCAATTGCGGACAGATGTAGATAATAAGATATACATAATTGAACCTGTATACACACTTACATGAATAGCCTATGAAAAACTTGCGTTTGTTTTATAAGAACTATATTAATTGTACAAACCACGTTTAATAATATTTTATTTGAAAATTATTGCTGTCAGAAGGTAACAATTAATAATAAAAACTCTATCTCATAATTATGCAATGAACTTATGCAAATAGGCAGGTATTCAAATAGATATCCTAACGAACTTTGTCTTATGATAATCATAGAGCATTTACTTCATAATCTTCACGAAGGAAATGCCATTAGTTGGACATCCGTAATAACAACGCATGTATTACAACTGGACACCGAGTTTAAGGATTTCGAAACAATATTATGCATATCATATGCTGGAAAACAATAATAGCACAGTAATAGAACTTGACACATTTTGAGAGTTGAGAGGCTGAAACACAAGAGTGATTATTGTTGATTATCATGATCACAGATAAGGGAGGAGTTAATGGAGATTTCTTCCTACGCAAATTTTTCATATTATTGGTTGCATCAAAGGGAGGATGGCTTCTAGTATGGCTTATGTATTTATATGTAACAAGAGGTATCAAATGAGAATGGCCATCTTATTGGTTGGTTCTATTATAGGTGTATGGTTGGTGGTTTCCAGTGTAAACGTCTGAAATTTTTACATTTTTATTTACGAGATAGTAAAGTAAGAATTAAACATGAAATAATATAAAGTACCTTAGGATCCCACCTTAACCTCCCAAAATGCTGGCACCCATTGCGGTTCGCGTTCCGTATAATTTATCCTTTGTAGCAATCTAGATCGTAAATGAGTATTATTTTTCTGAATAAAAATATAATATCTGTGCGTGAACAAAGTAATATTAACTTACTCGTGATAAGTTCTCTCAATCTGTAAAAAAAAATTTATAATTTATTAATTCGGAATTCAATTTGGTTAATTTAGGCTACCAATGAAAAAAATGTCTTACCTCGTTATTGATTATCACCAGGTCTGAAAATAAATGAGACTTTAGAGCAGATATTGCTAATTTTATTGTAAAAATTCAGTTACCGAAATAGTGGCCATATTTTTCATCCATTTCTCTCGCTTTCTCTATTATGTCTATTAGCTCCTCTTCCTGTAACAGAACAAAATGACATCCAGATTTCAGCACCACCAAACAAATCACACGCATACTGACCAGCTCATTTCCGCATATTGTACCTTACCTTGTAAGCTTCTCCTCTGGCGATTCGCATTTGTTTCAATCTTTCCAGAGGTGGTGGGGCTACGAACACAATGTAGGGTCTGAAATATAGAATTGAGCATAAAGTTGTCATTCTATTATTAGTAAATTCATCTAGAGAAAAAAAAAACATTATCTGGATTATCTATTTACTTACCTCAAATCAGAATTTCGTAACATTTTAAGCGACTGTGGATGGAGATTAAGAACACAAATTTTCCCGAGGTTAACCACACTGCGAATGGCGTCTAAACTTGTGCCGTAATAAGCCTTTTCAAATTCCCCATGTTCTATAGAAAAATAGTCGGATTAAACTTCAGATACTTCCATCATTTAATTGAACGAATGGTTGGCCAAGTATAAAGAAATAAAACATAAGAATAAGGACCATACCTACAAACTTTCTTCCTAAAATATCAGATTCAAATTGGGCTCTACTAATAAAATGATAGTCTTGTCCATCAATCTCTCCATCTTTCTTCGTTCGACTTGTGTCTACAATTAGAAAGTGCGTGATTATAATTTATGCGTTTCTGTACCGTTTCGCTTGATGCATAATATTTATAACAAAAACAAGTAGAACTTACGAGGGACGGCTGCAGCAAAACGTTCCGATTCTTGCATTAGTCTTTGTCTAAGTTCGTGTCTCCCAATATTTGGTGGCCCAATGAGAACGACAGGCCGCTTGAAACTTTGGATAAAATATACCAGATCAGTTATTTACTTTACTACCATAAATTCTACTATAGATCGAAATTTTCACCCGATTTTTATCCACTATTAATATGCACATATTGTTACTCAAGTAAAAGTAAAAGTTGAAATAACGTCTGAAATTCTGACTACAAAGGTAAAAAATGTCTTCAAAAACTTTTTTTCTGCTGCAAGATTTACTTGACAAATCTAGTAGTGCTTGGTTTTATAAAAACTGAGAATTATTTAAAAACCCAATCATAGACAAATTGGACACAAAAAGCGGTCGAGACAGAATCGTTAATCGACAATAAAAGTCAATGACCATCCAGGAGGGGATATGTATCAATATTTTTGTCTCGTCCTCGTTTGATATTAAAATAAAATGTCTGTGTTCTGAAGTACATAACATAAAAATGATGTTTTTGTGACTTACCTTGTTCGGGGATAGTACAAGGATACTTCTTCATAGGTGGGAATTTCCTCAGCATCAAAATCTGTACACAAAAAAAATATGAAATCTCTAAATTTTAAACTAGTTTATTTTTGTCTCAACACGCTGAATATCAATCTCCTCCGAAAACCTTTGTGCATTCCCTGTGCGTTTCACATTCGTCTCACATAAAAACACTGAATTTTTGCTCAACCAAGTTGTCGACTCTCGGATGATAATAATAACAATAATAATGGGATGCGCATTGATTATGCAAATTTTTTTCCATTACTTCAATCAACTTTTCTGACAAGCGAAGAAAATGAAAGAAATCTAAAAACAACGTCACTGTAAAATATTACTCATCTTCAGTCTTTTCCTTCCACTGCCGTTATTATTTAGAGTTGCATGAATTGTCTTTATCATTATTGTAAACTGGTGAGGCTCGAATAATTTCTCTGTATCGATCGTCTATTGCTGACTCAGTCAGTCTGCGTTCAGCCTCATCTTCTCAAAATTTTACTGGTCTCTCTATGCTATTGACAACTGGAGTACAATTTTTATAAATTCCATTATGTGGAGCTACCAACCACTGATTTGATTTAGTTGATATATTAAAGTCGTTCATTATATGCAGTAAAAGTCATTTTTGTGCAGGAAAGTAAAATGAACTCGCATAGAGTTCGCTGAAGTGAAAGATTATTCAGATTGGTATTGAGTGAGACGAAATCCTGACGACGCGACGCCGAGGATGCATGAGCAAGAAGAACGACGAATATTCTCTTGTTTCTTACCGTCATTAAATGCTGAGCTGTATGGAATTTTCTTCTTTTTCTTTTTCTGGGATTTGGCACAAAGTAAAGTTCCCTTTCTCGATTTTTCTCTCGTCTCTGTCTCACCCAGCAATTGTTGTTGGAGTGTGCAACGCCTGGAAAAAAACGACATAAAATTTCTCAGTGGTGAATAAAACAATTATTGAGATGATAGAAGTTGATCTACTTTTTATCGACTCCACTTAAGAAATTGTAAGACGTACAAAGTTACGAGATATTTTAAGAGACATGTTTATGTCTCAACATATAAACTTACTGTTCTTGGAAGGACTTTGAGGGAATTAACCCAGCCAGAGCTTGGTCTTCTTCTCCTTCGCGGTGGGCTGCAAGAAATATTAAAATGACCACTTTAATTATGTACCCCAAGTGAATTCGTAAATATTTTTTTATAAAAATGATTACACTCACCCTGCCACCACGAAGGGTCATCTTGATTGATTACATGCAGAACATCGCCTTTGCTAAACGCTATCCCAAGTTCTCGACAAGGAAGGTACTGAAAGAAAGGAAAGTTTCTTTCAGCCGATTGAAAGGTATTGTTGAACATAGTGATTTTGGAAAGGTGTATTATGCATACATATGTGGACAGAATACAAAGAAACACTGTTGTATATTTTACTATGCTTTAGTTGCATATTTCAATTAGTTTGTAATAATATTTATAAATCAAAATTAAATTACCTGGTCATCTTCAGGGTCATAATCGAAATGAGCTCGTACATGTATCTGCAATTGATAAATAATTGGGATATATGAGATGAGGATGAATTCTGGTCAGAAAGAAATTTATGCACACCTAAGTAGTATGCATATGCATGGAACCCGGGGTATAATAATTAATTTATGTTATTAAAATCATTCATAAAAATTCAAAACGATAACATAAATAATTCATAGCATTTTGGGGGCTTACCAGAACATCTCTTCGTTGTTGAATTGTAGGTGGGCTTTGTGTAGGTACAATTAGAAAAGTTAACGTCCCTGTCAATCGGCTGAAAATAAGGAAAGCAAAATTGAAGAAATTCGGCTAAAAAACTTGGAGGATGACTCGTGGCGTAGAAATACCTGAAAATATCAACATATTCTTACCTTAGTATTTCGCACACCTCGTTCACCCCCTTCCCACGCATTTCAAGACCGTTTACTTCCAGGATTTCGTCTCCCTCGTGCAGGAGTCCGCTTCTCTCCGCAGCTCCACCCTTCACTATTCTACCAATTACAACCGCATCCAGATCGTTTGATCCTGTAATTCAAAAACACACGTCAGCCGTCGTCAGCCACAACAACCACAACCTAGCCAATCTTGGAACCAGATAACCCCTTGTTCATACGGACTTTTATTTATTGAACTGTTAGAGGTGACTGAAAAGAAGGACAACTTACCATGAAGACATTGGTTTCTCACAGTGGCACCCTGTAATCACAGTTCACAAGCGAAATTAATAAACCAAATTCCTTTCCCTACAAGTATTCATTATTCGCCATTTACGGGAGACACGCGTTAACGCTTGTTTGTAAATTTATAAATGTGAGTATGTAATTGATCTTAACGTGAAAAAATTTTGGTAAAAAAAGAAGGCCGCTCATTTCAGGAATAATTAAGTTAACAGCCCTAATTGTAAAAGTCTTTGGTAAGTACAGTTTTTGTATGTAATTTAGTTTGAATTGTACTTATTTGATCATGAACTTACGAGAGGGTCCTGAGTCTTTTCTATTCGGACGACTTTTATTCTGTCATCAGGTTGGGGTTCAGAGACGAAAGGCCGAACAGAAGGCTTTGGTGGATTGATGAGGGATGTTTGTGGGACGACGGGAATGATGCTACTACTGATGACGACGGGGTCAGCATCGACTGACTCTCCAGTAGCCGAATCGTTCGTCATTAGCAGTCTCTCGCGCTCAGCAATTTTATCATGAGAGTACAAAACTCCTTCCAAGTCGACTCTGCTGAGGATTTCGGTAAGTTCGACTGACTCAGGGACTGAGCAATTGTAAAGGCTTCCAGAAACCTGCAATGATAAGCAATGTTACCAATAAAATATGTACGCAATAAACCCAAAGAAATCCATGTACCAGCACACACACATCAAACCGACTATTTTCTAAAATGCAGCTCATTCATTGTTCAGTTCTATTGAGTCGGTGAGTAATCGGATAAAATTTCTATGCATTGTTGCATTGTTAAGTACTATCACATTTTTCAATCAATTTCGTCTTCCCCTCTGTGCAGTCATACTTAAATACTTGAGCCATCATTTAGTCCATAATGACTTTTTGTACTACTACACGCATTATTTTACTACGGAGGCTGGGAATATGCATCATAAAAATCTACAAACCTCTTGAACAAGTTGATGAGCGTGAGCGGAGAAAGGGGTCGGAGGGGCGTTGAAACACCATACATCTTGTACTTTATTATGAACGGCAAGGATTTGCTGAAATTCCGGTGTCTGCATTAAAGTGCCCACGGCGGAAACGGTTTCATCTAGATGAAGTCCGTTCTTCTTTAGGGTTTGCTGTACTCTATGCAAGCTGGCCACAAGATCTGTCAATCCTGAAAGAAAGGAAATTAGACGACTTTATTATTCGCTCACTATGAATTGCGAATGCATAAACGGTTAAAAAATTTAATTTATTCGAAATGCCACCTCTAAACGGTACTCGGAGGCATATAGCACCAACAAGCACAACAACGAGTCCACGCAATTTGTACCATTATGGCTCAAAGTATGTAACTCTAACTTTACAGGGTCGACACACTTTGCTCAACACAGTTTCAAAGTCAACCCCTAAATGGCTTGGCAAACAAAACATCAAAAACTTTAGGGTGTGAAGGATAACGGTAATTATAAAGTCCAAAAGTTTACTTATGCCACTTATTTAATGTCTATCGCCATATTGGACGTTTTATATGGACAAATTATGCATGTGCATGTGCACGCAAGGATCAAGTTCATGTGACAAAACTCAAGTGGTAAATCCGAATTAATTACTGGATCTGTGTGTCATTAATTAAAATAATTTTGACTTGAGTAGACTTCTTTATCCGGATTAATGATTACATACATCACTACCTCGGCTAACAACAGGGTTCAATACGATAATGCTGAAAGTAGACGTAAAGTTAGTATTAAAATTACTGCTCTATCCAAGCTTCAATGTCCCCGTTATTGCAGTCCGTATGGATGTATATTGTGATTATTTACGGTGGATGACGAACTTATCCTTCGCAGTAGTCGTTATTACTCTTCACTTACTGACATCTCTACGTGTCTAGTAAATTCGCAAGGTGTATAATTATCGCTACAAAAGGGTCTTGTAAGTTCCAACTAAATCAAATATGCAGTTCATCGTCCGAAACGACAAGCAAGAAATGCGAAGGAATATGTGCATATCATGTTGTGATGTACGCAGTTTCATAGCCGTCTATTATGCAAAGTGGATTTGTGTACATAGAGCTTTTTATGCCAACCATGAGAATTTTTATCTTCCCAGCAACCATCAATTGGATATGATATTTCAGTTCTATTAGAAAGATTGGTTTAGTTCCAGGGAAATGTATCCGACTCCGAAATGGTGCAAGTGCGACTACGCAGAGTAAGATCGGAAAAGGGTTCATCTGACAGTTGCTTGCTGGCTGAAGACAGAATAACTCATGCTCACTCATCTGCATGTAATGTCCAATCCCAGTCCAGTGGAAAATGAATCTGACAAAGACTTTCCTTTGCCTAGTCTCATCCTGACAAGGCCATCCTATGCCTGGAGCACTATTATGCATCATGATTTCTCTCGACTATGCACTAATCCATAAGCTTGTTCATGCACAAGAAACACACTGAATTTGATTTCCACTCTGGACATAGCAGGTAAAGCATAAAAGTAGTAACAAGTAAACGAACTGCAGCTTCTTCTATCCCGGCCAAATGGATATCATATCACACATAACAAAGCGCCTGGGAAGATGCGATACTTACTTACTTAGAGCCTCTCCATGTTTTTATTTTAATGTTTACAAGTCACGAAGCAACCTTCCTGGCTTGAAGATCTACTACATAATAACCATGTGCATAGGTCTGCTAGCATGGTGCACCTATTATATAATGAGCGAGGAGTAATCATCGCCATCTCGAACATTTTGTTTACTTAAATCAAGTTTCACATTTTCCTTTGCTATCATGTCAGAATCAACGATGTAAAAATGGGGTCTCAAATGAAATTGGCAATTTGCACACCTACGCTCGTTGTAATGACTAAAAGTTAGTAAATACATCTAAATTCTACGTAGATATCTGTGTTGTGCAAAAATACAGAATTTTATTTTGTGCATCTCGTTTTAACCGGGCTTAAAGAAGTTTGTGTACTCGTATGTATGTAAGTGTCATTGTAATTGCTTAAAGTTTAAAATTTGTCTCTGTCATTTATGGCTCGACATTGTTACTTCATATTCTTTTGACATTGTCACTTTAGATATCTACATCATCTTTGATACATTTACTTTACATCATCCCACCTGCATGATTTGCTATTTTTCGTCATTTTCTTCTCTATTGGTACTTGGTCACAGGAAACTAGCCAAACAAATTGATCGGCAGGTAAAAAGTAAGAACTACAGATATATTTTTGGACGAACCAAACTTGGATTAAATATCTAAAGTACATACATATCAATATAAACAGGTACACATATCGATTGTTTGAAACCAATATTTTTTTACTTTCTGCAACTGTATCAAATTTAATGGTTTCAATATTATGGTTGAGATTCCCTAAAATATGTTATCATAAAAAATGGGCTTAATATAGAGATATTTACATATATATGTATGTACACACACGCATGAAAACTACTTAGGAGGAGGCTTTTGCGAAATTTCCATTCTGCCCATGACCAAATCCAATCTCAATGATTAATTTCAAACAACTCGATTCATTTGCAGAATCCAAATCCAAACATCAAATTGACCAAATAAGAAGGGTTGGGTTTGTTTTTGGCAATTGGTTTGCCGTTTCACTAAACTACACGCAGAGTGAGAACGAATGCCAAAATAAATTCGTGGTAAACCATCGGTCAATACATTGAATAGAAAACGAAAAACTTTCAAATCACCACTTGTCACATCACTTGAACAATTTTTGCACAACGCTGTAAACAAAAGAAGAATATACACAAAGACCAAAAGTGTGACGACAAACTTACCAACAGGCTTTTGCAAACTGGTGCTGGCGTCAAACCGCGGATGTGGATACGGAATTCTGTCCTCGTCGACATCGTCATAGGCGTCGTTGACAAAGCCCGAGACTGGGCTCTCCTCTCGCCCACTTTCTAAGGCTTGCAACTTCTTGGAACCTCTAATCGAAGTTCTAAGGAATTCCTGCTCCTTCGCATGTTGCTCCTCCTGCTCCCGTCGCTTTTTCAGCTCCTCCTGAGAAAATATAAAATCATGAGTTTGTGCTACAAATAATGGTCTCTTTTTTTGGCAATAAATATCTTGAAGAATTCTAGAATAGTTCATGCGAAAGAAATGGAAACGAGCTGAGGCATTTTCGCAGGGTACACAGACACCAACTTGCATCTTGTTAAACTAATTTATTTCGTTTCTTCAACTCCAAACAAATTGCCTCGTATTGTGCGTACTTGTCTAAAATGTCCTGCCATATCTTTTTTGCACACAGTTCAAACACAATGCTCTTTTCATTCGTGAGCCATTTACTACCATGAACTCCAGTCAAGTAGTAAGAATTCATTTCTGACAGATCGTGTCAAGTGGCAGTATAGACAAAATATTTTTTTCTGGCACAAATCTCATCCCGGGATTATATTCTGTAGGTATAACAAATTACAAATCATAATATGTACAACAATTCTAGAACGCCGATGCCTGAAATAGTTGTTGTACACGTGTTATTAATAATAACTTATTATGTAAATATATACCCGATGCCTGTAGATCCGTTCTTGGTACTCGAGTGGTGTACTAACGTTACCGTTTCGGTTATGCATCAGCAACACAGGCGGAAGCAACCATTAAGAGCACAACTCGGAGTAAAAGTGTGTAAAAAACCTTTAAAGATTTAAACGCAAAACTATGCAACGCATATCTTTGACGCTCACATATTAAAATTAAATTCACAATCAATAAGGGTCACACCTATGTTGCAACAAATTGTATGTTTGATACAATTGCTTTAATTTAACCGAAAAGAGATATGTGATTTAGAAAAACGGGGAAAATATTAGCACGAATTCAACAATTTGGATAGTGGTGTGTAATGAGAAGATGACTTAACGAGCTTGGAAAGCTATGTATGCACAAGTTTTCTGTTTTGCACGAAATCTTTAGCTTTAATCTTCGCCTCTTGTCTGCGAGGAACGTACGACCACGACTGAAAGGCAAAGTTAAAAATGTGCTGACTCCATTACATTCGTTTACGAGAATATCGGAATTAAGTATTTTCTTCTCTCTTCATTAGCATACACCTACATCTTTCTTTACTACACATGGCATGGCATCTGCATCTCTGTGTACCTGCTCTCAGCTTCATTCTCATCATCATCACACAGGTGAGTAAGTATTTTAGTCACCTATTGTTACAGACCACAACAGGTTCGTAAATTCTGGGCTCGTTTTGTACGACAAAAATGTGAGATATCTTCATTTTATTACGACACTAGATATTGGTCGTATTCTGATATTCCAATAAAACTTTTGGTTAGTTAACGACTCCTATATGTACATACGTATGTTAGCCTAAATGGTATATGCAAGTCGATATGCATAGTAGATTACGAGTCAGTGGTGAATATGTAAGTAGAAATAATAATAACAAACCCCCTACGTCGTGAGATCCATTTAATTTGGCCATTATTCATGGCCATCCACCATTCCTTTCGAAATCCAATTTGCATGTACCAAAATCACTACAGATACTGTATGCATACTTGCAAAGGGAGATCACTACATCTCTCTGACTTAAGTAATAGGACGGAACAGGAAATTATGCATATTATATATTCGCATATTCTCCGACCGGAATGCAATAAGACGTCCAATTAATCTTAGTCTCCATATGTGGAAATAAGTATGAAATCTGGACTTCCTTTTCAAAGCGGTATGAAATATATGCAAATCCAAATTGATTCAATTCAAATTTGTTCAATTCAACCAGAAAGATGAATATCATGGATCAAATTAAACGATTTCTCTTTGCAACAGGTTATAGTGGCTAGAATTTTTCGAAAAACACTAAATGCTGCAATGGTTTATGATGTGCTGTTAATGGTCGTTTATGATTATGTGGTGTAATAAAGGCGGACGCTTGTGTGTGATATATGGCAAATGAGTGTATGAATGTAAGTATGTAGGTTGGTTGGACATTAGGGACTTGGTCAACTTGTAGTGAGTCAACTTATTAGGATTAGATTATGATGCATGAATTGTAAGGCCAATGAATAGTCATGAGAAGATTAATTATGCCGTCCGCACTGCTTGGGATTAGTAGATACATGAAAATAATATATCGACAACTGTTGGTTTATCCTACTTTCCATCCGGTAAATGTATATATCAACAATCCATCAGCAAAATTGGGTTTTTATGATGCTATAAGTCACTTTTGACGTGTTACTACTTTATTATGACACCCATCCCTTTGCCTCCATTCATCCCAGGTCCCAAGTTGTAAATCCCCATAAAAGCAGAAAAACATGTTTTTCATGTAATATTGACATAAATCGACGCAATTAATACCTGGTATTTGCGTATCCTTTCAGCTTCATCTCTGGACGGCGTTGTTGCGGCAATAGCCGTACCAGTCTTGCTTGGACTGACAATTGTTCTTGGATGGACATAAGGGATTTGTGTATTATTATTGTTCACACTCGACCAACTCCCCGTCTCCTTGTTGTCCCCAATTCTGGGAGGGGGCACTGGCTTGGTCGCACCATTTTGTCCCGTCAGCGTCCCATTGCCACGAACGCCAACACCATCACTGGACATGACAGCCACCCCTCCACCGCTGCTGACAGTCTTGGTCAGTGCGGGTTTGTTATTGTTATTGGAGGCGTTGAGGGTGGATGCCTTGTTGGGTGGGTAGCGCGGTGGGGTTTTATTTCTGGGTACGAAAGATTCCGGGACATCAACAGCCATTTCTCGATGTGGACCATTGTTGTCCCATTCCACCATGTTGATCATGTTGGCATACTGCGCAGGGTCGGCGACAGACTCTCGGCTGGAATTCAATTTCCCTCCTCGACCCCGGCTTGATGAGGACTTGGCCCCTTCCACGTCGATGCTCTCCCGGGAACCACCCGACGTCTTCCCACTGCTGCTGTGACACACAAAAAAGAACAAATATGTCAATATATACTCACACTCATATTATAAATACAGATATTGCTTAGTTCCGCCAATATGGTTCTGCTAATATAGTTGCGTTCTAGTTCCTCCCCTCATCCCACTTTTTTCCTCCTATCATAATATTATTTTAGTCTCATTTTATGAACCTTATCGCACCAAAGGGATTTTCTACATATTTCTAACTCTAGAAAGATTCATTCGTTATTAGAATTGCTGAAATATATTTTTACGGGACTTTCCTATAAATTTTTCATGATTTGTACTACAGGACAACTTGACAGAATATAACCAACCCATGTTTTCTCCATTTGCAAAATTGCATTCCAAAACCACAGAATTTGGAATATCCGTTATTAAATTTCTTCAAAATATTTTCAAGTGTGCTTATGAAACTGCACTTATAAAATTTATGAAAAATTGTGCCACGGATTAATATTGCGAACAAAGAATGTAGGCTGAGGTGATGGTGGCGTGTAGAACCAGGATTTGAGGCTTAAATAAACAAAATCTAAATTCCCATCTCAAGTCAGACGTCCTAATCTTTATAAATCCTAATCCTATGTCATCCTTGCATAATGTGGGAATATGTAGGACCAAGACTACTAAATCAAGCACAAGATCGGCAGATACGCCCGCTACACTACTTATGCACATACAATTACGTATGTATGAATATCTACCCAAAGCCAATTCCAAAAGACTTTAGCCTTCGCTTCATGGTACTGCTGCTGCCCGACACTTAAATCTCTGGATAAATTATATGGGCGTTTCAGCATTTAAATTATAATCCGATCTGATCCATCTCGTTCCCAAAAGTCATTCGAGAATTAATTCACTGCACTCAACTTGTCTGGCAAAATCTATATACAATTCGTTACACTAGACTTTATTACATCCGGGAGAAGTCAGCACGATGTAAATACATATAGTTTGTGAGATTAAATATTATTTCCAAACTGTTAAATATTATTTTCCAAATGAGCCAAATTCTTCCAATAGTATTCCTGCACGGATACCACTCTATCTGTTTAACGGGATATCTATCACACTTGACAAACTAAACATGAATGACTAAAAGTTTAAATCAATCATGAATGGAGGTTTAAACAATCCAGATGTAAAATGTTTCGTCACTGGAACATGAAGATAAACTTGTGAATAAAGGAATACATATAAATTATCTATTATTATGATTGTGTAAGTACATATGGCTAGCTAAATATGTATTCATGTATATATGCATACATATACATGAATATTTCCTCAATCAATATCAAATATACAACAAACTCCAGCCGTACCTAACACTTTCGTACGAATACTATTGGAATTGGACAAGGATAAACAAATGTGTATTACTATTACCCGGCTCAGTCAACCAAAGTTACAAATTGTAATTCAATTACTCCTTCAATTGGAATGCTTCGATTTGTGATTGAACTGGGACATCAATTTGCTTTGGTCTTATTTACTGTTGCATGCACAGTAATGATACCATTTCCATTAAGCACTACATACCTCACAATCTGAATCAGCATGGTATAGAAAGGGACAGAGAGAGATGTCCACCAGCGATGGTTATCTCTTCCCCTGATATGCACAGTCCGTCCATAAGTTGTGGACATACATTAAGAACACTACGTGTTCCACCCAATTTGATTATTTATACTTTTGTATCTACTTTTATCCATCGATTTATGAGGATTATAATTCAATTGCTGCATTGTAAAGTACATGGCGTGATACATATCAGAGTAAAACACTTTAATGAATGTCCAACAGCACTAATGTATTTGTATTTCAGTGCACTAAATTAATTAACTAATTGAGCGTATACAGAGCAAGTATGCATAAACTCCAGTTGGAATGAGTTTAGATAAATCAAATGTAATCTAAATAAATAAAAATACAGCATCCCTCATAAATTGAGTTAATGAAGCAAGGTTGCGATAAAACGAGGTGGTAGAAATGTAAATACATACAAACGCAGATTACAAAGTTCTAAACTTTTTCCAAAGCAAATCAATCTCTTCCTCATTATTGTCGGTAAAAGTCTCCTGGAGGGCAAATGTAGGGGCGAATTGCTTTCACAATTCCAAATGCTGCAGGGAAAATGAGATAGGTACCTATGTATGCGTATATCTACGGTATCTGCATATCTCATTTTTCCTGCAACTGCTGCAGCCAACCCCAGAGAACGAAAGGCAGAAAACCCCAAAACAGACAAACCAAGAAGAGATGAGAAACTCTTTGAAGAATTCCCATCCCAATTTTACCACACATCTCGTGCGGTTTGTTTGGTCAGAACCAATTTTACACGGTGCTGCAGCAGATTCTTTCATTGGATCAACTTCAGGACCACGGAAACCAAACCACCCAGCAGAGGAGAGTCTGGGGACAGGACACCAGCAGTTCACCTCAGAAGAGTGGAAGTCGAGTCGGTTTCGGTATCATTTATCAAGCAATAAATGTCTTGGAGTGAGAACTTTGATATACGAGAGTGTACACTCGATTCGAAAACACTGGTTATTAGAATTCTCTCAAACATTGAATCTGACGACGATTTTCCTTGATTTTTCGGGGAAACATATTGCAAGAAGTAGACCATAAAAGGTGCAGTCAAAAAGAGAGTTTGATTTATTTTTTGTCGCATCTCTAAAAGAGCAGGCACACGCACGTGCATATTGTTGATTGTCTAACAGTGCTATAAAAGTTGACTTAAGAACCTACGAATCAATAATTGTTTGAATTAATGTTGATTCAAAATTAAAAACTTTTGCGCATTTCAGAGAAAATGTCATCACTTAGTAGGGATAAAACTTCTCAGGCCGTGGAAAATTGCTTGATAAAGAAATATAAAAGAAAAACCTGCGAAGAAAGTTTCAGATTTATGAATAAATTACAGATGCAAAAAACTCTCGTCTGTTTGTGACAAGGAAAAAACTTGATTGGAAAATTATAATAGGAAGAGATAAGAACTAAGCGAACTGACGAGACAGCTAATTAAACTACTACGAAGAGACTTACTTGTCCTTCGATTTGAAATAAAAATTCGAAATCATTTCAACAGCTTTCTGTCGATCAAACTAATAAATTCAGATAAGAATCTTCTGAATTGAAGCAAGGTGCAAGTATCGAAAGATTACGATTAAATGACATTGATAAACTGACCATCAAGCCTTGATTAAACTGGGAAATTTTCAACAACCCAAAGAATCTTAGTTAATTTCTTGACTTGACTTCTTCTAATTGTATGTAATTGCCAGGCTGACTAGCAAGAGAGACCGGAAGAGCAGATGCACTTTCTCTCTGTTAAAAAACACTTTCTTTCCCACCCTGACTCCGGAATAAAGTGATGAGTGCAGTAATGCATGAACAGTGTACTTACTTGATGCTGTCTCTGCTTGATGACTTTCTGGCCGTGTCAGGATACTGTCCGTTGGGCAGAGCTTTTCTGACCTGTGCCCTGGTTGTCAGAACATTCTCTTCGTCGTCGTCGCCTTCTGCTGCCGTGGTGGAAGTGGTTGCTGGAAGAAGGTGATGATTGCTGCTGGAAGAAGTGGAGTTGACACCGACCACGGTGACGTTGTTACCATCAACGCTGCGAAGTGGAGAACGGTCCGAAATGTTATCTCCACCACCGCCGCCACCGCCCGTTGTCGAACCTGCTGCTGTTCTGTGAAGAGCTGACTGGGAAGAACTGCTCAACTCGGAGGCGGATGTCACATATATAGGGCTCCTGCAAACGGGAGAAAAGTTTTGCAAGTTGAGCAACTTTCTCAGCCATGACGCTACACCGTGTATTCACACCAATGAAAACTTTCTCGTCTCACGCACGACCTTTCACTTTCATATTTCAAGCCTATTTCTGTGCTGAGCCTCAACTAGAATATTTCGTGCTTGTGACAAACTAGGAAACAACTACACGATCGAGAGTGGTGTACAATTTCTGCAATATAATAATATATTATAAAATTAAACTGACCCTGTTGCTGCTTCAATAAGTCCGTTTAGCTCGGATGTATCTCCTCCGGATGGGACTTCGCTCAGCTAAATCACAATACAAAATACCAATTAGTAAATACAGATGTCATCATAATAATTAAAGCATTTAGCATTAGGTGTGTATTCCTACTGTGTATAATTATTTGAGATTATCGGTCGATACAGTCGAGTCTTTTGTTTTTTTTATTATTCAGTTTATTTTATTTGCTGAGCTGAGCGATATTGTTAACCGATGAATAAAATGTATTATTTACATAATATCTAGTGTAATTGTTATTATTGTTATTTCCGTCAACCTCCCTTTGGAGGAAAACATGAACCACGTTTATGTAGCACTTTCACCACGAGTTAACAAAACAATGATACGACATTTAATGTAAACTACTAACTATTGGAAACATGACGTTGTGAGTGTATTTAACTAGGGCCGAAGTCCACTTAATCCGAATAAATGGTGTGAAGTAGGGACATTAAAAACAAGATATGCAACGATTATGGTCCACGACAAACGGGGCTGCATCGTATGAGAATAGTTCATGGTCCAGTTAATCCTTTCACTCTCGGAGACCTGCATGCAGATTGCTATTCAGTTCGTACCCATTCGTTTAATCCACTCTGTGTTTGCGATATTGCTACCTTTAATTTGTTCCAATGAGAATAATATTTCGAGGTTAATATTTTGGGGGGATTAATTATAGAAATTCTACTCTCGCGCTCATCATAATACGTAATCTTGATTTCCAACGAATGCAATTCCTACATCCTTCCGACATCCCATTTTAATCTGAATAAAAGCAAACATTTCCTGTTTCATTCCACTGATTGCATGATAAAATTTTGCTACCAGATTTATCTTGTTTATCTTTTGCGTAACTTCTATTAAAACTAATCTAAATGCAGGTGCATTGCTAACAATATACATATAAATACATAAATACATATTGTTCCATGTAAGAATTATACAAAGCGATGGGAAACTATTTATTTGTTTGCTATCATTGCCAGCTAATGAAATTGCCCACCAGCAAGGAAGAAATTTTTGGGTCTGTGGCTTGGACTGATTAAATCGTCTTAGATTCTTCCAGACCATAAATATGAGACACAAACCTGGAAATAGATCGTGATATTTAATCCTCTTCACAAACTCGGAACCGCGTGCAACGTCTTGCAGTGACGTGAACAAGTCTTAAAGAAAATTCCGGCACACTTCGAGACACATGTAAGTCGTTAAGTTAATAAGCTGCCGCAGTAACAGTTAGCCAAGTCTACCAAATCCAGCAGTATTACACAATGACTAAGCCATATTACATACTTGCATCGCTATGATGAAGGAGGAAGGAGCATGGACTATTTTGGAGTGCATGTGACTCGTGGGAGATAAATCGGTTCATTTTTTCAAGACTGATATGGAATGCGGTGTAGGGACAGACCGAGTTATGCCCGACTTTTGTACTGGGTGGAACCTGAAGCATTTTTATTTATGTGGAATTGCCCTACCCACTACAACCAACAACATCATGTGTGATATACAGTAGCACATTGACAGTTTCATGTCCAACGTTCTGAACAATGAGCCCATATATTCTCAAATAGTGTAACTTCGTACACTGTGTTCCTGATGCAAGACCCCCCAATCACCTCTAATACTTATTTTGAGATGCAATCAATATTCAGTTCAAATTCTGTTAAGAAAATGAATGCCCCAATTCTATTTGCGCATTAATTACAAGTTAAATTAGCAACAAAAAGTGTAATTAATTTTGGAATAGGAAAAACGAAAGACACGAAAACAACGTTCAACAATAAGTATTTTCATCGTCTCATCGTACATTTTTACATCGACCAAGGAAATATTGTCTACTTTATCTTCTTTGCCAACGACCAACCAACCCGTCCAGAGTTTCACATTTCGACCAACACTAAAGCACCGCTTCCCTTTATTGTTATTAACGATGAAACAAGAATCGCTGTAATTACAGCTAGACCACCAAGAATCTCATTTGGACATATTGTTGTTGTGCTCTATTATCCGTGCTCAATAATAGGTAGCCAAAATGAGATTGCTCGTGAATGAGTATCACTGCGAGTGAATTAAGATATTATGCTCTTTGTGTGGACTGCTGATGGTTGACTATTTAGCTCAACTACACATTATTATTGTTCACACGAAATGGAATGGAAGAAGCTTTGCATATAACACTTGCAAAAAATTTATTTTTACCTGATGAGACAACTTTGTCATATCCACCGGCTGCAAATTATAAAAAAATATTAGATTATTCCATGATATAATGGGACAAGTACTTTTTACTCATTGGACAACATGTTAAGTTTCATTAATTTAAAGATAATAACAAAAAATTAATCTCACCTTGATGCGTTTGAGAGCAGATAATTTTTCGAGACGCTCTCGTGCTACAAAAAATTATGCATTTTATAGAAACATATACGAGAATTGTTATTTACATGAGCTTACCTTGTTGTTCAACAGCAATGACAAACGCATCTTGAACGTTACTTTGTGAGGCTAGGTCCAGAGCTGCAATTAATAATTTTCAAAAAATTAATAAATGATTTTTTATGTACATTTGTATGTAAATGCGTTATTGGAGAAATTGTAAACCGTACTAAAAATAACGCAAAATTAGTTACTAGCCGAGCAAATTAATTACGCTTGTTTGTCAACTCACGAAAGTATGATACCAAACGCTAAACTAATATTGAGATAAACTTTGTTAAATAGATTTGAAGACATTGCAAACAATACAGTCAGAAAAAATTCACAAACTGTGCAGATGTGGTGAAGTGATGAGCCATTTGTACCAAGTAGCACGTACATACATGCAAAATCAAAATCATCTTTCCTATTTAGGATTTTCAATCATTTTTTAAACAAAAGTTTGCTTTTCAACTGCTTCGGAAGCACGACTGTATATCCTGAGACATAAGATAATCATGGGGATGCATATGATCAATCAACACTTGGATCCTCAATTAAGAAGCAAGCGTCGGATTTACATTTTGATTCGATTTTTTGCAATCACTCTCGTGCATCACGTATGTATTTTCACGCAGACGGACAACAATCAAAAGTCAAAGCTAGATTTAAATTGAATTTAAATTATGTTATGGAGGTCATTGTCCATCGTCCATTGAGCATTCCTTCTTGACTGACAAGAAAGAAGAGCCATTGCATTGATTGAAATACAACACAATGGGAGGCTGTGGTAGGAATAGCAGCAATAATGAAGCTGGTGGAGGTTCATGATGCCAAACGTGGTGGACCTCAAACAGCAAAATAACCACACAGGACCAGAAGAAGAGCTATGTGTCCTACGCTCCGCCACGTTTGGCAGCATCATCACCGTACAATTTTTCACCAAGGAGGACAGCGTCCTCTTTATGCGATAAAAACTAAAGCCAATGTTCAACAACGGGAAGAATTATTGCGAACATTACATCAGCATGAAATACATTGACTCTGTTGACGATGGAATTTGTAATAGCTGTTGTGGTTGTTTGCGGTACATAGTCAGACTACTACCAACTTCTGGTCGGATGAGTTTTTCAGTCTAAACCCCTGAACATAATAGTAAAAACCTGATTTTCATTTTGTAGAACAAGACAAAAGATGAATTCACCCGTGTTAATAATCACTGACAAGTAGAACGCATGAAAACCCACTCTCTGAGGACACACCATTCAACAAATCACATAAATTTTAGCAATAACTTATTCATATTTCAATCACAGCAGCAGTAGTGGAATTATGATTAGTTGGAATAATAGTTAGTATATGTAGACTTCATTCTCACTCTGTCCAAACGAGAAAGCAGAAATCCACACCAAAAATTCGGAAACTAACCCGGACGCCCTTCAGATTTAATACCACATAATTCGTCGTATGAAAGTTGTGATAAATTCGGACTAGACGACGGAGAATATTTTTCAGGGTCGTCTTTGTAACATTTATCTTCATCTCTACGTGACCTTTTATAATTGCTGTCTCCCAGAGATGACAAAGCAAGCCATGAACTATCCGTCGTTTCTAGGTCACTTTCAGAGTGGACAATTAGAGGTGTCAATAATGGATCAGCTACAGGATCAGTTTGCGAGTGCTGTGTAACACAATCGGCTTGTCCCGTTGTGGGAAGCAATCGTCCCGGTTGGTCGCTCTTCTGCAACTTGTTTCGATTATTTGTAGCCAATCTAGCTTTGGATGTAACCACTGGAAAAATTCCTTCACTCTGAGTCCGATCTCTCATTCCACGATGGGTGGGAAACTCTTCAATGCTTTGTAATCTAGGCTGGAAAGGATTTGCAATGCTCCGAGAGCTGCTTACCAAACTTGCATCATCTTCGTCCTCGTAATCATTACGGGGTTTAGCTTTATTACTATTAAAATTGTTTATAGTAGTTGTGGCGCGATAAGAGCAACTGGGCAGCTGAGGATAGCTTTGGAAAGAAGGTTCCTCCTGCCTCTGGAACCCTTTACGACGACAGATTACATCATCAGCACTATTGAAATAACTGGGCTGTTTTAAAGTAATTTTGATTGCACTGATCTTGGCTCCCATTGTGGGAGGATGAGGAGGTGGTGGTGTAGGCGTCGTGGAACGAGAGTGACAGTCGCCTTGTCCCTCATCGTCCTTAATATTCGCACAGCTTAATGTCCCAGTTTCTAAAAGCAGCTCTGGACAAGTGCTGGTGGATGCATCCGCAGAAATGCAGGGGCGTGGACGAGGACGGAATATTGGGATTGACCGATTAGTCATAGTTGAAGAGTCAAAATCTGCCTGAAAATAATTCGGGTCACGACATCCGCTAGATTCCCGACTTGTATTGTTTTGATATTCAATGTCACTGCAACAACTGCTTGCAGAATCTGCATAGCGAATTCCAGACATGTCCACAAGACTCAAGCTGTAGCCACCCCCGTCCATGTTCATTTTACGGTCGAAACAAGTATGCATTTTCTTGTCAAGGCGACCACGAGAGACGACGGAGACTGACCTACTTGAACTTGGAGAAAGGCTGAACTCGCTTTCACTCGAGTCAGGGGGAGGTGAGAATGGTAGTGGAGGCGGAGGTGGGGACGCATCTGGGCTGGTAGAATGGACCGATGAATTGGATCTCATGATGATGCTGCGACGTGTTAAAACAACGACTGGTGATGCTCTCGGTGTCAAATCCATCCCATCACCCTCGTTGTAATTGTTGTCAAAAGCGTTGGCAAAGTGTTCTGTCCTCGATTGATGGATGACAGTAGTGTCAACTTCCTCATCATCTTCCTCATCCCCGAAAAGTAAGGGCTGACGAGCTTCCGAGTCTGGAAATTGGTTCAAAATGGAAGATAACGATCTCGAACTGATGGAGGAGGCACACTCATCGTCTTCTTGATCTCCGAGCGCTTTTTTTGCCCGAGCTCTATCTTTATCTGTAAGGACAGATGAATCAAATGTGTCGCGAATTCCGTCACTTTTTCCTTCTTTCCTGCCGATTTCCAGCTGGGATTCATCACCCGTGCAACCACCAATAACAACTGGTGACAGTGGGACGTCTCCATGATGAGGTTGAAGTGCTGACATGGATTTCAACTTTGCTTTATCATCTCCGTCTTTTAAAGCTGACTGATTCGGTCGACATCGGGGTCTGTTGTCCAATGAGGATGGCTCGACCGGATTGGGTTTTAATGTTGGAGCATCGTCGAAAGGTTGCTGAGACTCATTATTACTGTCATTGTCCTCTTTTGCTGGTTTGTAAAACCCCCCATCGTCCCCATCCGATGAAGCGTCGTCATTTTGGGCATGGACTTTCTTACGAGAGCAACAACAACTCATATTGGACGTTTAATTGATGAGAGGACTTTGTTATTAATTATAGATGCCGATGCTGTCTGTGCAATTTAATTAAACTTGGGACGAGGCATCATGATAAGTAGAATAATCCCAGCGAAGCACGGATTTAATAAAAATCGATCATTGACTTGGGGAGAACGATTACCAAATTGAATTTATGTAACGGGAGAGCAATCTATAACCACTGGTGTCAACCACAAATTTGAGACTCGTAGAACTTGCAATGTGCCATACCGTGCATGCATGTAGACTCGCGGAAGGAACCACTTAATAAGGATCGCCGTCATATAGTACACGCATTCGTAGATGATTATACACCACGATCTCACACTTGCTTTGATTTAAACTCACTGCTTTTTTTACTTCTTTATATTTTTCTTTGCAATTCTTCCAAGAAAGTCACGAATTTCTTCAACTTCGTGGTCGGCCTTTACGGCAGCCTTTATAAACTCGTACCGATAATATTAATGGTGATGGGGGAGGTTAGATCGTGAGTTAAGGAAGGTACAAATTTAAAGAACTTCGAAAGAGTTTTATACACTTGATTCTTTTATATTCACAAAATTATATACATATTTTTAAACTCGAGATTAATGTGCTATGAAATAGAAATTTTACTAATAAATAGGAACTATGCATGGTCACAATAGAAATGACAATCTCAGAAGTATCCCTAAAATAGCGAATCCATTCTATTTAACACCGATAGTTGAGCACTTGGACATGTGGGTATATTCACTCGTTGTTGAATGGTCGTAAATAAATTCGCAAACACCACCGTAAAAACTTGGCTTCCGAACTCCACGCACGAGACAAAACTAGTTCAGTAGTGTTCTTACGTATGTATGTACATAGCACGAAATTAAATGAACCCGAGGACGGCTGGGAGATGAATTTTTCGTCTACTTGGCAAACTTCTTCACTTACATATGTGATCATAAATGTGATCTCAATTGTACTTTTAACTCTGAAGATACATAAATATGCAAGTGTGTAATAATGCAGCTTTTCAATATAGCACCAGTTGAGTATAGGGTTTACTTTAAAATGAAGTCCTTTTATTATGAAAGTTACAGTTCGTTGTAACAAAATCGCGCAGACTGATTTAAAGATAACCTTCAATGGTTTATATTTTTGCTGTTTCTAACAAGGAGACACTTATTATCGTATTGCTTAGGATTTGAACTTGCAACTGAGAGTAGATCAAATTCGGAGTAAAAGTTTGGTCTTTGGTGAAACACTAAAATCTTAATCTCTCATCCTGCACTAATTCAGTCCAGAATGCGTCTGACTTTCAACATGCGGAACCAGCATTCTCTTTCACGTATTTAAGCATTTCATTCTGTATTTCTAGACCAACAGTAAGCGTGCCAACTTGACTTCCACAATCCGTAAACTTGGACGACTAGTTAGATGGTACATATGTATACTAAACATTTATATCTGGGTTCCGGATCGAATCAGTCACAACAAACCCTATCTCCACAGACTTTGGTATATCTTATTTGTAGACAAAAGGCTGTAACTAAACTATTTGCAGTTTTTCATGTTATTAAACGTACACAAAAAGTCATGACGTACACACGAGAGTATGTGTTGTATGAATTCATTTGCTACCGGGATGATGTGGTGACCATAAACGATACACGAACCTGGGGGTGTAACATCTCTAATATGAGCT